TGGTTATTCATTGATCAAAATTGCTGACATTACACAGGCTGCTGGAGACAGTCAAACACTGTCCGTGAGGTCCTTGATGGCTTCTACCTTACCTACGTCCAACCCACCTCCGCGAGGACGCGTCCAACAACTCCAATTCTACGACATCGACACAACTTTACCTTCCATCCTTGAAAAATTCATGGACCCCACCACCGGCCAGCAGTTTCAACAGCCAGTTTCATGCGAGGAAATAACTGAAGGTAATGGCCGCGGGAAACATTGCCAATACTGACATGAAGGAGATCATTCTTAATACTATTTCTAATGGAATCGACATGGATCCGATAGAACTACCCATAAGACACCACAATCAGCACAACATTGTAGCGATGGCGAAAACACACTTGTCAAGGGTTGAAGACAACTCTCCATTTATCTCAACATTTTCAACCCTACTTTCATCGAGAATTCGTTCAAGCGGCAGTTGAGGTCACGGGAAGTGCAAAAAGACAGGCAGTGGCTATTCGTGACAACAGGCGGCGAAGGGTTTTCGCCGCCTAAACCCTAGTGAGCGCCATATCCTGAAAGCTCGGAGGCTAGGTATGGGCAAGAAAAACAAGGCTCTTCATCTCTACAAGTTACACTTGATGAATATGAAGATATCACACTTCCTCGCCCACCTCGCGATATGCTACCCTCGGTGATAATTAATTCCTATTGACTTCCTAAAGAAAAAGTTCCTACCAAAACATTATGCACTGCCCAAAAAGATCGTGTTGTGAAAGGCGCAAGGATAGAGAAGGGAATGCTTCATGACAAAGCCAAATCAAAAGCCAAGACCCCCTCAGAAGCTCGCTCAACTTACTCAAAAGGATGTTAACAAAGTCACTATGCCACGCGCTCCAAGGCGCGGAGAATTAATTAAGGGCTTAGCCAAATGCCATACCACCAAATGAAGCTGTTCTACAGGCATATCATGAATCTTTTCAGGAATTGAGGAATAAACCTATGGAAGTGGTATCAGAGACAGCAAAACCTTCAGGACACCCAAAAGGATATCACAGTATATTTTCCAGGGGAAGAAAATCAGCCCCCTCTTCCTCCACTTCCTTCGACTTCTGTTCCTCCATCTAGCCCGCCCTCTCTCCCTTCACAGACAGAAAGACCCAATCTAGCTGGAGAACCCACTTCTCAACCTGAAGCATCTGTTGAGACTGAAAGAGCCTGAGCCACCTAAAGAAGCACTCCCTCCTTCCTCTCCCAAATACGAAGGGTTTCTGACCAGCCCGCAACAACGGCGACGCGAAGCCAAAGAAGTCCACTGGCTCCAGTCTGAATCTCCAATGGGACAGCCAATTTCTTCAATGCAGGCCTACGATCCTCTATCTCATGTCACCTCATTTCAACCACACGAACCTGCCAAAGCAGAGGCATTTGGGTTTCTGTGGGTTGGCTTTTGTTCTTAACATCTCTTTCTGAAGATGGATAGGAATGCTGTTGGATCATTGAGCTAGGCATATATCTACGTCAACGATCTTCAATGCTGGCCAGGGTAACCAAAATTACTCTTTGTTGTATTCTACTACCAGGCCTCCAATGTGCTTGCCTATTTGCTGTAATGAATTTCTTTCCATTTTCTCCTTCTGTGGTTCCTATGCTGCGGCTGGCGGTTGCAGTGTATATCCACCCAACCTCCTGCCATTCTGCAAGCTCAAATTTGCCAGTCAAATCCCTGCAAAACAAAGCTCCTTAATACCAAAGGCGAACATCAAAAGGTTAGAAAACTGTGCAACAACCTCCTTATGTTAATAAATTGGTCTGACATGTTAGGTACAAGACACGATGTCCAAGTGTTATCCACAGCAAAACTCGCCCAGCACTTCACGCGGAGCCGACGAGCTAGCACCACTCTCGAGGAGCTGCTGCAAAGAAATCCTCAAACGAGAATGAGCGATCTGCCTACTGGTACTTGAGTTCTTGTTAACACTCAATATTGGGTTACAGTTGGCAAAGAACAGGTCTAGTTGAGGTAGTCCCCATTGTCAACAACCTCTAGTTGAGGTGATAACTAGTGGTTATATTCTCTGATTGAGAATAAGCTCCTAGTTGGAGCAGTACGATCAAATTCTTTATAATGTGATCCGAGTCCTATTCTCCTTCTCTTCTTTGAGAAGCCAGAAGCTATCAAACAGCTGAAGCGCTTGATCACTAATTCTTGCACTGTCTTCCTCCCTATATACAATGTTCATCGATATACGAGACCCAATGTGCATCGAAAACCCTTACGGTGCCAGGTCACCCCCAGGCCCAGATACCATCACTACATGATACACCACAATGATACACTCATGTCGCGTTGTCTTGTGGATTGTGTTCTTCTAGTCTCATCAGGCTGCATATTCAAGGCCAAGATTCAACAGCCTCTTTCATTCCACCAGCAATGTTGACCTCCAATTTAACTCAAATTCTGATGGAAATGTCAATCCCCACATATCATTTGAAGAACCTGAACCGGTTACTGCATGGGGCTAGGATACAGACACTACAGGTTTTATATTGCTTCTTTAACTCGCAAAGTATTGGGATTAATACCCCCAAATATTTCGCCTGTGGACTGGCGAATACTCTGCACCCCTCTTACACCGAGGTATTGATGACCTATATGGAAAGAAATTTCTGTATTATATTGTCTATACAACTCCGAAGTCACCGGTGCTTAACGATTCTTGATATTGCAGAGACGCACCCCGACATTGGCTCTCCAAATTGGGAATAACTGATACCATGCCACACTACCCACCATAAATTACTAATGACCCCGATGCCGGTGCCTATCACGAATACTGTGCATATCGACGCCAATGATAGATAATAACCCCGCGAGAAATGGCACACCGTTATTATCTATATTCGGTGGGAGAGAGGACTATTCACCCTTCGTGGAGCAGTGGTTGTCGCGACACCAACATTCATTCAGATATCGTTCAGAATGGTTATTTTGCCTGAACTCTCTGCGATGCTCTGCCTTGATTCATCAGAGTGATCTAGTTCTCAGAAAAGATCAAATGCTCTGTTCAGTGATTCTTGCCTGATTCATCTATTTCTGAGCCAGGGAATGTGAATGCTTTTCACCAGCAAACCATACTTGTATATAGAATGCTGATGAAAAGAATTTAGGGGTCTCAATAGTTGATGCCTCAAAACTGGATCAAAATGGGATATTTTCCATGGAAAATGTTCTGAGAAAAGACCCCTGTCTTCTGATATCACCCGGGTATTCCGAATGGTCAGAATGGCTTATTTGGAAAAAAATTTCTGAATGATGCATTGCCGAGTCGGAACTTCTTGCTATTGCTGAGATGCACCACGAATACAACCACAAGCCACTCCATCGAACGCTCAGGAATAGTTCTACAAGGCTTGATAAAGCTGCTGACTGTTGGTAAATTCCTCAGAAGCATCAGCCTGCCTGTTGAATATACTGAACAAGTTGCAATGAAAATTGCCTATGGCTGGTTTCACCCGTACAGCTAGATATGCGATCATGGTTCGCGGAGCAAGTGGAGACGACGTATCGGTGCGAATCAGTGGAAATTGACATGGACTATGGGGAATGAGACCGTGATATACACTTTCGAATTGGACCGGGAATGAATTAATCGGATGATGGGATGGAAGGGATGATTTTGTGTATCTATGAAGGAATCGATCGAGTAATGGAAGAGATATGGGGGAGCCGAAGGGAAATTTGCTATGTAACAGCACAGTGTAGAGGGGCCAGTCATGGACAAGGGTTGTAGGGGAAAAAGAAGCAAAATAAAAAAGAATTTAAAACATCAGGGCTGGAATGATTGAAGCGCAGCTTTCCCGTCGCTACGAGCAGTCAATTCACTGTATCTCAGGTGCAGATAATTCCCCTTGCGTCCCTCGCATTGTACAGTAAATATCCCCGTGCTCAAGATCGGCAGATCTGGGTAGTAAATTGAGATCACTGCCTTAATTTTCTAGAAATTACTGTTAGACCATCACAGCGGAAACAGGAGAGGATGATGTACCAGATGTCCTGATTCAGGATGAGCCGTCCCAACCTCGTCTAGTTGTGTGTAGTCCTCAGTCATTGATGTGGCCCCGGTGCCAAATCCCACTATAGTCTTTATCATCGCCATGGCCCTATCACGGCTTGGAATGAAAGGGAGGCGAGCAGAACGATTTTCTTGGTGGGGCCTGAGCTGGTCTAGATTGGATGTGTTGTCTGGGTTCGGTAACGGCACTGTGTTCCCCGGCTCGCCAGACAGGGTGGGAATATTTCGAGCCAGATAGGCACCAATAGTGATAATCAACATTGCCTGGATCCATATCAGCACATGTTGGAGCGACATCCATGGTTTCACTGAACTTACTTCAATCCAGAGGGGCCAGTCGTGGACGAGTCCACCTGCAGCAAACCCTGCCGTTATGATAACAAGAAGTGTATGGATTGCAACTTCACAGATAATAGACCTCTGAGATGATATACCACGAATTCCGCACCAAGAAAGCAGACCGGCAATTGCGAGGACCATGTAGTCGATAGATACAGCCACAGCTGTACCTTTTACCAATGCTTCATAGGCGACCGAGCTAACTCAATGAGCAAAGGCCTATCAAGACTAGGGGGAAGAGCACACCATAAGATCAACCCGAGCTTTACTGCAGGGGACAGAAAACAATACCCTAAAAATAATCGATGCACGAGGGCGTTCGTAAGTGGTCCAGCCTGGACTTTGCTCAGCTGAATCATCTAGACATCGCGGTTAGCGGGGACCAAAGCAGGGGACTGGGAATAACACACCTCAAGGGCTAGCGGAAATGCTGTACATATTCCCAAGGGATAGTAAAATGCTGGCGTATCTGAAACAAGCATTTAGCATTTATCACCATCTCGGTAGAAGGGACTGCTCACCCCCGCGCCTTAAGCCTGATAGACTAATGCCAATGACAACGGCATTGACACAGATAAAGAGAACAAAGATTAATATCTCAGGCGAACGGTGAGGCCGGGGGCGGTGAACGGTAAGCAAGATGAGATGCACCATACTTAGCACGATGAGCACCGCCGACAGAAGCGCATATGAGATGTTAGGATACATTTTTCATAAAAAGGCAGCAAAGTTGGTCCGCTTTAAAATGATCCATCGCGGGATGTGATGTAGTTTATAGCTCTCGGGAAGCCAGTCTCTGTGCGCTTCGAATGGGGGCTTTTTTGATGATCAAAGGGATATGCCATCCTCATTTCAGCAAATGTTGGACGGCAAAAACTTGTCCAGGGCCTGTACAAATAGTTACACTATTGTTGTCAATCTGTTGTCTCAGAGTTATGGCCTTCAAATAAGTATAGTCACCCCTGGTTTACACGCACGTACAGCAACAGTCGTTAATCCTGTCCTCATATGGTAAATGGAGGTTCCAGAGGGCTATATTTCGAGCCCAACATCACCTCTGTCGGGATTTTAGGCCATCCAGGCGCAGCTGGTCCTTTCGGGGAAAGTTTGATATGATAGTAGACTCCTGATATCAGCGGTGCTGTGATAGCTTTAAATGATTGGGCAAAGGGAGATGGAAAAAGGCTCATTTTTGCATCTGTTTCATTTTGAGAGCAAGGCTCGGATGAGCTGTACAATCATCTGCCACCCCACGCGGCCGCCCCACCTTGTATCAGGACATCTATTGGCCAAGTCTTGGAAGCCCTAGTACGATGTTTTTGAGTTTTCTAAATACAGAACTGAACAGAGAAGCGGAATGTGATCATATGACAATACAACGACGACCGCTGTATTATCACATGATATGGCTATTGAGGCAACAAGACATCTCTCTCACCGAGCACTTTGCCATCCCAATGATCAAAGCTTGAAATCGAAAATATGGAGACTCACACTCTTTCAGAACTATTACAGAAACTCTCTCCCTCAACAGTTCTTGGTTCAGAGGTAAGTAAGGTTTCTAGATTAGCTGCTATTTTCTGACTGTTGCAGCAGGCTTTGTTACAGGCCTTTCACGAGTTCTTCCTTAGGGGATGTCCAGAGCAGTGTTGGAAGCTCATTCCAACGCAATACAGGCCTTCAAATAATGCAAATTTTCTTATCTCTCAGTTACCACCTACTCAGTCTCCATCGCAGGATCAACTCATCCGACGATTACCTTCAATTCGGCCGGCAGCTCAGTTATCCACCACCAGCTCTTTGATCTCTTCCAATCTCCATGGCCAGCTATATCAGCAGCAGGCGGGAATAGAGAATCAACAATATCCGACAACGAGTTCTTCACTTCTCAGCAGCTCCTCCATCTCTTCCAATCCCTATCATCCAACATCAGGTCGATGGCTATCGCCATGCCCTACCAGTTCTTCCACCCCTTTCAATCCAAGAGCTGGGGTGAACCAGAGTAATACTCTGGGATCTCCAAGTCCACCCGTGTCTCAAAGCTCTCCTCCATTCAAGAAAAGACGAAGAAATGTCGCGGTGGATAAACAAGATAAAAGGCTAGTAACTGGCAAATGGTTGAAATTAAAAGCAGCCTTTAAAGATAAACCTTTACCGACAATATCGTTCAAGGAGATTTTGACTCCTGAAAGTCTCATCGATTCAAATCTCCCAAAGGGACCACGCTTGTATAAATTTATAACGACAGCGGCAAAAAATATAGCCAACCAGATTGTTGCACTCCGCCTTTCTTTAATCTATTCAGTCCACGAGATTGATTCTCATTCCAAATATGTGTGTGGGAAGAAACTAAAGACTGGGGCATACGAACAGGTTTCAAAAGAATGGGATTGCTCTCTTGCGTGTGTGAGACTATGCGAGCGACGGGGTAAGAGCTATACCAGATTGATACAAGAAGCTGGCCCACCTATTATCTTCGAACTGGATAATGACGTTTCGAGTTTGTGAGTTTTCCTGTTCATTTTTATTTTCTAGCTTAGCTAACATTGCTAGATGCGAAAATTCTTGTCTGACAGATGACCAACGGAAGTTATTCATTCAGTGGCTTCTACTCCAATCTAAGGAAAATCGATTCGCGAAATGCATATCGGCAGCAAAAATCATACTTGAGGGGCTAATTACTTATGGATATACTTATCCCGAACTTCGAACAACTCAGAGCCGTCTGCTCAGCGTATTGAGAGTTTACCTTAGCTGGGAAGATGATGGTACTATTCGCCCTAAAGGTCTGACTTAAAAACCTGGTCTTTTACTTCTGCAGACACTAATATATTTTAGATCACACTTCGACCAACGATCCTGCACATCAAACGTCCGTTAACCACCTGGGAACCTCAAATCAAATAGAAAACAGACACAGAACTGTTGATGTCACAACCAATGCCACATTCTCAACAAGCTCAATATCTGACCTAGCTTCTGCACGACGCGTTGAACCAGATCAAAACAAAATGGTTGACCCGTCCACGGTCGAATTGCCAGCGGATTACCAGCGAAATTTACTTGAAGATACAGCTCAAAATGCGGTTGATCGATGTTTCTCACCGTCATTACAGTTGGTGCGTACGACTTCGACCGCTGAAACATACATGCCATACACCGACTACTGGGCAGCGCAGCCTGACGACATCAGCACTTCCACCGCTGAAACCTACATGCCATACACCGATTACTGGGCAGCACAGCCTGACGACATCAGCACTTCCACCGCTGAAACCTACATGCCATACACCGATTACTGGGCAGCACAGCCTGACGACATCAGCACTTCACCCACTGAAACCTACATGCCATGCACCGACTACTGGGCAACACAGTCCGGTGGTCTTGACACTGAAACTCATATGTTTGACACTCAGTTGCTGACAACAACTGCCTCTCAGCCGCAGTTGAACACGGTCAATATCCGAGGTTATGGCAGTGTTCACTCACATGGGCACAACAATCAATCTCTGCAAAGCCACCATACTTCGTCATTTCGCCCAGAAGCTTGTAATGCTTAAATAACTGTACATTCTTATCCATAATTACCGTCTTAGTGTGATAATCACAGCGCCAATCTTTGTTTCTCCTTCAATTCTAAAAACTGTATGCCTTGACACAAGTATGGCGTTCTTCCAATTCCAATCTACTTTTATCTCTTTCCCGCCTTCATTTCTTGCAGTCACTTCCGTGTCATAACCCATAAGTGGAACAATTATAGTGTCAACTAGTCCCCCTGACCTCCAACTTCCTTTAAAAACAGCCCCGTGCGAAGATAAGAAAGAAACCTCGGATGGCGAGTTTTCCTATATACAATTAGAATACTATCAATATTCCCAGGAGTGTTTCTGCACACCAGATAGACTTTCTTCACCTCATCCACCACCCGTTTAACACCCTCATTAACAGGTAGTTCAAATTCAAAAGCCCATCTTTGTGAATCGGAGACCACTGTGTTGGAAGTTGCGCTTCTTGCTTCTTCGACAGAGGCTTCTAGCCAGCTCGGAAGTGGTAGATATGTGATAGAACTGGTGTGCGGCATGGCGCTAACTCGTTCGTACTCGGGTGAATGCAGTCGGTGCTTCTAATTCAGAAATGATCAGTATTGAATAAGAAGGCTAGGAAGACAAGCGCACGTTTTTTTCAGAATCAAGTTTGAATTTTGAGGATCTAGGCAAATGATGAAGTGCGAACCTTGATATGTTATTGTGAACTTTCGACGAGGTCACTGAATTATTTTGGAGGGGCATTAGTGCCAAATCAAAATAACCCCAGTCATGTGATAAATGACGTCGTGCAGCTGTGCAAGTTATTGTCAAGTACGAAATCCAGCTATGTGACTCTTGAACTTCTGAAAATCGTCACCGATCAATCCCAAAGCAACAAGCGTCTGCGAGTATTAGAATAATCCTGCGAGTGATGAGATGCTGGTGAGTACTTGACATAATCTGGGAGCGCAAGACCTACTTATGTTCTAGTCACAAGTGCTCTCAATATATGTCAAAGTATGTTCATTTGTTCTTTATTCAGTGGTAGATGATTATTTTGGGAGGAGGGGTATGAATAACTAGTGGGGAGGATATCTCATGCAAAGCGGGGACTGTTGACAAAAATTGAAAAGATTATTATGCACTAAGAAACATGGCAGTATATGCTAGATCATGGATCTTCCTTCAGTTGCGCAAAGGCAGTTATGCGACCAGTCCAGGCAACCAGTGTGTAAATGGGATGAGTGATGCATCTCATTTTTAGCAGCTCACCCATTGATTCCTTGTATATAGTTTTTCCAGGTCAGCAATGAGGCGCTTGAAAACTGTGTATGGATCCTGGCAGAGGCTTGAACATGACGCTAAAAAATTTCATTGTGAAAAACCATCATTAAGAGTGTGTATGCTAACTGTAGGCGAATGAGTGACAATCAAGTAGCAACCACCATTCAACTTATGACCCTGCCTATTATCCAATGCAATCTGAACCCACACTAGTGGGTGCACTCATACAGCAATCCGCCAACCCGTCCGTGAGGGAGATGTTTACCCAATAGCTTTTTTTCAGCTCACAGAAGCAGATTTACAGTGGAAAATTCGAGTCCTGTAACTAGGCTTGCACAGACTGTTTAATTTATTGTCCCCAGCAGTAGATGCAACCGAGTCATTGCCCATTCTACCTCTGTCCAACCGCCCATACAACACTGATTCATTCCAGCCTGCTCTCATTGGACATTGACGCGTGGTACTGAGATAATGAGAAAGTCCGACTGAGCATCGACGACTTGATTACTTGGTAAACCGAATATATTTCCCTGGCTCAAAGCGTACGCCACGTATATCTACAGCTCCCAATAGCGGGAAAAAAATATTGTCAAATTCTGGTCCTTTTTGAATTGTTGTATATTCCAACAGTGCATGCACTAGACATAACGTAATCAACCACCTAACGCCTGCTTACACCCAACGCCCGCCATTTCGCCAGCACTATGATGAAATATTTTCAACATTATCTCAACAACACAATTAGATTTTAAGATGATATATTATATGATGAAAATATAGATAGAAAATTACATATTAAAATATATAGCTAATTCAGTAAATGTTTGTTTGGCTTAATAACTTGCCTGGAATGTGAAATCCTGGGTGGAGGCAGATTCAGTGAGCAAGCAGTCATTAAATCAGTAGAGATTGCAATATTGTCATATCCTTCTGGCAGTGGATCCGTGGGCACCCTGGCAGAGCTCTGAAAATGTGATTTAGTCACTCTTTGTGAAATTGAGGGTCTACCTTTCTGATTAGGAAGGTGGTTTTTGGATTCTTCAATCTTTTTCTTATTCAACTGTGATTGCAGCTGTATAGCAGCTTGTTCTTCCTTCTCTTTTTGCTCTTGAGTCTTTCTTGCATCTCTAAGCTCCTTGTCAATCTGCTGTTGAGCAGCTCTTGCAGTCTTATTCCTCTTCTTTTACTGCTTTGCAGCCTGGTGAGCAGTCTCCTGCTCCATTCTCTGCTTCATGATATCTGCTTCCTTCTGTTCTCTAAGAATAGTGTGTTGCAACTTGACATTCTTCTTATGAGCCTGCTCATCCTTTTTGACAGCCTCAGAAGCTGCCATATTCTTGTGGATGCTCTGCACCTTTGCTGATGAGAAGAACTGTGTCAATGATGGATTTGAAGAATCTAGCAACCCCATTGCTCTGCCATGCTTGTGATATCTTCTCTCTTGATTAAGAGCCTGCTGTAGCTGCCTGTTCTCTATTAGAAAAACCTCTTTATCAAGAGCAAGTTTTTCCCCTGCATGAATCATCTGATTGAGATCACTAGAAATTTGATGCTGCTGTTACTTGACTTCCTTCACCAATTTCTGCATACTAACAATGGAAGTAGAAGTTCTTGATTGATATAGTGTATCTGAGGAGCAAGGCTGTATTTGAAGCTTTTTAAGAACTCATTCCAGATCAAATGAATGTAGGCCAGTAGCAGCAAATGCAGCTTTGATATTTGAAGATGTAACTGCCTCCTTTCATACAGCATGAAATAGCTGCCAAAAAGACCTCTTTGTAGTGTGTATGAATCCCATTCCAGTTCTCATTTGCTCATTCAGTTGCTTGGAGTATGATTTATTCAATGATTCAAATATTCCAACATCTAGTGGCTGTAATTGGTGTGTAGAATGGGGAGGAAAGACTGTAAGTAGAATCTGATGTTGATCTGTGTAATTGATGAATGCCATATTAATGTGGAAGAAGTGGCCATCTAATATAAGAAGTCTATATCTGTATTCTGCTTTCTTTTTTGTAAGAGATTCAAAGATCTTCTTTAACCATGTTAACTCATATTCATCATTGCTCCATCCATTTTCTGAAGCAGCAAAGAAGATCTGATTCTTTTCACTATCAAAATCCTTCAGTCAAGTATCTTGCATATCCCTTGATTCCTCTTGATATATTAGAGCAGATGGGAGTGAAGTTCCATCAGCACAAACTGAGGTAAGTAGAGTTATGAATTCTTGACTGCCATCCTGACTGGCATCTATTGTATGTTCTGATTTGAGTGAATTAATCAATATGATATGTTTGAGGGTGTGGATGAGTCCTAATAGGAATCCTTTCTCATTGAAGTTGTAGATATTTGCAGATTCAATATTGTATTGTGTGATTTTTGTCTGCAGCTGTAAATCAGGATAAATTAGCATGATAAATACAAAAAAGCAGTAGAAGAATGAAATCTATTACAAGATCAAAATAATGCTTGAAGTATGCAGAGTTGTCTGCAATCTTGTGTTTTTGATCAATATTTTGTAGATAGAGAGATGTGACGGGTTAGCACCCGTTGGTAGTTAACTTACGCAACCAACCCCCTACCGCGCGCTCACGTGCTCACGCGCGCTCATGAAGTTCTCCCACGCCTCCTCGCGATTCCGCCCCACAATCGCGCACATCTTAACGCCCTAACGATTCTTCCGCCCCGCGCTCCTCCAGAGCGCGACCTCCGATATTTCTTCCGCTCCGATCCCCTTGCCTATAAGAACCCCCTTGTACGACCCCTTCTTCTGATCTTCTTTCTCTTTCTTTCCTTAATCGATTCGTAAACTGTTATCAGGATAGTGTCAAGCCCGTAGATAGTGCTGTTGGAACGGATCGTACGAACTGCGCAGGCGGTACGAACGGTTTAATCTGCAACAACGGTAACATCTGTTTAATCGGTGGCACGCCCGTTACAAGAGACTTGATTACATCCTTGTGGTGTTGACAGAACCATGGCACCCAGTTGACTCCAATAGATGCTTTTAGAATCTCAACAATGAGATTATGAAGGATTTGAGATGTACAAGGCTGCAATCTGCCAATTGATTGATATGAAAAAGGAGTTGTTCTTCTTGTGAATCTGTGAGGATTTTGCAGTGGGTAGAGATTGCTTCCTTTCTTGATGTTTGAATGTGTCTATAACACCACAACAATGTATATCAACTGATTCCATATCTCTTAGCAGTGTCAGTGTAATTAGGGATCAATTGCGCGTTCAAATCATCAATTGCAGCTTGTATAACTGCTTTGTGGTGCATGATGTGGGTGTTTGAAGACACTACCTATTACCAGCCTTTCTTTTGGAGCTACCTTCTCAACTTGAGGTGGTTGATTACGTTACACCTCTCTAACTGGACCAATATTTTTCCAGCGGGTAAAGTTGGCGTACATTAATTCTAAACAGGAATAGCCGACCTTCCTCAAAATACAATTTCAATCCTGTATTTTATTCGCGCTTCATTCTGTCGCGATCAAATGGAATTAATCTCCACCCGGTTCCTTGCTCAGTGGTCTATCCGTTTTCCATATCAGAGCCAAGCCGGATCAACCCTTTGATCAGTATCTGTTCCTAATCGGCTATCTTCTCTCACAAATACATCATAACTTCCTAACAATTCTGCATTTTTGTTCCCGTCCCATTCATCACAGCAACTCCTAGGTAATCTCGCATCAACCCAACGGTCTTTTATACCATCAAAATGGCGGGACTTTCACAAGAAGATCGCAACATTATCAAGAACCATCCTCTAACCAGCTCAGTCAATCATTTACAAGGCGTGCTTCAGGAAGCTGAAAAAATCTATGAGTCACGTCTAATTTCCTATGATGGCGCTGTTGATAGCCTTGACCAACTCTATCGGGGAGCGACTTCGGGACTCCTCTCTGTTTTACAGAAAGAGGGTGCAGCTTGTAACCTTCACTCACGGATAGGTGATGGGAAATTGGAGTCTGATCTAGGACACTTAGTTGAGCGTCTCAAAAAAACAAAAGGAATCTTCAAATACGATGACTACCGGCCTCTAGTGCACCTGGTCATCCAAAGGCTCCCAGACAATGAAATCCAGGATGTCAATAAATGGAATGTCAACATCTGGAAAGCTGTATTTAACCTCATTGACAACATCCCTCAATCAACTCCTCCGACGAGCATCCCACCCTCCTATGACAGCACGCCAGTCAAATCCACCTCATCATCACAGAAAGGCTCCGAGCAGACGCGTAAGTTGGTGAATCCAAGAATCTTTGAGGAGATATGTAGCTGCACATTTCGAGATGTTGAGGGCTTTTTTGACAAATACTTTGAGGAGAAGGATTGGAGTGACAAAGCAGATACCATCTGTCGACGTGTGTTAGACCCAGACAGCGACAGTAATTGGGCCCAGTTTCCCGATCCTCCTACACAGGACAATGTCCTCGCCTGGTGGTTTCGTCTTCAAGAAGACCTTCTCTTGCAATCACGCAGCACCTACTACACCACAGCGAGCAAAGCGGATCTTACTGGTTCGCAGGCGGAACGGCAAGTCGACCTTCTTTTGCGAGCTAGGGGTGGGAGCCCCTTGCAAAACAAACACGACTGGACAGACATCCTGGTGGTTGGCGAGCTCAAAAAACCTAAAGAGAAGATCAGGACCAAAGCCACACTGCTGCAGATCAGCTGCTCTGTACGCGAGGTCTTTGCTGCGCAGCCCACTCGGCGGTTCGTCCACGCATTCACCGTCTGTGGGACCAAGATGGAGGCGTGGGTGTTCGACCGCGCGGGGCCCTATAGCTCGGTAATCATCGACGTCTACGCGGACTCGAGACAGTTCTTTCAGGTGCTTGTGGGCTACACCATGATGAGTGACGAGGAGCTGGGACTGGACACCTTTATTGCTAGGGATGAATGGGGCAACAAATCAATAACTGTTAAAGGGCCTGGGAACTCAGTGGAAAAGGTGCTGCGGCTGGGTCAAATGCTTTCCTTTCAGCGTGCCATCGTGTGCCGCGGGACAACATGTTTTCTCGCAAACAATGGACAAGTGGAGGGCGTAGCCAAATTCTCGTGGGTGTCAGACAAGCGGCGGCCGGAAGCGGAACTCCTCGAGCTAGCAGGTCAACAAAATGTCCAGGGGGTCGCCAGGATCATTGGCCATAGTACCATCACCAACATCGCCGACATGCGCCGCGACATGACCTTCGACGACAAGCGCTATGACTTCAAAAGTGCACCCCCAAGCACAGCCTCCTCGTTTCATCAATCTCAGCCGCTGACCGAGCCCTGTCGCTTAGATATACATCGAAAATCATCGTCGAGGAAGCGCAGATCCCCGGATAAGGGGATGCAGACGTCCAAACGATCGCGCTCCATCAATCAACCATCAAGGGACACCCAGGAGGAGAACGAACTAGCTTTCTCCATTCAGTCGGCGCACAGACCGAGTCTCTTCGACAGGAACGGCGAGGAGCCGTACGACAACCGTGTCCTCCGGTGTCTCGTGATCTCGCCCGCTGGCCGGCCGATCTGTGACTACAGGTCACCGTTGGAGCTTCTCACGGCGCTGCGTGATGCAATAAAGGCGCACCGGTCTCTTTACCTGGATGGGAACATCCTTCATCGGGATATTTCGGAGAACAATATAATAATAACCGATCCAGACAAGGCGGACGGTCACTCGGGCATGCTAATCGATTTGGATCTTGCCAAAGAGGTTGGGAGCGGGAGAAGTGGCGCGCGGCACCAGACTGGCACGATGGAATTCATGGCGATTGAGGTGCTGCTTAATATCGACCATACCTATCGGCATGATCTCGAGTCGTTCTTCTACGTGCTTATCTGGCAATGTGCCCGTCATGGTTGGAACAAGTTAAAGCAGTTGCGAGCGTTGTATCACCTACATGGCTGGTTGGGAGATAGTATGTTAGAAATATGGTGCGCCGGAAGTCATGAGACAATCACAAATACCAAACAAGGCAACATCGGAGCTGGTGGATTTGAGCGCATCTTAACAGTTGAAGTTTCTCCACCGAACAACAGCTTACTGACAAAATGGTACACCGATACTTACAGGGAGATCGCAAGAATTAAGCGAAGCGACATGGGTGCAGATGGGTTTGAGGATATTTTATCTGAGTTTCCGCCAATATTTGAGTGTGCCAAACCTCTTTGCAGAGCTATACGAGACATTCTTTTCCCGTATGGAGGCAGAGGAATTATCGTTGGTACCCCGCAAGACCCAAAACGTTTATACAATCCCATTATCAAAGCGTACGACGATGCGATATCTTTGATCGGATGCCAAAGTGATTAGATAACAATTCCAACCCAAGGAGCAGATGATATTCTGCCGGCGAAAGGTCATCATCAATGAGATTCAAACGCGTGTGTCCTCTGATATGACTGTCAGTGCTGCTGTGGAATCTCTGGAGCTGATCCACCAGCGGGGAAGCTCTCTCTTAATAAATTGACAGAGCTGTTGAAAAGACAGAGACAGCTCTAGAGAATCTATCATTTCCTTTCTCTTCGTACAGAGTTGCTGGGACTTTGACTTTATATAATAATATAGAGTGTATTTTTAGATGGATTAGAGTGTACTGCTAGCTAGCTAATGCAGCTCTTCATTGTATGAAGGTTTACTACTATACAGTGTATTCTCACTACAGCTGGCTATCATACAAAGACAACAGAGATGGTAAGCTGATTGAAGGGGGTGGATGAATTGGCAGATTGACAATGACAACAAAAGCAGTGAATTGCACCTGCCCCTTTGCACCCACTCACCTCCCTATAATAATATCTTCTTCTCCTCTCTCTCCTCCTCTTCTTTTCTTCTTCTTTCAACACACCATGATATCAACCATGTATGTATGAAGCTCTGGCAGGTTGCTCAACTAGATATCACAGCACTAACTGCCCTCTTCTCCGTACGATATAGGGCTCTCTCCCTCCTTGGTCTCTCTGGCCCCCAGGACCTCCATCGCATCCTCTTTGTGGCTGGTCAACAGCTGAGTCCCTTCGCCCACAGTCCACAATCCAGGGCAGTCCTGGCTCTCCCAGGGCAAGATGCACCCTTCGTACGAGGCAGCATGACAGAGCTGCAGGTTCGAAGCCACCGGCCATCGTACATCAATGTCATCCTCATTCAATCTCGCGGCCGGCCGGAGCCACACGCATGCCTTGCCTGCCGGAGTGCTCATCCAGGTCTTCGGCCATTCCCAGAATGCCGTCGCCTGCCTGGCCACTTTGGTGGAGCTTGTGGCAACAATGGCGTGATCATGCCATTCGCTGCTCCGTACGAGATGGGGAAGGGGTGGAGGTGATAGAGATTGTGGATGATGAGGAGGATGGCCCTCAACGGCGGATGGGGGGTCCCCCTGGGCAACGGCTGCTCACAGCTGGTTCAACACCTGCTGCTCCTATAATCCTTGATTAGCTCTCTCCCTCCGGTACGTACGATCTTTTTTTCCCTTTCTTTTTCTTTTTCTTTTTCTCTTCTGGAGGGGCAGGTATGTAGTATTTCTATTTACTCCAGTCGTACGGAGCCTGCGTACGACACCTAAACATGACCTGCACCTCTACGTTGGTGTCTAGGACTAGTAGCCCATATGGTGAAGCCAAGCAGGTCATATAGATAGATAGAAGGTAGCTAGCTAGCTAGTCAGATCTATAGCAATTGATTTTTACCCATACTAATTTTCTTCAGCCAATCATCTTGTACGGAGCTCCAATAACCGCCAAGATAACATGCCAAGCAGACCCCCCCCATATAACTCGGTTATCCGGGGGGTTCATGTTATAACGCCGCTAACGCGCCCCCTAGATAACTCTCTTTAAACACCAGAAAAATATCGACCCGGAACCTCTTCTTTGACGAAGATCGATGCGATCTTGTGTGTAATCTCGCTGACACATTACGAGAACTTGAACACCCAGCGAACGCCGAACATTGTATTCGCACGGAAATCGCACGACAAAATCAGGTGTCTCGGCCGGATCTTTTGAAACTGGCTCTGGCAGAATGCCTATTTGCTCAAGGATGATATGCGGAAGTGGGGATGATCTGTTCAGAGGTCAAATCAAAGCCAGACCTTCTGAAGATGGAGAAGATGCGCCTCGCCATTACACGAGCAAAGGTATTTCACATCAACTCCGATTGGGAGGGAGTGTTTCAGTGTTGGACAGAGGCAATGCAAGCTGTCGATAAATTCACTTTGACAAAGGGCCATACGACACGTACAATTCTTCTCTCCATCTGCGATATTTTGCGCCGCCAGGGACAGCATGAGCTGGAGCTCAAATCCCGTGATCAATTGGCTACGCTTGAAAAACTGGCTGGGACGGGAGGGTCGCTGTATTGGATTTCGAAGTGGAGGATCTGGTTAGATCATTTACAGACATCCAACAGGCCTCGTATATAATAGTGCGCAATACGGGTTATGGCAAGGTTGCCTGAGCTGAGTGTTGGTTGAATTTCAGGTAATTTGGATTGGCGTGCTTTCTTCTCAGGATAAACAATCTGAGTAAACAGGGTTTCTAACCACTTGCTCACTCACACGATAGGTTTCATGTAATTAAAATACATCATCCATGCGGACTCCACAATTAAATCTCGCTAGTTTGTGTTCGACAGAGCAGTTGCCTTTCCTCTCCAAGCAATTGGGCAAAATGCAGCTGTAGTTTTTCCCAAGTATATATAACTTGCATGTTGGAGCGCAACTATCTTATGAAGACCCAAGGCAGAGTATGAGTGTGCAGAGTATGAGTGTGGGGGCATGATGGGCTCCTGGTCTAGTATTGGCGTATGACGGAACTTCAGTTCTCTCAGCGGTCAAATGCTGAATCCTTTGAGGATGACGACCGCCAACCAAGCTTCATCGGTTCAGCAGATATCACCCCATCCACCTCCTTCACTCAGGTGCCTGAGCAGCCACCCGAGCAATTCAAAAAGCCAAGGAAGAAGTAGTCATGCTCAGATCGGAGAAAGGACTTCTGTTAAATAGATTTGATACACCTGTCTCAAATAAAACTATGAAATCGTTGTGTCGAATTTGTGATTCCCCAAATAGCAGATGTCCCGGGCCACCTAGATAGTAATCCCTGTTTCTCCTGTCCAACTCAAATAAAAAGATATCTGCGTGTTTGGGAGCCGGAGGGCTCCAGGGTATGGGGTTGAGGAATCAGTTTGTCAGTTTAACATTTTCCGCGTCAATACCGGAAATACATCTATTGCTGGTGGGGTCGACATTGTGTTAGTGGGTACTACGGCTACCCTATCACGTGCCCCCTAGCATATTGTGTTGGGGGGATTGGGTTGGGTGATTCGTACCCTCTATACCACCATGGCGCTGGTGGTGATTGAGCTCTTTTGCCCTAGTGGCCTAATAGGTTATGAGCCCGTGTAAGCGCGACTGCTACAGGGTGTGCCAACATGCTATCACAGGTTCGAATCAGACCAAGGCCAGAGGAATATCCCTTACTAATGCACATTCTCTTGCCAAGATGGGGGAGATTGGTGGTTAGGCACCCAGGAAGACCCCAGGCCACCAAGGACCAATGGCAGTAGGGTAGTGGAACTTAGGAAGAGCCAGGTTCCCCCAGCTGGCCGGATGGTAGAGTGGGTCCGAGGGGAGGTGTTGGGGGGATTGGGTTGGGTGATTCGTACCCTCTATACCACCATGGCGCTGGTGGTGATTGAGCTCTTTTGCCCTAGTGGCCTAATATATTGTTGGGCACTAGTTGCCCAGGTGGCCCTCCACCGCACGTGATTACCCCTATATAGTTAGCTAGCGACCACAACAATAACAAGATCAACCATCCCACACATATTGTATTAGGCCACTAGGGCTTATCTCAGCAAGCTCAGACGCTTCGCAGGATAATTGCTGTTTTAACACTGATTTGATGATTAGTCACTTTTTAAAGAAGCTAATCTAAAATAAGTAATCAACTAACCCAAAATAGTCATATCACATGATGTGCAATTATCCTGCGAAGCGTCTGAAAAAACGGTTCCAGTTTGTTAGCAACACGGGAACGATTTGCTCTATACCTTGTGTATGGGTGAGGAAAGCAAACCAACTCCATCTATTCAGCATCTCTGTACCACCTTAGGACCTAGAGAAATCAATGTTCTTGTGATGGTATCAATTTTTATTTTCATATTCCCATTTCTTAGATATGAAGTATCACCTCAAAGTTGACCCATTTTTTTTTGAACACGGGAAGGATTTGCTATTTACTTGATTTCAACAAGAAATAAAGTGACCATTTTCAACAAGATACATCTATATTAAATATTGATTTTTTTAATATAAAAATTATATATTTATATTCTCCTTCTCTTTAGCTACAACCTAAGGTAGTTTACAAATCTCAAAGATATATGACTGTTGTGTAATTGAAAGTCAAAGTTGAGAAATTTGAAGAATCTATGAAAATCTCAAGAATCTCCACACTTCTCAGACCCTCTGCTCTGAGCACATGACTTGTAACTAAAGTAGTTTAGTGTCATGCTGCTGCAACCGAGCCAATAGAGGGTCTGAGCTCGCTGAGATAAACTAGGGCAAAAGAGCTCAATCACCACCAGCGCCGTGGTGGTATAGAGGGTACGAATCACCCAACCCAATCCCCCCAACATATTGTGTTGCTCTCGCGTAATTAGTTTAATAATGAACAACAACGTTATCTGTTGGGGGGGTTTGGATTGGTTCGTCCCTACCAGCATGGCGCTTGTGTGAGAGAGCTCTTTTGCCTCAGTGACCTAACAGAACAATGCAGAAGTTCAATTACTAATATATTGATGTTGCGAGCACGTGTGGAGTAATTGATTGGTCCAGAAGTTAGCAGGACTTGACAGAAGTCTAAAGGAGTTTAGTTGATCGCGCTAATCTGAAAATATCGAGAAGAGAGGCTGAGATAAGGAATCAACATCGATTTAGATTACCACTAATGCAGCCCAGCACATCAAAGGCGCCTGGAGATGAATGCCCCCTCCTTCGATTGTTGTGTTTCATCCACCCAACCTCCTGCCATTCTGCAAGCTCAAATTTGCCAGTCAAATTCCCGCGAAACAAAGCTCCTTAATGCCAAAGGTGAACACCAAAAGGTTAGAAAACTGTACAACAACCTTCTTATGTTAATAAATTGGTCTGACATGGTACAAGACACGATGTCCGAGTGTTATCCACAGCAAAACTCGCCCGGTGCTTCATGCGGAGCTGACAAGCTAGTCTGCATCACTCTCGAGGAGCTGCTGCAAAGAAATCCTCAAGCAAGAATGAGTGATCTGCCTACTGGTACTCGAGTTCTTGTTAACGCCCAATATTGGGTTACGGTTGGCAAAGACAGTCCTCAGGGGGAAAGCGGAGTTGGGACACAACAAAACATCAAGAAAATGGAAAAAACCCCACCTGACGGCAAGGATTCTGAGAGGATCACTGAAATCAAACGGTTACAGGAAGAGAGGGCAGCAGTAGAAGCTTGCCTCCTTATAGTGCGGAAGGCAGAAAATATGCTGGTAAATCTCCCTTTTATTTCCAATCGCATTTTCAGTTATGTCTGTGTCTAAGTTCAATTTATTCCAGTCCGAGGGCAGCCGGGTAACCGACGACGAATGGCAGATGGCATAAATGGGATAATATCTCAGGCAATTATCATTGTTATTATCAAGTTTAACATCCATGTCTAGCCTATAAGCTACGGCAGGCTCGTCTCGGGTAATAAAAGGATGTACGCAGAGTAGTTAATTCCACTCAATTGTGGATTTGTCAATTGTTTGTTTGACAGTATTTTGCGGGTCATTTAGATAGGCAGGCATGACAACATTCATATCTCTTAACAAAGTGGCAATTTTATCATCCTAGAAGTTTTTTTTGCCTTGTGCTGCATTCTCATCAAGAAAACAAAGAAGCAACGTGAAGGAAGACGGGCGACTGGCAGTTGGCGGAGTAAACAGCACAGGGGTTGCTCTCAGGCAGGGGCCTTGGGGTGTTTGACATGGTGTAGCTGTTGGATCACCTGGGCATCTTGCTACACTGTATTCATCTCCATCTCCATCTCCATCCCCATTGAGGGGACATTTACCCAAACCTGGGTTACAGACAATCTGTCGACCCGTCCGTCGAGGGAGACATTTACCCAACAATAAAGATTCCCTGGCTGGACATATCAAGACACTTGAGATCGGTGATCTGAGAAAAGATGATACTAGACAGATGGATGAATTGGATGAATTGGTGAAAGCAGTGGGATGGGAGACAGCCCATCGATGAAAGTGTCGCACTTGCTATCATGGGATATTTTCTGTCCATCTTTTGATCAATTTTGGCATCAGTAGCTTGATTCCGATTTTCCTCCATCTCCACTATCTCTCTCACAACCTGTACCTGTCTCTCTTCCTCCCTTTAACTCTCTATTTCACTCCATTTCTTGACTTCCTTCTGTTTTTGCTTCAGCCTTTCAGCTTCCGCTTCCGCCTGTGCTGCTTTGTAGATTTGACTAGGGTTGATATAGCTTGATGTAGCGATATTCGGCGGTAGAATTTATGTGGGAGTGATTTGACGGGGTATTTTGGGCATGCGACACAGCAGGGTGCCGTCGAGAGGTGTTGACAATATTCTGTTGCACGGTGCTCTTGAAAAGTTGAATGATCAGAACATTGTGGCTAGTATGGACAAAGAATGCTTGGGGCGCGCGTGGGATAAGGAGGGTTGGCTCTGAGATATTCTACTAGACTGTGGAGAAATGTTTTGATTGTTGCAGTGAGGAAACAAATCAAGTTAATTGCAAAGCATGGCCGTCTTGGAGCTCGAATAGAAGAACCAAAAATGATCCCATGTAACAATCATGGAAAGTAAAATCTTTCTTGAAGTCAATGAGGATTAGGTATCTTGTCGCATAAATTCTATTAGATGTGGACGAACCGCCGGGCTGGGCGGCAAAGACCTCACGTACGTAGCGGCTTATTTAGGAGTGTTAATCCCGATACTTTGCGTGTTAAAGAAGTGATATAAAATTTGTGGTTATGGGTAGCCATCGGATCTATGTCAATTCCATTAGTATTAGAAACAATCTCCTTCACATGATCATGCATTTTATCTCTCGAAAGTTCGTACATACTTCTGAAACTGCAGAACCAACAATCCCAACACAGGAATTATTTCCTCGCATGAAACTGGTTGTTGAAACTGCTGAATAGTTGCTAGGAGGCAATTAGACTGATATGTATGTCCATCGATCTTCCACGACCTGGGGTGTGGCCGTAACTGGTTTCGGCTATTGTTGAAATATTATACTCGTGGGCGTGGTGGTGTGGCTTGGCCCACAGCAGGCATGGCCATCCAACCCACCACCTAGCTCTGCTGAGGCTAGCTCAATGATCCAACAGCATTCCTATCCATCTTCGGAAAGAGATGCTAAGAACAAAAGCCCACAGAAACCCAAGTGCCTCTGCTTTGGCAGGTTTGTGTGGTTGAAATAAGATGACATGAGATAGTGTAAGTCCACATTGAAGAAATTGGCTGTCCCATTGGAGATTCAGACTGGAGTCAGTGGACTTCTTTGGCTTCGCGTCGGTGTCGTGGCGGGCTGGTCAGAAACCCTTTGTATTCGGAAGAGAGGGTGGGCTGGATGGAGGAACAGAAGTCAAAGGAAGTGGAGGAAGAGGGGGCTGATTTTCTTCCCCTGGAAAACTCTGTGATATCCTTTCGGGGGTCCTGAAGGTTTTACTGTCTCTGATACTGCTTCCATAGTTTTATTCCCCAATTCCTGAAAAGATTCATGATATGCCTGTAGAATAGCTTCATTTGGCGGTATAGCATTCGGCCAAGCTCCCTTAATTAATTCTCCGCGCCTCGGAGCGCGTGGCATGGTGACTTTGCAACCCTTGACAAGTGTGTTTTCACCATCACTACAATGTTGTGCTGATTGTAGAGTGTGGGATGTAGAGTATTCGCCAGTCCATAAGCAAAATATTTGGGAGTATGAATCCTGATACTTTGCAAGTTAAAGAAGTGATATAAAATTTGTGGTGTCTTATGGGTAGCTCTATCGGATCCATGTCGATTCCATTAGAAATAGTATTAGGAATGACCTCCTTCACGTCAGTGTTGGCAATGTTTCCCGCGGCCATTACCTTTAGTTATTTCCTTGCATGAAACTGGCTGTTGAAACTGATGGCCAGTGGTGGGGTCCATGAATTTTTCAAAAATGGAAGGTAAAGCTGTATCGATGTCGTAGAATTGGAGTTGTTGGACGTGTCCTCGCATTTGTTCAAAGATGCCAGAGCGCTCGATTTCTGGGGTGATGGATGCACTTTTGAAGAGCATCAGGAGCAAGAGAATCATCAGCTGATCTTTGGAGACAGCCTCTTTCTTTCATTGAGATGTAGCGGAAGCTGAGATTGGAGGTGTTAGTTGCGCTTTTTTGATTATCCGAACATGATACATTTGTAAAAACGCGTTGGCAGGAGGGGGAGGGGCCATGGGGAGCTGTATACTCACGTCTGCGATTCGCGGGCGGGCTTTGGGCCTGTAAGTTTGTGTTTGCATTTGGGGATGGGAAGCCCTGGGGCAATCAGTCCAACACGCCATCCCTCGCAGCCCTCGGGCAATCCAGTGAGACGGCGCAGGTGCATTTGCAAGGGTCTGCAGTAGGTCTTTTTCTCTTTGAAACAGAGGCGTCAAACATACACTCTAGGTCATCATAGGTTTCCCATTAATAGGTTAGGGCCATCGAAGACGGTTGGTTGAGACATGAACAGAAGAGAGAAAGATAAAGATGGAGAGAAATCAAGTTCACCGGGCAAAGGATCATATATATAGAGGAAAGCTGGTGGTGAAGGGTCATTTTCTCACGACAGGGAATGGATGGAAGATCACTGGGGTGTCTGAAATTGAATGAAGCATCCAGCAGGGATTGTCTCAGAGCATCTGAGGAGAAAGTTAGAAATTGAATAATACTGGATTGATAACTAGATGTGCTACATTACAAATGCACACACTAGAGTTAGTTGGTTGGGATAATTTCCTTTGGAAGCTGGTGAAACTGATGATAACAAGAGCTGTTACCATTCTGAAGAAAGCAGATTTCTGCGTTTCTTTAAATATTTGCCTGCATGATCTCATTCATATGAGCTGGGGTATCTGTCAAATCCGTTTGTCCCTCTCATTTCCTCTTGTTTCGGCGGTTGCTGATCTATCAGGACGATGCTGATTTCCTACGAATATCACAGATCTACCTTTACGAATAGCACATCGTCCTGGCATATTTTCCTCGATTGTCTGTAACTTCTGAAGGAGTTCCTTCATAGTTCTGAGGTTCATCGTTGCGTCGATCTAGCTCAGTGCGTAGCACCTTCAACGCTTTACTACGCAGGTTATCCATACTCTGTTCTTCGTTATATGGGGGTAAGTACAGTAGTACTCCCAATCCTCGAGATATTTAGAGAAATCACGTATCGACTGCCACTCCTGTTGCTTCCTGGAATCTCTGGCTCGCTAATCAGCACTGGTTCTGTGGATCGTCTCTAGGTGTGATAACATGTCGTCGAACGTTAACGGCGTCGTTCCTTTGTGTCTCTCATACAATGATACAAAATTTAGCCATTTCTGCTTAACGTGAGCATCAAGGTAGAGTTTGGTGTCATTTATCTTGCATTGTTCCTTTCAATAATATCGGCGGTGGCGAGAGAGTCAACATGCGATCTTTGTAGTCCTTAAATTCTAACATATTCTTTCCTCTCTAGTAATCCTTAATCTCTAATCTCGGCGGCGTTTCGTTATCGTCATCTATACTACTTGCGGCTTGGTTAGGCGGTGGTTCTACGGCGACATCCTGGGTTGGTCGGGAAGAATCTTCACGAATTGCGCTTCCAACTCGTTGAGGCGTTGTTGTGCCCATTCAACTGTTGCAATCGAGCATTATGATCGTCGGAGGCGGTAGAGGATTTAGGTTGATTCTCAAAAGATCTTGCGCGTGTGGAAACCATCTTGCCTAACTAACATTGCGAATTCTTGTTGTAGGGCGTGCGTAACAACGGACCACTCAGACAGGTTTAGAGCGATTGGAATTGTAAGAGGTACACTACAAGGGCTACAAGAGCAGTACGCAATATTAATAAGATAGCAATCTCTTATATTCAAAGCTAATCGCCGATCTCCTAAGATATTGAAGGTTTCCTGAACGAGCGAGCTCAAGGCTGGTATGCCAGATGTGGGATTCCCTATCGAAAAGGGTTCCTGCTGTATGGGCCTCCTGGAACCGGGAAGTCCAGTTTCAGCTTATCTGTCGCCGGGCGTTTTGGGCTGGATATCTATGTACTCAATCTTTCAAGCATCAACAACAGCCGCCTGAGCAGTTTGTTTGCCCAGCTCCCCCCACATTGTGTCATTCTCCTAGAAGATATCAATGCTAGTACAGCACAAACGGAAGGCAGTGGAACAATGAAGAACAGCACTAGGGTTGATATAGCTTGATGTAGCGATATTCGGCGGTAGAATTTATGTGGGAGGGATTTGACGGGGTATTTTGGGCATGTGACACAGCAGGGTGCCATCGAGAGGTGTTGACAATGTTCTGTGCGGAGAAATGTTTTGTTGATGAAACAGCTGGCTCAGTGGGCTGAAGGTGAGGACTGTGGGACTCAGAGACACTAAATTGGAGCGCGGAGGTCCATGGCTTGAATTATAAGAATGTGGTGTTGAGGATGAGCCAACAGGTCCAGGCCTCTGGGAATTGGCACGGAGGAGTGGTAATGCTGAAAGAGAGAGTAATTTGTTCAAGGATAGAGAAAACTAAGGGGGAAAGAAAGAAAAGAAAAGAGAGAGAGAGCTAAATGGTCATATTTTTTAAGTGAGAGCACTCCCCCGTGCTACATCAAATCCTCTAAAAACGCAATAATGTTGAGAACTTGGTAAGTTCTACTATCAAGGATTCGAGAAGATTCGAGCAGCAGCATGAATGTCCTACTAGATAAAACTTAACAATGCTCAGAACTATCTCTTGTGTATATCTAGGCATGACCTTTCTTATAAATACTGCCTACTTTTCATGTAATTAAGGGAGTTATAATAAGCAATTCAATTAATATTATCAATATTCAGTATTTGGGGCAATATTCGGACTTCATTAGTTCCGACAAATAATAATTAATTACAGGATTCGGACCCTGATTTCCTCTTTGGGAATAGGTTCCTGTACAGCAATAACCGTATGCTGACTGACAGCATCAACAATTGAAGGCCAAACAACACTTTTGTAATTGCCGTTCTCTGTCTCCAAGCCCCGTTTTTTGGCATCAATGAAGGTATTGAGCATGGCCAGCTCTATGTCAGGGGTCCAATCAGAAATATACCAGGTTCTTCAGAAAGCACAGGGTTCTGCTGTCCCTGTATTTCTGGGGATGATTGATTTGAAATTGTTCCTTTTCCTCCATGGTGCTGGGGACATCCGCCACATGCTTCTCATGGGTTGGGCGGGGGAAAGTATAGAGAACGTCAAAGACAAGGAAGTGCTAAGTCGTGAGATTTCCAGGTCGAAGAGGGAAATCCGCATGCTGGGAGTGGTACATAAAGACCTGCGGTCTGCCAACATGTTATGGAATAACGAACTGCACCGGGTTCTGATCATAGACTTTCACCGGTCAGACATAGACAGGCGCCCGATGAAAAAGCGGGTTGGATCCTTGAAAAGGTCACTTCTTTGCTTTCACTAGTGCCTCCGTGAAAATTCCATTCTTGAACTCTTCAACCACCTTGCCTTCGCCTGGCCCTTCGTAATGTACATATCCAGAATGGTACCCAGAAAAATGACTCAAGATTGTGCGTAAAGGAGCGTTTCTCATCTGCTAAAAGTACACCAATTGCCATCATGTCCAACTCTGGGAACTGGCCGATGGCGCAACATATTGCAGGGACAGTTCATCGATCAGATGAGGGTGCATTGAACATGCTAGGAGAAACGGTGTCTATGAACAGAGGGAGATTTCTATGACATCCACAGTACAACCTCCGCGCCCGTTGATGCATGGCTAGCGGTGTTTACGATTATCGAACTACAGCACAATATCAAACAAGGCCGATTCCGTACCGGATAACAGACGAACTCATCAAGATTTAGCATTATAGCAAGTAACTAGATACAATTGCCGATGAAGGGAATAATAACACCTGGTAGACGACCTCCACAAACATGGGAGCCGGAAAAAAATAGGAATCTCTCCAGTCTGTCTGGTCGAGAAGGCAAACTCCTAATTAACTTCTCATCAAACTAAACACCAGGGCCTCCCGGATTGATCATTCACATCAAACTTTCCATTATAAAACCATAAAGTTGAGACAGAAGAACGCATTGGGTCGGCCGGACTTCCATGGTGGATCATGCATTGTGCACTTGGGTGCTCTCTGTAAGGTCCTCAAAAGAGTCTGTGGGGTTGATAATTGCACATGCCCTGGCATAATTCTTCACCTTTCCCCTTTCTTTGCTGGCTTCAGGTGAATATCTCATCTCACAACATTCTTTCATCGCAGGATCGAAATCAACGTTCTCCTTATCCATAAATATGGGATCACATTCCATCCAAGTTGGTGGTATATCGGGCATATATTTATCCATAAGCACGGGCGATTCAGTTTTGGGATTGCATGATAAGGATATCTCCTGCTCTTGCGGCTTCAGCTTAGAAGCATTATCCATCTCTGAACACACGTCAGCATATGATCTCAGTCTCCAGTTGAGATATCAATTACCTTGTTCCACCCTGGCTTCGTGAAGAGCCTCTATGAGTTCTCTCGATTGAGAATGCTGATACTCATCTTCTGGTGCCATGCTCTGCTGAGGACTTTCATTGATGGGGGTGCATGGAGGCGTTCCAGCCGGCGGAGTAGTGGCAGAGGCCTTGCCATTGAGCTTTATTGCTTTGGACATGGTGATAGTTGATGGTCTTAGAAACTGGGCTGAGGAGATTGGCTTGTCATGTCTTTCGGGAGTCTTGAATGTCTGTTAATTGAATGTCTGTTAATTGCCTTAGGATTTCAGAGGGAATTGTGCCTCCTTATATGCCACTTTGTCAACACTCCTGGCACCTATTCTTTCGTCGCCTTCCACTTCCGCTGGACCATGCGGACACGGGAGGGGATGGCTGTCGCCCTCCCAATTTAGATATGCATAAACCTGTGCCGCAGCATAGTCTCGACCCTGTCGACTAGCAATCCAAAAACCCGTTGCTGGAGAAGCTTGCCGTCGTCCGCTCTGCGTAGCGAACTTGCAGGAGAAGCAGTACAGGATGACCTATGCAGGCGATTGGCAATTAATCGAGCTTGCAATAACAATGTCAATAATGTAGCATGAACGTGTACTGAATGAGAAACTCTGTCCTTGCGGATCGTTCCGTTGTACATAGGCATAGCTTTGAAGAACATCCGTTCATCTATCATTGGTTACATTCGCGTGTCCGACTGGTAGACAGGGTTTTTGTCTGGATGCTCTAATTCGCAGTTGATGTTTCGTTGTAAAGAAAAGAAAAAATGCTTTGTAAATTACAAAGGGAGAGGTGTAATGTAATTATGCAGTAGCGCGATGCTTCAGTTGAATGTCTTACAAACTTCTGCCTAACTTCCGCAGATTTTCACCAACTTCTATCAAACTTCTCAACATTTTGTACTTTACCATCAATTTTCACTAAATTCTTAAACTTGTCCCAAAAGAACCACAATCAAAGTCCAACTTCTTGCTAATGTGGTTCATTTTATCTCCACTTCTGTCAAACTTCCTCTTTTTAATTGCTCTTACCACTGATCTTATCAAAATCCCTCCAACTCTTGAAAGGAAAAACAAACTTTCCCAAACTCAGTCAATCTTATCGCAAACTTCACTCAAACTGCAGCAAGACAAGTTTTGAATGATACCCATTTTTCCTGATGGCAGACATTGAGCAGGAGAGGGAAAAGTCTAATAACAAACAGAATGCAATTGACACATGCAGTCAAAAACTACAAAGAGATGCTGAAACAATTAAGATTTTGGAACGCTTGGCTGGGCGTGGTCCACAGCATGTTCGAGATGCTATTAGCATCTTGAAATCACCACAGTGTACTCGTGAGTTGAGTGTTTATCAGCTGTTTTTGCATGACATTCTACGCCTCTGCGACCGTGGACTTGTTGTGCTATGTGCTGCGAGCCTCGGAAAACAACGAGTAGCCCATCTAGCCGAGGATGAGAGAACTGGTCTTGTGGGTTATGTCAAGGAAAACAAGAGCCTCTTAGGTTGCTCAGCGCTGGAGTCACTTGCCAATGATTACCAGATTCCACTCAAGGACGGTCCGTTAAACCTGTCTTTGTGATTGATGAAGGCTGATATCGTATAACAGATCCTCAGCTGATTAATCCCCAGCGGATAGACACCGTGTCTATTGATCCATCAAGGAAGCGCCTGAAGCGTCCAGCCTCAAAAACTAGTATGAGTCCAAATCCTTTAATCTTATCCTGCCACTAAGAGAAAACACTTGTATGAGAAATTGGTCTATTGATGATTCAAATTGGGCTGATCAGAGCTAGTTTCACCCCCATATCGCACAAAGTTACAACATAATGATCTTCTGAGTTTTCTGGAAAAGAACCAAGGGCGATATGTTGCCTTGGCAATAAGGATTCCAGATGATGAAAACGAATCGCCGTCGATTGAGATATCAAGGGAAATGTGCCAAGATCTGATCGAACATGCTATGGAAAGCGAACGGCAGCGGATTGGTCTCTAAGTAGAACGAGGAAGGATATACAGAACCGTAGATCGCCCGTATAGCATACATGTCTGTCCCGCCAATATCTCGGCCTTGACACAGCCAGATTCACCGCGACCTGTATAGATAATGCGAGGATCTTTACCTCCTCCAGTTATCTGCGCATACCCACGTCCGCTGCCCTTATCGACAACAACTCCACAAACATTTGGTGACTTTTCGTACTTAAAATCTTCTTCCCCAGTTGTTTCCTCCAGTGCGAGTTCTACGTCATCGTCGCCTGCTATCTGGACAGGAGTCAGACAGTTATATCGTCAATGTAGAGTAATAACATTGCTTACCATGTCTTTGGCTGTTTCCTTCAAGAATTTCTTATCACGTTCACTCCTTGGCATCCTGGCCCTTTTTGCGAAAAGGAACTCTTGTCTATCTGTTCTAATTCGAACTTCAGTTTCCAAGAAAATATCACCCAGCAGACAGTATTTACATACCGGTCTTTTGCAGGTGTAGCGAGATCAGGACAGCGAGCAGGTGTTCTGAGAAGAATGTATCGCACCGTTACCTGAACGGGCGCCTTTCAGCTGTGGTACGTGTGATAGATAAGAAGGTTGAGATTGTATTTACCTTAGTTGCTATGTTGTGAGAATGTGCCGGTTGGATAAAGAAGGTCCCCTAGGTGAACAAGAATGAAGCTCGAAGCTTTAAGTATAGAGCCGGAGGGAGAAGTGAGCGATGATGAAAGTAAAATATCGCTTGAGGGGCAAAAATCTATTCATGTGATCTGAACAAGAAGATCCTAGTGAAGTTTGGCAAATGAATACTCATTTTGATTCCTTCTTCGGTACATCCAGCCAAACAAGCACTGAACTATGAAATGTGGGTAGATCAGGTATCAATGCGTTAGACAGGTGGAAATCAATAATTCCTCGCTGAGTTTGTGAAAGATTATGTTTTTGTGTTCTTACCCCTCCTCAAAGTGATATAAATTGCTAGTATAACAGAAGGACTGCTGGTAACAATCCCCCTGCAAAATGGCTAGCGCAGAAAAGATTTACGAATCCATTGTGGCGTTATGTTGAAACTGCACTAGTCTATAGCCAGTTGGCACCTCACCTTGCGACCCCGACGCCTCAGACAAATAATCATAAAGCCAGATTTCCGAATGCAGCCGCGGATCGCATTCAGTGCTTTGGAAGTGGTTGCCTCTGTCATATTCACGAGATTAGGCCGGAATGACTTCCAACCTTCAGATCCGATTTTAGGAGCCCCATGCCGCAGCGCGACCTCCTAGACAACCCCCTACTACTATGTGAAGGTAATAATTGCCAGCCTCATCTTGAGTCACGCCCGGTGGTGCCAAACCTGCGCGCTTACCACCCATTCTTCAAGCTTTGGCTGTTCACTTGGCCATATACAAATGTAAAAAATAGACAAGGTTTTGCGAGAATGGGCCATCTCCATTGGTCAGCGTTGATATAATCCACGTGACCTCGCCTGATGTTGGAGCTACTACATATTAGGCCACTAGGGCAAAAGAGCTCAATCACCACCAGCGCCGTGGTGGTATAGAGGGTACGAATCACCCAACCCAATCCCCCCAACACTACACAAGCCCTATCCCACGTGACCCGCACACATATATTAGCTCGCCACTAGATAGATAAACAACCAACCAAGGATCAACCCTCTTACATCTGATGATAGTTCCAGAAATCTGCCAGCAGCTTCAAACCTCCATACTTCTACATATCATCCAGTGTCATCTTGGCATGCACTTCATAACCCCCAAGAACCCTCTTTACATTTCGTCGGAGGGATGGAATGGCGACAAACCAATCGGAACAGCAGGGCATGTCAGTGGGACTCATTGAATCATCAATTATGATTGGGTCTTCTGCGGGAGTGAGATGTGAGAAATGGTTTTCACAGAGTGAGTGCTGAGCCTTACAGCAGAACACGAGTACTTCCATGACCTTCTTTATGTGTCATATCTCTGTGCTTCTTGTCATCTATCCATTCTGCTATCTGGTACATTTCATCCCTGTCTCCCTTATACACTGAGAAAGAGGCAAGAGGATGTATTCCTGCTTATCTAGCGTCTTTCTCCATGCATCGCCTTCCCAACAGTCGGACACCAAGGGGCCAGCTTGCTCCGATCGGTGGACTTCGTGGTATTCTTTGCCCGGGCGTGGGACAGCCTCTATGGAATCATTGGACTAACAGCTCCTTTGATGTCTTCGCAATAGTCAGGGACCAGGGGAGAAGTTGACTCTCCTCAATTGGGTGGGTCATTGGCAACGCGGGTAAGCCTCCTCGATGGGGCCGTCGGAGAAATCCGACAGTGAAGTGACGGTGGGGGAATAACAGCTGAGGAAGAGTCAGGATCCAATCATCTCGGTTAATGTCATCAAGACCAGAGACGGTGGATGGCATCGCAGAAAAATCGGCACCCATCTCACTTGCTACATCCTTGGAGAGGTCACCGGATGCAGAGAAGGGACATGGGCATGGGCATGAGCATTGGAAGGAGGTGCTGGGGCTCTTCAAACCGAGGATCAGAAGTGCACGCTTCCGGGAGATGCACTGTGTGCAGCCGAGATGAGAGAGAACCATCGGCAGGTCCAGGGGAGGTGATATAGTACATGAAGGTAGCCATGTTGTGAGATGAGGAGGATGCTCATTTCTCCTCGATCTCGATCCAGGAGGCACGGGGGAGTTGCATTGATGGGGTGGACCAATGTAGAAGTGCTCCTGGCCACACACTCATGCGTCAATATCAATCAGTCCATCCAATCAACCCCTTTTTTTACCCCTGGCAACGCGCTAGAAGTCGAATTAGCAAACAACTCAAATCTGTTCCTACAATCAATGGGGCCAGGGACAAGGAGCAAGGGGGTGGCATGCATCAGAAAGGCCGAGCTTCACCCAACCACGTATGCCAGAGCCCGGCTTCGCCTCGGTGCTTGAGCCCATGGATGTCTCCACTCTTAAGTGAAAACACCCAGCCTAAAAGCAATATCCGGGGTGCGACCTGCATCGAGGCTTACACCCACCCACGAGTGTAGTTTGGCAATCCCATAAGGCCTTTCACGAAAGCAAATTGGGGGAAAATGACAAATGCAGTTCATGCTCTGGCCAATGCTGGTTTCTGTCCAAAGGGTGCAGCAAGGTGGGCGACAGATCAAACAAACTTGGGCTCTCATCCCACCAACATCGACTAGAAGGAATTATACTAAATCAGTGCTTTCCTCACCCCTGCTAAAACTCCAGGTTCAACCGGCAAACTTCAATGCTCTCCTCCAGTCGATAAGACAAGGGACATGGGGCTGGCATGTAATTGATGGAACTACACCCGCAGCCAATCATTTGCGCCAGAACCAGTGCAGAAGCATTCTTATCCCTGTGCTCTTTTGTAAGAGGGCGCAGTGAGATGAGTACCGGAGAAGCCTTGAGCTTCAGGAAGTATGAGCCAGGTGGAAGGGATGGCTGACAGATGGTGCGGCCAGTTCAACAAACATGGGGTTTGAGATATAAAAGGTTACAAAAGGCTCTTCCCCTCTCATTTGAAAACAGCCTTCGCCCTTGTCCAAATTTTTTTCCTACTTCAATATCCGCCCGTCTTACTTGAAATATTCTCTACTCTGCATCTGCATCCTCAGCATGGATAGGCAAGGAGCTGATGACCCTCTACCACTACCCAGTCAACTTTTGTTGTCCGGTGCGCAGCAATCCACTCTCCCAGCTTATCGCGAGATGTTGGGCGATTTTCTCCAGAAGGCACCCTTCCAAACCTATGCCTCTGGTAAGGCTTACCCCATCTCCATCCTTCTACTTCTATTTCTCACTCAAGACTGCAGCTTCTCTCAACATCCTCCCCACACACCTGTCTGTTGACAGAACTAACCAGTCCCAACGTTCTGGCGATATCCCATCCAAAGACAGAGACAATATCTCGGATTCTGAGGCTACGACAGAGCCTTTGGTTCATGGCGAATTGGAAAATCGTCACTATTGGTGTGAGGCATGGCAGGTTGAAAAGAGCCTTAAGATTCATCATGTTGGAGGTAAAGTATGGCGAAATAACAAATACGTTCACCGTGTGCTTTATGTGGTGGAAACATATCTCCCAGACAATTGGCTCCCTGAAAATGCAAGGCTCCAACTGTGGAAGGAGGAAGAGAAAAAAAAGAAGTGGAAGACGAAGATGCAACGAAAGAAACGTCTGAGCACATTACGTCCTCGGCCATCAACCCGCAATTAATGGAAGATGTCTATTTCTTTATTTGATATTATAATACACAGTCATTTATTCATCTGCCTTCTATTCACTTCTATGGAGAGGACTTCATTGGTCAAGAAGTTAGTAGAAGTTATCAGAAATTAAGAGAGTCTACAGAAGTTTTATTATTGGAGATGTCTAGCTACTCTATAGAAAGATAATCTCTTCCTCTGGGAGACGCAGTTCAAACACGGCCGAAATGAGATACCTTCTTAATCATAATGTCTGCATTTTTTGTCCTCAGAGTGGTCTTCACTTGCATCGTCGTACCTTGATAATGGGATTGTATAAGTTTTGGGTCTTGCGGGGTGTCAACAATAATTCCTCTGATCCCTTCCCTATAAATACTGCCTAGTTATCATATAATTATCAGAGTTATCATAGTCAATTCAATTATCTATCGATATTCAGTATTTAGGTCAATATTCGGACATTATCCAGCTCCGACAGAATGTCTCATAAAGCTCTGTAAAGTGGTTTGATAAACTCAAATTCTGAAGGAAATTCAGTCAAAATATCCTCAAGCTCATCTGCACCCATATCAGTTCACTTGATTTTTGTGATTTTTTATAAGTTCCAGTACTCCTTCAGCATATTGGTGGAGAACATTCATCAGTTTCTGTGTTGCCTTGTTTGAGATTTGAGATTTTCTCATGGCTTTCTCCGTTTCTTCAGCATACTATCTTCTGACAAGTCGCTGGTATAACTTCTGCAATTGCTTTAATTTTTCCCAACCGTGACAGGCGCACGGTTTCGGATTGTAAATCATGGCCGAGTTAAATCGCGAGTCAAATGGCATGGGCCACGGTTTCGGATCGCAGATCATAGGTCCAAGCATGCAAGCACCGCGGCAAAACAACTACATTCAACAGAAGTACACCTTTAAAAAGCGACATTAGCACTCAATGGAGGCCACTGTATTACACTCGCTCGTAGCTATAAATTGAAATCTCTTCTCATAATGCCAAGTGATAATTATCAAGTCTCAGATCCTTCATCTTAATTGGAATTAATTGCTACATTATGAAGGCATCAAACTCAAAGCGTGTCAAGAAGCCATGGACCGAGCGCCGTAGCCTCGTGCAGATGCGTTACCGACGGAAAGGCACACTACGGCGTATGCTGTATAGCTATTTCGATGACTGTCGTTGCAAAGGTGTCTACCTTCTCATCCATGAAGACAATCGGTACTTCACAGTTAACTTTAACAAATCTGATTCGAGCATCCACTTTCCACCATCAGATAAAGATATAGTGAGTGATATCCAGTACAATTCTGGAAAGATGCAGCTCTTACAGAAACAGGAGATGCATTACCCCCCTCCGTCCCGAACAACGTGCGAGAACTACATGGAATATCAGAATTCTAGGGAGGTGAAAGGAGAAAAACAAGGGAAACTGGAGAATAAGCATTGAATAAACAAAAGATTTTGTTGTAGATTATATTTAAATTCAAGATCATCACTAATTTTTTTTTGAAAAGTAATTGAGTCTAAATTCTATTGATTGCTTCCACAGATGCAGCCGCTGAATCTATTCACTTATAAATTCAAATCACGCTCAAAGCTATAGCGCTTGCTGACATCTGACAGTACGGCATCACGGCAGCCTATAGTGACAAATGTGTCAAATGGGTTTTTTATACTAGTGTTACAATGTACACGCACCAATCATACTCATTTGATTTGTAATTAGAGCTTGTTGATTATTAGGAAGCAATGCATTGCTAGATATCATCTTTGATATATCTCATCACTGTAACCACTAGATTATTCATAGCCAAAAGCCAATATAACCATTTGTTAAATGGTTGCACTCATAGTGATATATATATCCATGGGTGTGGTGGTGTGGCCCAGCCCACAGCGGGCGTGGCCACAGCTTCAATATAGTAGAACCAATGCCTCGCCCTTTTGGGCTGCATTATATTTCGCGTTGCTGGTTTCCCAGAACTGAAGGAAGAAGGAGAAGAGCTGAAAAGCATATATGGCTCACTTCTGTGGAATTGGATGTATTGCAATAATTATAGTGCCAGCCAATTTTGATATAGTTAAAAAATCATAATTGATATCAACTGATAAATCAAGTAATCAGCTATGTAGCAACTCTACTTGGCTTTTATACATTTATTCTACACAGTCAGCTTTATTTCAGCTTGCACTTCTTTTAGCTTGCAGTCATTTGGCTTATCCTTCCCTTGATCCCTTCCAACAGCCAATTTTTATCATTCAAGCCATCAGTGCCAGCTCAAGATGAGCAAAAGAATATTAATATCTAATAAATTCTAAGTTATAGTGAATAGAGATTAAATTTGAATAGTTAATAAGACATACTATTAATGAACACATTTATTTTGTATTTAGTATTGTATTCTGGCTAAGAGATTATGTCAAGTTTGTTGTTAGAAGGTTAAAGGAGAAAAAACAGAAAAACAATCAACTGCTGAAGGTTTGTCGAAACTAATAAAGTCCGAATATTGCCCCAAATACTGAATATCGATAGAATAATTGAATTGCTTATTATAACTCCACTAATTACATGAAAAGTGGGCAGTATTTATAGGGAAGGTCATGTCTAGATATACGCAAGGGATAGTACTGAGCATGGCTAAGTTTTATATAGCTGGACATTCATGCTGCTGCTCAAATCTTCTCGAATCTTTGATAGCAGAACTTACCAAGTTCTTGACAAGGTTTTTCTAGTCAAAAATTGAAGCACTAGTTTTTTGAACACTCTCTAGCAGATCGCCGGAACTGGGTAATGTCCTAATATTGATTCAAATACTGAATATCGATAGAATATTGATTTGACTATGATAACTCCGATAATGTAATGCACTCGCTTACTATTTCCTTATATTCTCGCTTATTATTGCTATCTTATTGCTATGTTCTCGCTACCACTATTTCTATATGTATATATATATGCTTGCATGTACTCCACACATCTTCTTCTTTCTTTTCTTCTTTTCTTCCTTAGCGATTAGCTACTATCTATTATTGTATTACTACTATTATCCACACTATAAACTATCTTCTACTATTCACTCTTCACACTGTTATCACCCCTCACAGATAATTACATGATAAAAACGTAGTATTTTATAAGGGAATGCTCGATTATACAAGCGAGGGAGGTGCGGAGCAAGCAAGGCAGTACTGACAAAGTATCACAAAATATCTCCAACATGCATTCAGCAGTGATAAATATCTCATAACTTGATACAATCCTTCATAATGAGGTCTTTATTATTGGAGTCTATGCACAATATATAACTTCTTGAGAGTTAGACCCATGAATCTGACATTATGAAAAGTTATAATAAATGAAAAAAAGCAGAGCAGAATAAAGTCATTTTCTTTAAAATCTAACAGATCACAGCATTGATCTTGAAGTTTAAACTACTTCTGTGGTGGTTTTGGGGGAGAAATGCCTGGGACAATTTTCCTCCAGATTCTTATAAGAAGCCATAGCCGAGGGAGCCAAATCTCTCTAGCCCTACTTGCACCATGCTCTTGAAGAATTTTCTTAATAGCACAGATGTCTGGACCACGTCCAGCCAGGTGCGCCCAGCCAAGTGGTCCAGTCCCTTTCACATCCTTCAGATTCACATTGGCTCCCCTGTCAATCAACAATTTAACCACAGCAAGTGAGCCACTTTCTGCTGCCCAGCTCAATGGTGATCTTCCAATGTAGTCAACACAATCCAGCACAGCTCCAGAATTAAGCAACAATTCAACAGCATCAACACGGCCCATCATAGCTGCGTGAGATAGAGCAGTTCTTCCAGTGCTATCCCTCTCTTTAATATTATTCTCATTTATCAACTTAACTATCTCTGTTATAGATTCTTTGTCAACAGCCAATGAAAGTTGACCTCTTCTATATTGATTTTCACTTCCGTTTCTGAAGAAATCATTAGCATTCAAGTTGCTTTTATATTCATAGAATTATACTAACCTCATTAGACAGACTATTCTTCAATTCAACTTAAGTAAAATAACAGTACTCATTTATATTCAAAACAGATAAATGTTAATTTAAAGTAGAAAAAGTACATTGATGTGTGAAGTGAATTTCTTTAATTTATACAAATATGCAAGCTGATAGTAAATATATTAAAACTTATTAAGATTTATTTTACATTTCTCTAAAATCTGCTCTTGATGTATTTTCAATTTTATAATTTTTTATATCAGCTTGCACATAATATCGCTTGCAACTAAATTGATTTGAATCTAGCTCAGAGTTTGATTGCATTAATAAAAGTCTTTAAAATACTTTTAAATCAAAAATGTACTTCTTTGAAACATTGACTTTTCATAGATGAAATAATCATTTTGTTATTAAATGATGATAATGAGAGTTGAGTTTTTGAAAAGCCTTTATTTCTGCTTATTTACTTAATTTAATAAAAGCTCTATTTATTTATATATTTGAAATATATAAGCTTGCAACAGCAAAGCAGAGTTGAAAATCAAGCTCATTCTTTATATAATGATACAAGGTATGAAAGATTTTTCAACTAGCGCTCATTTAATAATTCTTGTCTTGCATTATAAATAAATCATTATTATACTCTTTCTTTCTTTCTTTCCTTTTTATCTATATTTGTGATAATGCTGATTTGAGAAGAAACTTAAGTAAAACTATGAGTGAAGATACAGTATATGTTCAGATGCTGTTAGATTTGGATAATATTCCCTGGAATCATAATTTTTGTGCTGGACTATTCAATTGGATTCTTCTTGCAGGTTATTTGATTGTTCCTGGAACATTCACATCTCTTCAGAAATCTAATACTATACAAAATCATCTTGATCAACATGGTATAGAACAGGCAATTTTGAATACTATTCAAAACCCTCCTTTGCTTTTTATTGCAAGTATTTTGTTCTTCTTTGGAGCAGTGGGAATGTTGTGGCTTGGAAGAACTTGGAGAAACAATTATATTTGGCTTATCAATCGTCTTTTTCTGTCAGTATTTAAAAATGAATACTTTGCTTGTATTACTGTGTGCAGAAAACTACTGACTAAACTTAGCCCAGGTCTTCTAAACTCATTTGCTGGGCTGCTTACCTCCTTGATCAATGTTTACACTGCTCAAAGTGGTGATTGGTCAATAATGGCTACAGCCACTATAACCATCACTGGGTTGTCAACTACTGTTACTGCAAGTCTTTTTTTCCTTTACAAGTTTCAAAAGCTGAGACAGGTCAAACAAGCACATGAGCATAAAATGAGAAAAGAGCTAAGAAAAAGTGAGGAATAAAGATACTTTAAATAGAAAGTTACAATTTAGTTTTATTCAAGAACGACTGGTTCAATGGTCATGTGACTTATAGATTAAAATAGAAATTATTTCAATTTTATATTAAATGACAATTTTTTAGTTGATTTTTAAACAACCTCTAGTCTTCTATTACATATTGTAGCTGGCATGCTACCGATTGACTAGGCAATACTTTGGTTGCGGATTGTGCCGTTTGTACCACCTGCACGGTTGTACGATCTACCTGCAACGGGCGTACCAACGGACTAAGCACTATTCTAATCACAGATTACAAATCAATTAAGAAAAGGGGAGATGGAGATGGAGATGGAGGAATCAGGGGTTCTTAGAGGAGGATCGGAACGGGAGAATATCGGAGGTCGCGCCATAGTGGAGCGCGGAGCGGAAGAATGTTAGGGGTTACGCGGGGGCGGAATCGCGAAGAGGAGAACTGTTAGGCCACTGGGGCAAAAGAGCTCGATCACCACCAGCGCCATGCTGGAGGGGACCAATCCAAACCCCCCAACACTCTCGTAGGCGCGCGTGGGCACGTGAGCGGGTGAACGGGCGATGGTTACGCAAGATGATTGCTAACAGGTGCTTTCACATATACAAATATAAAAAGAATAGTTATTAGTTTCTTCATATTGATATTATAAAAATGAGTTTATTGGTAAAGTTTTGTTGTAAACATCTTTTCTATTTTTGCAAGCTGCAAGCTGAAAGTTCTAAATGTTTTTGCAGTTAACTACCTTGTTATTACAGGTAATTTCTGCTGGCATTTAACATAATATTAATCTCAGTGTTTGTTAAATCAAAAATAACTTTGAGAATGAAGACTGAACTAAATAAAAAGGCAAAACCACGGAAAATATATAAACATATATATTTGATAAGTATAAAGTAGAAATACTCTTTTTGTTCAAAAATCTGCAAGCACATCATGCGACGAAGAGAGGACGCGGGTTGGCTTGATGTCATCATGGATGATCATGGAGAGTTTAGCATAAGGGATCGTGGTCGTCTTTCACGGCTGGTGAAGGAGTTAAAAGACCCAGAGAAACAACACCCAATGCTATACCTTTTTATTGGCCAAAACATCAAAGATGAAGCGCTCAATGCACTCTTCATGAACAATATAAAACGGACCAGATCCAATGCAACTGTCAACCTTCGAAGTGACATAGGCAAGGAGGCTTCAGATATGCCGATCTTCCTTGCTGATGGCAATCTGATCACAGATATTAAACCACAGCATATATCACCTGGCAAGCAGGGAAGGATATATCCCATTGTCCGGTCAACATTCACAGACAACGAAATCCTTCCCCTGCTTTACGCCCGGCTTCTTTTTCTCTTTACTGACATTGTCTGTATATTTGCGGATGACTTTCCAGGACTCGATTGCATTGCAGATTTCCTCATCTTTGCTGCAAAGGTCGGTTCCGCCTCCATCCTCCCAGTCCAGGTGCGTCCGGTAGTGCTAGTTATTATCCATTCTAGCATTCCTCAGATCAACGACTTTAACCGCAACATATCTGCCAACCGCGGTCACATGTCAAATGCGTTCTCCGATATACGGGTGGTGTCCCTGGATAAAATCTGTGAAACACATCGTGCAAGCACACCAACTCGCTATTGCCGGTTGAAAGGTGTCCTTCAACATCAAGCTGACCATATTACGAACATGCGCTCTGCCCACCGAGCCAGATTTAAAGCATTTCATCTCAAGACCCTCTTTCAAGCGGCTATCGAACACACCGCAGCCACGGTACTTGAGTCATTTGATCATGTCAGAGCGATGCGCACTGGGAATGAGCTTTCCCCAGGCTTGAGCAGCCATCTTGCAACCTACCTTGAACTTGGATCCAAAGCAGGGATTCCTATTGAGGATCTGACACCTTCCATGGCTTCAGCAATGATCACTGATAACTATCCCCCCCGAGCCCACTGTGAGTGTCCCTCTATCTTCCATTTGCAAATTCTGCTAATGATGCAGTGTCGGATCCCAATCTGGTCTTTGAGCATCTATACCGCACCCCAATTATCCAGGCACTTCAATTGCTCTCGAAAAGGTCGCGGACAACCTCTCTGAACCCCAAGAGAGTTTGTGAGCTGGTTCGGAGCGAAATGGATAGGATGTTCTCATCCCTGGAGAGAGAGGAGCGTTCATCAATCGAGCTGCACAAGCTGGAAGTTATGTCGCGGAGTGGTCTCCTGTGCCAAGTAAAATCCAACCGGACATGTCTATGGTGTCAAACTCGAAGGCCACAACACCGCCCAAACTGTGGCCACAGTCTCTGTGATACCTGTGTTCTGAGGTTTGCGCAACCGGCATCAGATGTGGAGTATCGTTTCACACTGAAGCTCTGTATTTTTTGTCTGTCACGAGTCCCTCTTGTTATTGATCTTGTGCCGCCCACGAAACGCGTGAGCATTTTGGCTATTGATGGTGGTGGAGTCCGTGGTGTCATTCCACTTGAAATTCTCCTTCTGTTACAGGAGAAGCTGGGAGCTTGTCCTGTAACTGATGTGTTTGATCTTATAATGGGAACCAGCTCCGGTGAAAACTTTCTTTGGCTGATTTCACCTTTCAGATTGCTGACTGGGCACAGGAGGGATAATCGGGCTACCTCTGGCACATCTGCTCTGGGATGTGCGTTCCTGCTCCGAGGCATTTGACCGCCTCGCTCGAAGAGTCTTTCGAGAAAGGCGGCAGGTCTCACTCGCGTGCTTCCGCCACTCAATAATAGGAAGGGTATTTGAGTGGCTCCTCCGCCATTCTTTACTGGGGGCGTTACTCAAGTGGCTCACCTGGTGGCTATGTGACGGGCTTTACGATGCCGCTATCCTTGAGTCTGTGTTAAGGGAAAGCCTAGGCGGATCTCATCGGATTTTCGACGCAGCGGGCCCTGACAGCACCGGAGCTCTGATATCCCGGACAAAAGTTGGAGTGGTGGCGACAAACATCTCACAGGAGACTTCAACTTTTGTGTTTGGAAATTTCAACGGTGCAGAGGTCTATGATGAGCAGTGTGGTAAGTTGATTCCTTTGCTCTCCAGCCCTTCTGACAATAGCACAGGTTACGAGTTGGTCAGACCCGAGCATGAAAACGACCCATTCCTGTGGCAAGCGTAGGTGGCCAACCATACTAGTATAACGAGTGATCTAGCTGATGATGTAACAGCGCCCGGGCAACCTCTGCGGCTCCATCGTATGGCATCCTACCCCCTCTGTTTTCCTCCAACATTCTAACAGTAGATCTCAAGTGTATTCCCTCCCTATACCGATTTGATAGGAACCTTCCAAGACGGTGGACTCAGGGAAAATAATCCGGCATGGATTGCCCGCCAGGTGAGCCGTCACATCTGGCCAGCAAAGAAGGCATTAGCATTGCTAGTCTCGATTGGTACAGGAGTACAAGAGAACTGCCCACAGAGTCAAGTCGCGCCGTACTTCCGGAATGTATTCAAGGACGGCTTCGCCCGCCGTGCTCTCAATGCCTGGCTCTCTTCTCTGGATGGCGAGAAAAAGTGGAAGGATTTAGTTAGTCAGCTGGACGACGATGCGAAGCAGGATCATATTCGACTGAATGTCCCATTAAAAGGTATGGCTGCGGCTATTGATAACATAAATGACATCGATCTCTACCGTGATCTTGTCATTCTTCAGCCGGGGGTTGCTAGAATGGCGGCAGAGGCAGCATCTGCGCTCCTTATCTCAACTTTCTATTTTGTACTTGACACCATTCCAGAAAGCAACGATGGGAACCTACACTGCCGGGGAACCATTCGCTGCCGACCACCCGTCAAGTCCATATTGCCGCCCCTCAACCTGCTTCATGGGTCACAGCAAATGTGCTTTGCCACAGAGAGTGAATTCCTTGGCTATTTCCTTGGTGAGAAGGATATCTGTTCCTGCTGCAAACGCTATGCCAAAAAAATATCATTTGAGGTGCGGCATCTTGATGAGGAAATCATCATATATATGGAATTAGATAGGAAGCAACGCCGGAAGATCAGTGGGTTTCCCGACACTGTCAACTCCTTCATTAAGGAGCAGGGATTTTTGTCTCCTTTTGGCAACCCACATCATGACTCTCCTGGAACGCAACGATGTACTGCATGTGACAACTCTAAGCGGAAATCAAGCCAATCTCAGAGTTCGAGACCACAGAAGATGCGTCGTTTGGCATGACATGGATTGTTAGTGCAGCCTCTGCCTGGCTGCAAATTGGCTGCAGGTGCCTAACTAAATTTCAACATGTTCTTTCAACAGGCGGGGGTCCCAGCATCAACAATGTCACTAATACACTGTGTAGTTTAATGCTCCAATAATTCTCCTCTTAATGTGTCTTCACGATCTTCACAGTGTGCGCCTTACCACAACTTGTATCTTTTGTATGAGTATTCCATATAACTGGTACCTATGAAAAAAAAATGAATATATTGGACACAATATCAATGTTCTCTTATCTTTTGATCAGATATTCATGGAAAATTGTAAGTATCATTTGAGTTGCATAAAAGGTAGTTATGTAAATGTGAAATGTTACATTGTGGGCGCACCCACGCCAACCAGCAGACCGGAAATGCCCTTTGTCTGATGTGCCTTTCCATTACTAAAATCACCGACAATTGCCGCATTTGAGATGGATATGATGTAACTCCATAGGTAGGTAATTATTTGACCTGATGCCCCTGTCTTTACTCTCATCTATAAATATCTCTATGCTCCCATCTCAGAGAAATTCCGCTCATGCATTCACATCTTCCACATTCTGCTTACACTTTTCAATCAAGGCTGCTTCTTCATCCTGCTTTTACAGACAAATAACTTTGGCCTTCACCAACACTTTTGCTAGCCTACACAATCATGGGTGGCCCAGACCCTTTTCGAAAGGACCGTGAAATGTTCAAGAAACGAAAAGACACTGTGCAAAACAAGTGTTTTGAGTTGGTGCGGTGTTCTGGGGCACAGGTGTATCTTCTCATCAAGCATCCCGAACGTGGATGTTTTGAGTTCAACTCGGAGGCTGAGCCACCACATCTAGTATGGTTATCACACTTAAATCCCGCGCTGCCGTTCTAACAGATATATTAGGAAAGCCAAGAGTTCGTAGAGCGGAAAGGGATGATGGACTTTGTTAAATCTCCTCGGCAAAAAAGGAAACTCGAGAAGCTTATTGGAGAGTATCTGAAAAAGAGAGATGATTTGAGACGGACTTTGGTGGTTCCCGAGGCTCCAAAACTTGTGTAATGTTGAGGCTCAAAAAAGATTTGCAAGCTGTTTTGTTTCTTTTTCTTTTTTTCACTCTGTGGTATTCTGCTTGCAGATTACCTTTTTCTCGTACAAGAACCTTTGTAACTATCGTTTTCAGCTTGCAGGCTATACTAATACTGGTATAAGTACAATCAATGTTGTTCCCGAACACAATACCTCAACTTTTATAGAACACTTTGATATTTTGAATACCTCTTCAACTACAACTCATTATGAATATTGTAATGATTTACTCTATAATTATTGCAGGGCTTTCTGTGATTCCTGTAATTAATTACATTATTATTAACATTGCCTCACTTGTGTATAGCTATTGTTTCTCTTCTCTTATTGCAATATTTTCTTCTCGACTTTATCATCTTATCCCTCAAGTATATACCCTACCTAGGTATTACCTTCCTGTTCAGGTTCTGTACTTCGGTGGCACGGCAGTGTGCAATTTCCTGGGAGTGCATACTGTGCCCCAAGCTGGCTCCCGCGCTGCTCGGCTGGCAATGTCAAATCTTGTTCCTGCTCTCTATTCAATCTCTTGTGGATTCGGATCACAGCTATTTGGCATTTCATTGAGATCTTATGCGAGCATGCATCATACTATCAGCATCATGATGCTGATTCAAAGCCTTGTTCATGCTGTGATAACTATTCATGCCTCCGGAGCCTCCCTGACCGAAGGTCTACAGCTCCACGGTCTGCTGGTAAGCCAGCACCTAATAATAAACTAATACCCCGCTAATTGATTTAGAGTATCGTTGTTCTCTTCATTCTTGTCACTCTGCCACTTGTTCGAAGATATCAGTATGAGCTTTTTTGGATATTACATGTGGCATCGGCTATCTTTTTAGTCTACTCACTCTGGCGTCATGTGGAAACTCTGGACATGGTACCAAGATTATGTGTTCTTACTTCTGCCGGCCTCTTTCTCTCCATTTCAATTCTGCATCTCATACGGTCTGTATTCAGAAATTTCACCTTTGGAAATGATCTAGGAAGATTAACCTTAGTCTTGGAGACTCCTCTTGACGCCCTGGGCAGTAGTGCCGACACTTATCGGGTGGATATATCTCTTCCAAGGCGTTGGAAGGTCAAGGCAGGAGAATGGATCAATCTTACTTTACCGAGGGTCGGCTTCTTGTACGCCTACCAAGCGCATCCATTTACTGTAGCTTGGTGGGAAGAAGACGAGGCTGGCTATGCTTCATCCATATCCCTACTGATAAAAGCAAGATCAGGGTTCACTCAAAAGCTTTTGAAACAAATCCAGCCATACACTGAATACAAGGCATGGATCGATGGACCGTATGGGCCTGCACGAACCAATACCTATAGTCTTTCTAAGGTGGGAGACTACGGCCATCTCATCATGTTTGCAACAGACATTGGTATCGCAGCTCAGATCCCATATATCAAAGAGACGCTTAAAGGGATAAAGAAATGTAAAGTGAAAACTCGAAGCATCTGTCTTGTGTGGCAGATGAACAAGGCTGGTGCGCTACCTAATGATCAATTCTATTTATTCATGACTCAATTTTTTGCAGATGATCTAGATTTGGTCCGTCACTGGCTGCAGCAACTTGTTGCAGAAGATGAAAATTATGTGAGTATGCACATACACCTCATCTTCATTCCACAGAAGACTAATTTGTTACAGCATTTAAAACTTCTAGTATATAATTCAAACGAGAATCCCAGCTCAAGAGATCCTGTACCATATGGCCAGCATGATAGAATTCTAATATCTGGGGGGGAGCCGAACTGGGATGATCATTTACAGAATGAGATGAAGGCAAGAAAGGGTAGACTACTTATCATGAGTGAGTTCAAAATTCTTCTAATTCTGTATAAAGTATGCTAATGATGGAGTAGTGGCCACACAGCATCATATAAGAAAGAGAATCAGTAACTTTATATTTAGAAATGCTTGTATAGATACAGATTTGTTTGAATTGGAATTTCAACCATGGGCTGTGAAGAGGTCATGTTGATCTGATACTTCATTCTTGTGTTATTACAATATATCTATGCACTTTTATTTATCTTTTTAGCTAGTGATTGATATTTGAGCTTAAACTCCTCACAAGTTTGAAACTATATACAGTCTATTATGCATACACTTTCACATTCCATTATAAAAAAGGATTCATTCTGAGAATACAAAGTCAGCTGCTGACATAGTAATCACTCAATGAAATATCCTCCATTGTTTGTAGAGCACTGTATTATTAGTCACTAGGAAAAGCACCTGTCATACCTGGGTACAGGTCCCTGCTTAAAGCACTAGTGTGGGGGCCACTGATTGGACGTAGATTGGCTTGTAGACCTTTCCTTCCTCATATCCTAAGCTTGCAGTTGTTTTTGGCTTGCAGGTTGTTTTTGGCTTGCAGGTTTTTGGCTTGCAGATATTTTTGGCTTGCAGATATTTTTGGCTCGCAGACCTTTTCCTTCCTCATATTCTAAGCTTGCAGTTGTTTTTGGCTTGCAGATATTTTTGGCTCACAAACCTTTTCCTTCTCATATTCTAAGCTTGCAGGTTGTTTTTGGCTTGCAGATCTATTTAAGCTTGTAGATTTTCAAATATTCTTAATATTTATAACAAGTATTAAACTCTACTCATAATCGGATAAAACCACATTGCATTCAATAACAACATTTTCATTACTTATCAATTCATCATCATGTCAGATGTCTCTCAGCTTTTCACTGAGTCTAAATGGGCAAGTGCTCTATTTGATTGTCGGCCATTTAATATATGTAAGGAAAAATATCTTCTATTTTTTAAGTTACTTTTTATTAATTATATCTAGGTATACTGGGCTTCTGTTGTCCATGCTTTCTCTTTGGAAAAACTCGAAGTCGAATAAAAGGGAATAATCCATCTGAATTTACATACTGGAATGAAAATGTAAGTGTTTCTATGACTTTTAAAGTTATTTCATGCTAATATCTTAGTGTTGCCATTGGTTCTGCCTTTCTCTTTGCAGCTGTCAGGGTGTTATTCAGGCGCTAGAGCGCACAAAGATACGGAATAAGTTCAACATTGATGGATGGTGCATTGGTGATTGGTGTGGAGCATGCTGCTGCCCATGCTGTTCTCTGATTCAGGAGGAGAAAGAAGTTTTAGTTCGCACACAGGCAGATGGATATCAAAAGGTGCCTGGAATGACTGCTGGCTATCTACAAAGAGAATCAGTGATTGAAAGAGACTAGGTAATTTTAACAAATGGATGGAAATCATTATAAATTCATAATGCACCACTCTTTGTAGTGCACTGTTGTATTTTGTGATTTGTCAATTGTCAGATCTACTAAATCTATTTAAAAGCACTAACTTTTGTAAATTTTATGAATGCAGAAATTTTATAATTGCCTCATCTATAGTAGATGACCACAATTGCTTTTTTTTATATAATAAAATAGATACTATAGAATTAACAGTAAACTCACGAGTGTAAAAGCTCAGTAAAAGATTTTTCAGATGTTTGACCTTTTATCAGAATTAAGTAATTATTTGAATACTAGTCTCAAAAATCACTAAATATTATATTGAATTGATCTCTAGTTAATAGATATTCTAGCTAATTATATAAAAATATTAGTATATAGTTAAGAAAATGGTTATAATAAATTCAATATCTTGTTTTTATACTCTAATGTTCAGCATTCTTTGAGAGATCATTTCTAAAGGTTCAGCACATTCCCAAGCTTCTTAGATGTTGTTTATCTAAGAGTTTCCAGGGAAAGGTGAGAGCTCATATTAGCTAATTATATACAATCTAAGCCGTAAATGAGCCAAGTAGTAAGATTATAATGGGTGGAAGGTTGATGCATTGTAACTTATTAACTTAGCGGGCGCAGCATTGCTTGAATAGGCGTGGGTCACGTGGCTTTATAGCGAGCGAGATGCCAACATAACTGCTACATTTTAATTAATATACATTAAAGTATTAATGTAGTATTCTGACTAGATACATTTCATTTAATGACCAAAATTATGTGAAGTATTCTCTCTTGCTTTTTGATTCAGCATGAACAAGGCGCTTATATGAACTTGTTAGAAAATCATTATCCTGCTGCAGAAGTTTATTTCTCCGTTCTAGACTTCTAAGCCGCACTTCAATTTCTGCCATCTGACTGTGGCAGCTTCTCTGAGCATGTATTAGTGTTTTCATTCGTTGATGGTACTCTTCCTCCAAGAGTCCTCTTGAATTTTCAATTTCAATATAACATTTGCGGATATCAGAGAGTTTTTTGGAGAGATCTTGAAATTCTTTGCTGTTTTTAGCACAATGAACCTTGAAAAATAAAAACATTGAAAAAATATGATGTATTCTTACCACTCATGGTTATATGGAAAGAGAAATTGTAATTGGTATGGAAAGTAAAAGTTGATGTTTCAATTGATTCAATGATACAGTGTGTTTGAGTGTTGATGAAAACTTGAAAGTTTTTAACTTGATCAAATTATTAATTGAATGAATCTTGACTCTTACTTATATGTGTTGGTCAGCATGGATCTGCCATTTCCATGCAGTTATAGTCTTGGTGTTCACAATGTGCCATTTTCCTTGTCAAGGAATAACTTCCGTTATTGGTGGCAAATGCTAGACCTACCATCAAAGGGAGTGCAAGCTGTTTATGATACAGATGAGTGCCAGCTGTTCCTTTTCCCATTCCACTTTTCCCTCTTCTCGATAAAGAACTTCTTTTATTGGTGGATATTACACACCCTTGTACATGGGAGAAGCGCGAGCCACTTCATTGATGGTAGGACATGCATACTAATCACATGATCACATTTATCTGCAGTTGGTCTTGCTCATCACATCTAATCACCAACAACCTGTGTGGAGACCTGGAATGTATTGGGGTTTTCCTGTCAGATCTATTTCGCTAAAGACACTTTGCCGCTCCAATCAGATCCTTGTCCAGTTCGACTCAGAATGCTTCTGAGATAATCCCAGCTGCTGCCAGGTTCGGCTCACAGTTCACCAACTCAGTGACTGCATTGGTGATTTGTTCTGCCCAAGGTTGCAGCTTTTCCATTGACTCTTGAATTTTAGATATGCTCTTGGATAGTTCTTCCATTTTCGCAGTCAGAATTGTAACTTTTGTGTTCAGCTCCTCAATTCTAGAGTTCTATTAGCTTAGTTTTAAACATGTATTTGGGGTGAAGTGTTCCTACTGGCGATTCAGTTGCTCATACTCCTCAACCATACATGGGTATGATTCCACAGTTGTGACATTAGCGTTTTCAGTCGATGGGGTTTGGGCCGCGATTTGATCGGCTGCCTCGAGTTCCAGATTCTCAGTCTGGGGATCATCTTCCAGTGCCAGCGGAATACTTTCTTGAATTTCTTGCGGAATATATGTTCCCTGCCAGCCTAAATAATGTTGATAGAGATAGCCCTCATTGTGAGAAAGGTTTTGGTTTTCCATTTGACGGACAGTAAAAAATTGAGAATTTCAAATTATTTCGAAGTTAGGAAGATCTGGTGCAGGCTAGTTTTGTGAGGCTTTCTGGCAGCGGTTGTAGTGCCTTGAACTTCTTTTATGTCCATTCAAGTTGGTAATTCTGAAATTTTAAACCAACTTACCCACTAAATACCCTGTCTTTTTCTTTAGAATTCATGATGCGGAAACTCTTCCTATTGCTCAAAATCAATAATGCCCTGGGAGAAGAGGGGAAAGAGAAATTTAGGGAAGGATCAGCTAAAATGATGATGTTAATTTTTCCCTGATACTGCTGGCATATATATTGCTACTCGCCTCTTTATAGAATTTTTTCAATCCTCTCAGCAGTTCAATTCAGCAATAACTCTCATCTTCTTGTGCTTTTTGAGTTTTTAATATAACCTCTCGCAGAATCCTTGTTGCTGTTTACAATGGCTTTTCAATCTCAATCACAAAACCCAGTTTTCCCGAGTTCCTTTCCTTCTCAAATCCAACCGGCTATCTATCCTGTTAGAGGAGATATGCTGCCGCCACCTCGCAGTACCTACAGTGACTGTTCAGTATGTATGACTTTGAAAGGGTTAATCGACCATGAGCGCGCTTTACAACAACATCTCGATGCGTTCCACCGCCAGGCCAACCAGGATAAGATGGCCGTGGCTAATTACAGCCAGTTGTGCAAGGACTTGAAGCAGTCAATTGCTGATTTGGAATGTGGACGGCAGTCACTGAAAATTGCTCTTGAGAAAGAACAAAGAATAAAAAGCGCAATGCACTCTGACTTGGAGGTTGAGAAGCAAAAGACCAGCACAGCTCAGCGGAGGTGCACAAGTTTGTATGCTGAAAATACAACCTTATGGAAATTTATTGAGGAAATGGAAGTGGCCCCCATAAACTCCAACCATAACTTGCCAACATTCCGTAACCTTTACTTCACAAACGAGGAGCTGCGGAAACGCCTCGCTGTATTGCAGAAGAATGCATCCACAGTGGTCTGTGATGGTGATGGTGATGATGACAACGACAACGATGAAGACGATGATGAGGATGCTGCAACTGAGATCATGGAGGAGGATGATCAGTCCTCAATTGAGATTCTTTCTTGAGATAAATGTATGTATATGTGAAGAATTTACCAATCTGTATCTGTGGTGTCATTCATATTTGATGTTGATGTGCTGCAAATTACTTACATTTTAATGAAATAGTATCGAATATCAGAGCGTTTTGAAAGGTGAATTATACTGGTATTAAATATATCAGTCATTTTTACACTCTTATTTACACTAAGATATTTGTATTGTGAGAATAGCTCTTCATTCTTATATCTCTGATTCTTACATTCGAATATATTTCCTTCAAACACTGAGAATTGAGAGTCCACGGAGAATTCTAGAACTGCCTCTAGTATTAGTAAAATTAATAACTGCAGATCTTCCCTTACTCCTTTCATGCAGGCACGCCGGACACAATGTGCATGGCCATATAATTGATATTTCCCCCCACATCTGCAGTAGTCAGACGGTGAATTTTGTTTGAAGCATATCTTTCTTTGATTTGCCTTTTCCCTATATTTTGTTCAATAGAGCATGGACTGTGGTTTGATCATCTTGATTCTGAGATCTATTGATTCTTTTGTTGGGCTTCAATTGTGCCTTTACTTTCAAGCATAAAATGAATCTTCTGATAGATGTGGAAGGTTGGTTTATGTATCTAGCGGGCGCAGCACTGCTTAAATAGGTGTGAACACGTGGTATTCTAGCGAGCAATAGGGATGCCAACATCTTCTATAGTTAATTGAAAAGTGGGTTTTTGTGTATTTTGTGGGCAGCAATATGGTTGTAATGCACTCGTCTATAATTTCCTTATATATCTTCGTTTATTCTTACCTTTTTATTATGTTCTCGCTACCGCTATTTCTATATATATATACATATATATGTTTGCATGTATCCCGCATATCTTCTTTTCTCTTTCTTTTCTTTCTTAGCGATTAGCTACAACTACTACTACTGCTATATTACTACTATATTCTTCCACTACTACGCGTTATACTCTATCTTCTACTATTCACTCTGTCATCACCCCTCACAATGGCCTGCTAGCTTCTTACAGTTTAGCTTCATATTCCTGCATCTCTATCTATATCTATTGATGGTATGAATATCTATAGATGATATGATTATCCAGCAATGATATATATAACACTAATATCAATACAATTATCGGTAATATGAAATACTCTTCAATTGTTTATACTCTACTTTATTCATGTTGTTCTCTAATGTTTCTATTATAGATGTTTTACACCTTTGTAATGCACTCACTTATTATTTCCTTACATATATGATATATTATCTTTGCTTATTGTTACCTTTTATTGCTATGTTCTCGCTACCACTATTTCTATATGTATATATATATGTCCGTATGTACTCTACACATCTTTCTTTTCTCTTTCTTTCCTTCTCTAGCGATTAGCTACTACTATCTACTATTACTATTTACTACCACTATTCCACGTCACAACTATCTTCTGCTATTCACTCTTCACACTGTTATCACCCCTCACAACCTTTCTGTTTCAGCTATCTACTACACTAATACACAAATAAATAGATAACTAATAAAAGTGAACAGACAATCTCAAGGAATCTTCAAAAATATCGATTTGTTTTAAAAAATTTACATACTTTAACCTCAATGCAGCTATTTTTATATAAAAATGCAAAACAGTAAAAGTTGAAATTTGAAGGTATTTTGAGATTGCTCATTTGCTTGTGAATTAACTAGTTTATATTGGCAGTTATCTAGTTATAACTAAAAATAAATTACATAATTCAGATTGTTAAAAGTCAAGACCGCTCTCTCTCTTTTTCTCTGTAATTCCATGAAGTTTTAAATAATTCTTATCTGCCTCATTGAGCTGTTGAGTAGTTTCAGATAGAGTTTCCTCCATCATTCCAGAAACGTATATCATAATACTTTTAAGATTCATTAAGGCATGTTTGTATTCCTCAAGCAATGATAGCTCTGCACGAAGATAAGAATTTTCAAATGTGAGATCAAGAATCTGATCATCAACATAGCATGAGGAAGATCGATTTTTTGCTTTCTTGGCACGAGATGGAAGGCGTTCAAGATGAGAGGAAGTGCCACCATGAAGAAGAATTTGGTGATCAAGCGGTGATATCTCTTCAGAAATGGTAGGAAGAGAGGTTCGTTTGAAAGGCACCTGTCTTTCAACTGGCCCTTTCAAGGTTTGAGCAGTAGAAGCAAACATTCTTTGAAACATAAGATTAATTAAACAAAAACACAGTGCTTATCTGACTTTCACATTGAAATGTATTATCTTATAAGATAACTAGCTGCAAGCTAATTTCTGATTGTTGTTAAAATTCTTTGATAAATTAATATATTCTGCAAGGTTATTATTTCCTGCAAGCTGATTATTTATTTTACAAACTGATTATTTATTCTGCAAGCTGATTATTTATTCTACAAACTGATTGTTTATTCTGCAAGCTGATTTATTTGTACAAACTCATTTACTGCCTGGTATATATTTAAAAGTTATTTCTGAGAACATTCTTCTAATATATTTTATACTGTTATAGATAAATTTCTGTTATATTCTTATATATTCTGATATCTGTGCATCAATACTAGTATCGATGGCAACAAATACTACAAACAGACTTACTATTGTTCCAAGCTCAGCTGACATTAAACAAGTTTTGGAGAAGTCAACAGGCACTAAAGATTTCATCAAAACCCAGGCTTCAAATGCTTTAACAACAAAACAGCATGTAGAGCGACATACTCTCAAACCTCCGAAAATTCCCCTGGTTATCAACACTAATGCAAATCACAAATTGAAAAAGAAAAAATCATTCTTTTCCTATGAAAATCCCTGGAAGCGCTACTGGGGTGTTTGGGAGAGAAATCAAGCTGGATTAGGAATTCTTGCTTATGAAAATATCAAGTTATTTCCAGTTGTGTTTATTAAAAAGGTTGAGTTCTTTAGATTAAATCATCAGTTTGATGATTTAAAAGAAGTATCTCATACAAATATAATCTCTCTGAAAGAAGGGTTTATATATAACACAGAGATGTTTCTTGTCTATGAGCCTGCACGCACCTCTTTGGCTGACCTTCACGGAAGCCCATATGCTAGTTTTAATGAGGCTGATATTGCTGCTGTATGCACAGAGGTATGTAAATCGTATTGAATTTGTTAAATATATTAGTAACATTATTTAAGGTTCTTCATGGATTAAAATATATCCACAACACTCTTCAAATTACACATGGCTCAATAACCACCAACAACATTCTTCTTGCTCAAGATGGAAGTATTAAAATAGGTATGTATACTCTAAAATCTATTTTTGAATTTTACTAACAGATAAAGCAAATATTGGAGAAAGCCTACTGAGAGCACTTGATGTGAAAGAAAAATATCAGGACATCAAATCAGTTGGCCTTATTGCTGTCAAGCTCAAAGAGAGACATACAGGTTTACAATATCCTACTTCACTTATACTACAAGAGCCAGAGAATGCATCAGTAGAATTGAAAAATTTTATTAGAGAATCTGCATCTGGTGATACTTTATTACATGTAAGAGAATTCTTTAAAATGTTTATTTACATCTTTGCTAATATTTGAGCAGCATGAATTTCTTCTAAAATCTCCAGGTCCATGGTGTTTAAAGCCATATCTTTTGGAGGCAGAGCCATATATCACCGAATGTGGTCGGCATATTGATAACAATGTATGATAGATTTTCAGTTCCCAATAGTTTACTTTGCTTTCAACAAAATATCTTTCAGCAGCTGATGTATATCAAGGATATATGAGCAAATGAATAGACTTATAGCAATTTAAATCTAGACGTGGTCACAGTGATTGTCCCCTGCTCTCTTTCTTTTTTCTTTTGTCTTCCCTTCCTCTGCATTATCTGTGTCTCTACATCTTGTTCGTGCCGGCTGCAGGTCACGTGATATTATGCCATGACTCTCTGCTTGACTTTATCTCAGCAAGCTCAGACGCTTCACAGGATAATTGCTGTTTTGACACTGATTTGATGATTAGTCACTTTTCAAAGAAGCTAATCTCAAATAAGTAATCAACTAACCAAAAATAGTCATATCACATGATGTGCAACAATCCTGTGAAGCGTCTGAGAAAAAACGGTTCCAGTTTGTTAGCAACACGGGAACAATTTGCTCTATACCTTAGGTATGGATGAGGAAAGCAAACCAACTCCATCTATTCAGCATCTCTGTACCACCTTAGGACCTAGGGAAATCAATGTTCTCGCGATGGTATCAATTTTTATTTTCATATTCCCATTTCTTAGATATGAAGTATCACCTCAAAGTTGATCCATTTTTTTTTGAACACGGGAAGGATTTGCTATTTGCTTGATTTCAACAAGAAATATTCATTTTTTTAATATAAAAATTATATATTTATATTCTTCTTCTCTTTAGCTATAACCTAAGGTAGTTTACAAATCTCAAAGATATATGGCTGTTGTGTAATTGAAAGTCAAAGTTGAAAAATTTGAAGAATCTATGAAAATCTCAAGAATCTCCACAGGAGCATGAACCGTTACTTCTCAGACCCTCTGGCGAGGATTGCTCAGAGCACATGACTCATAACTAAAGTAGTTTAGTGTCATGCTGCTGCAACCGAGCCAATAGAGGGTCTGAGCTCTCTCTTTTGTTCTTTGTTAGCAAGTCTTTCTGTCTCAACTCTCTTTTGCTTTTCATTTCTCTCTTATGGAACACTACTGAAGTTCTTGTCAATTCTGAAGGTCAGCTCTTCTCTATCTTCTGCAAAGCCTTCCAGGCACGGCAGCGGCGGCCTCTAAAAGGCCACACTATATCTCAAGAGTTGCCATCTGGATCCTGTTTCTTCCCCACTGTGTATAGAAATTTCTCCAGCTTAGCACGTCCCCATGTCTTCGGGAGGCCCCCGGAGGATTTATTAGGATTTATGAGTGAGAAACAATTGTTGTATTAATGCTGTATCTATGAAGGAATTGATCGAGTATAATGGATGAGATATGGGGGAGTCGAAGGGAATTTGCTTTGTCCTAGCTTGCAAAGCGCAATTGGCTTCAACATTCGCTCCAAGAGTTTTTGCTAGAACCGGATGAGCAGTGGAAAAGGAGACCATCGCGTAGGTTAAGTTAAAAGATACACAATTTCAATGTTAAATCTATAGAATCCTATTAGCGTGGAGAACTCTTCTGTGATCGATATTGCTTAGAATGCATTATTGGAGCAGTGGAATGTGTCGTCAGCTTCTGGTGTTGCTATCCGGGCTCCTGTTATTGTTAGCTCGCAAATCATAACCATCGCCATCGCCATCGCCATCGCCATCTCCATCTCCATCTCCATCTCCATCTCCATCTCCATCTCCATCTCCATCGCCATCTCCATCTCCATCTCCATCTCCATCTCCATCTCCATCACCATCCATCTCCATCGCCGTCGCCGTCCTCCATCTCCATCTCCATCTCCATCGCCATCTCCATCGCCATCGCCATCGCCATCTCCATCTCCATCGCCATCTCCATCTCCATCTCCATCTCCATCTCCATCTCCATCTCCATCACCATCCATCTCCATCGCCGTCGCCGTCCTCCATCTCCATCTCCATCTCCATCGCCATCTCCATCACCATCCATCTCCATCGCCGTCGCCGTCCTCCATCTCCATCTCCATCTCCATCTCCATCTCCATTTCCATCGCCGTCGCCGTCCTCCATCTCCGCCGCCATCTGCCACCACTTATCGTTTTTCAAATCAGCTTGGATCAATGGCCCCGCCAAGGAAACAGTGCACACTCTGTGAGAAAACTATTCGGTCAAAGGACTATTCCAACCATGTGAAGAATCAATGCCTAGGAAAATCGTTGGCTATCACTTGTGAGAATTGCAACAAAACAGTTCCACAAAATCATGAGTGTGTCAGAGGCAAGAGACAGCGTTGTCAGCTCTGTCAGAAGTTGAAAGATGCAAAACATATGAAACGTCATATCAAATTTTGCCAGCACAAACAAAACACCTCTGCAATTCCTGATCTGCTTGGTAAGTGCAAATATTTTCCAAGTCTATTTCCCTCTCAACATTTAAACTGAAAATTAAACAGACAATGATGACATCTCATTATCTACTGTGCACAAAATGATATCCAGTCTTCAGAATGATGGAAAATTCCCAGAATGCCAACTTGACAATCTTCTTCCACTTACTGACTCTGAAAATGTATGCTGGAAGCAACCATCTCTACTCTCTCCATCTGATGTCTGGATTAAACAATTTTCACCATTGGAGATTTTCAACACTGTGCGTCTCGCCACACAAACACTATCTAAGAACTCCATTTATCGGGATGGTGAACTCATTCAAAATGAGGAGCAGAATTGGAATATCAGCAATGTCTTTTACCAGGCTGGTATACCTCTCAGTTCATCTGATCTCTCACCTAAATATTCCTTGATGAACATTTCTCTTCCAAAGGAATTCCACCAGCTTCAGCCATGCAACGCACTTAAAAACCAACTTCGAATCATGGATGACAACAATCTTGAGTTGCTAGCCAATTTTGCGCCTGCGGGAAACTTCGTTGATATACACATTGGTTTGTACAAACTCCCCATCATTATTATTCTGTGACTGATTTTGAACAGATCAAAACCGACATGGCTTATCTCAATCCATTGGACACTCACAACGTATATGGCTTCTATACCCACCAACAGAGGAAAATCTCAAAGTTTTTGCACAGTTTTCCGGTGAATTTGGCCGTCTCACCAAAATCTCAAGCAAACTGAGTGATGGATATGTTGCTTGTGTTGATTCATCTAGAGTAGTTTACATTCCTCCTGGTTGGCTACATGCAACATTTACAACAAGATCCGGCTCTTTGGTTGGGGTTAACTTTGTATCTCTTGAGAGTCTGGAGACCATGGCACTAAGTGTTGGTATACATCTTCCATATCTTTATCGAATTTCCCAATCAGTGCTGGAGGATTTCAGAGAATTCAGCAAAGCTATCTTGAGCTTTCTTGATAATGAGTATGAAGCTGAAATCATTACTCTTGTATTGAGAAGTTGGGTGTTGTTTCTGCAAGCTCTGTCAACTGATGTATTGAAAGATATGAACTTTCAATCAGCAATGCTTACTCTTCTTAATGGTCTTGAAACAGAGCTATCAGGGAAAAAAGCATATTGCTGTGACACAGCTTATACAAATGTGCTCTTTCATGTTAAGTGCAATCATTGGGTGAAATTTCACAAAAATGCTCTCTGATCTTTCTTTCTGGCCTCTTGTTTTCTATTAGACGATAGGAAATGGAAGAATGTTAGAGGGTTAGTTAGCTCTTCAGATTTTTAACAAATTTCATTAAGATACACCATGACTGATGTGATATTAAATGAGTTTGACATGATCTCCCTAAAAAGAGAGGTCTTTGCATAGTGGTATATGGGAATACTGTCGGAACTACAGCAGTTATTGCTATTTGAATAAATGATACTACTATCTAACTGTACATAGAATCATGAGCGTTATCCTTCTGTAGGGGAATGGCCAGTCAACAATCAGTGAAAATAATTTTGTGCCTGGTGCTGTGGTGTTTGCAAGGAACAACATAGAACAGTGATTAGCTGAAATGGAATAGAAAAATGGTAACAAAGAAGTGGATTTGGAAGAGTTGTCAGAGGCCTGAGTTGTTTTGGTAGGAAAGAGAAACCCAGCTGTCCAGACCTTCAGATACCTTTCCAACTTTTGCCGAAGTCTCACCGGCCGCACAGCCTCTTGAATATTCTAGAAGGGAATGCCAGCACAGATGAATAAATTAAGAACCACTTGTTTGTTGAACTTTGTATTCAAATCACCTAGAAGGCCCTGATGCATTGCCAGCGAAGCGAGATTGATTAACATAGCCCAGCTGAAGTCGGTTGGTATACCAAATATCCCAACATCAATGGGTATGTATGCATGTATAAACGTCCCGGGTGGAGCAGGCAGCGCCCGCGCCCATTTGTAGCAACCTGACAAAAAAGGAACAGAAACAAAATAACAAAACACTAAGTAATTGAAACAGATCATGTCCACTCAAACCCTTAGTTATATAAATTTCCCATCAAGGATCTCATACTAAGATGGATCAGGTGGTAAAATCATCACTTCTATCCCACCATCCAATTAATTCGCTCCCAGTCCAATTCAAAGGTGTATAACGCGGTCTCATTCCCCACATAATCCATGTCAATTTCCACTGATTCACACTGATACATCGTCTCCACTCGCTCCGCGAACATGATCACTGGGGCAACCTTGCTTTCTGATTCAATGGCGCGGCGAAGCTGGTTCTGCAAACAGTTCAGTGTGTCCTTCTCCTCCTCCTTGATCATCATCATAATCAACATCACTTTCTTCTTCATTGATTATTTGATGCCCAATGTTGTAATTTTTTGCCTCCGCTATTTCAATCCCCTCCATTTGCTTCCCCACCACCACGACATCCATTTCATCTGCTTCATTATCCTCCTATAATCACCTCTACCACTTCATCCTTGTCATCCTCGATGACCACCACCTCTTGTCTGTGGTCGTTGTAAACCTCGACATCAGTGTCCTCATTAATAACCTCGTGCTCCTTTGTAGGTTTCTCAGACATCATTGGTGGTGTTGCAATGGTGGGTGTGTTATCCGGAAATAGAGAATAGGCACAATGATATAAAAACTTGTGAGCAACATATCCAAATCTAGGGCCTATTGACTCAAGTTGTTGCATAACAAAGATCTGAATATCTTTTAACATGGTAATCGTGAGCGTGTCGGGACAATGCCGTAATAATATATCAGGAGACAACTACCCCTGGCGGTATTTCTGTTTCCATAGAGCTGACACAAAAAAGAAACCAATACTTGGGGAGGTTAAAAGTTATGCCTTCTGTAGATCTGCAACAAGCTGTAGAAGCCAATGTTTTTAAAAACCATTTGCAGCTTCTTCCAAGTTCACAACACCAAGTAATGATTGGATGTGAGGTCGCCCTCAATATACTACTGGCCACGAACAAATTAATATCGACTAAGCCAGGACGCAGCCACCAGTTGAAAATATCCTGCAGGACCAGGATGGTGAGGAAGATTGCAACTGTTCAAAATCACAGAAGCTCGAAACCCTGTTAAAACCCAGATCGGTTAGGGACGTTGGTTAGCCCAAAAGGTAAGATCAAAACTCGAAGTGTCCATATCGTGTTCGAAATGCCGTTTTCCATTCATCCCCCGCCTGTATGCGAATTCTATGATACGCGTCCCTGAGGTCTAGTTGCGTATATATTTTGGCACCTGCTAACCTATCAAGTATTTCACTTATCAAGGGCAGCGGATACCGATTCTTAACCGTTATTTCGTTCAATCCTCGATAATCTACGCAGAGACGCAGGGTTCCGTTTTTCTTCGGCGCGAACAATACTGGGGCGCCGGCTGGACTCTTCGACGGACGTATCCAATTCTTCTCTAATGCTTTCTCGATATATTCTAGGAGGACAGAGAGTTCTTGAGGTGATGGGTTATATTGGTCGGCACGGTGGTTCCTTGCACGTGTATTGCGATAAAGGCGATTAAAGAAATGTAGGCATGTGGAGAAATTCAGAAATCCCAAAGACAAGTCAAAGTCATCAACTCTAGCTCTTTCAATAAGGCAGGTAAAACAGGATCGCACTGTTCCCCTGGGTGGTATTTTTCACCCACTTCTGATTTCCTCCAGTGCAGTCATGATTTGCTTGATAATCCAGCCTTGATCTTCATCCCAAGACAGAACTTTACCTCTGGCATCCTTTATCCATGCTTCATCTCGGTAAACCTTCCATACTTCAATAATATCGGAACTCGATCCATACTGTTTGAGTCTCCTAAGTACATCATTTTCGACAAGAGAAGGAGCAATGTATGTGTCATAAGGAAAGTGCACATCATTTACCAAACAAATTCCATCCCATGTGTCGAAGAAACCAAGTTGTCGAAGGAAATTTGGCTTATCTGGTGGCCAGGAAAGCGATGGGTTCCAGGTCCGAAGCACAAGAAGCTCAATGATATTGGAAGGCCGCATATGAGGGAGAAGAAATCTTATAAATGCATCCCATTTCCAGCTCTCTTCTAAATCATGTAGAATGAAGTGAATACTCAAGTTGAGGTCTAAAGGGGGCAACCAGGATGAGAGATCTGTAACATCCCCGAAAATCCTTCTGAGTAAAAATCCCCAGACAAAATCAAATATTTCCAGGATATCCATTGTTTCGGAGACCTCTCGATGTGGGTTATCTGTCCAGATCTTGAGAATCTTTTCGAACACCTGGAGTTTTTCTTGTGATGTTTGGAACACTGACACGCGCCACAGGCATAATGCCTCAATCGCGAGCCACTGAGCTGACAATGACTGGTGGAATCGTTGTGTCTGCCTCGCGTCAAACGGGACCAGGGACACCCCAGGTGAATTGGCCTCAAGATGGGGTAGAGATCCTTCCCACTGCAACATTTCTGTATTCTGATTAGAGAGGAAATCGTCACGGTAATGAAGGCTGGAGCAGAAGTATGCAGACTGGATTGCTGGGTGTCTGTAGAGATCTCGAAGAAGCTGCAGTCCTTGCCACCTGGTAGAAATCGACCACACGAACTCATCTTGTAGGTCGGAGGTCAAAACTTGAAATGATTTTGAAAGAGATTGGCCTGTTGGTCGGCAGGATGTAGGTGGTTCCTCCTGAAAGGTCAAATAGTTTGATGTATACCGCTGATTCACCTCGATGAGATAGCACAGTTGAATGTCATACTGATGATGTGCTGCACAAGCCTGATTATTGTTAGCAAGAGAACTCCCCCTGCAAAGAAGGGATGCTCATACAATCACTGATTTGTAGATACGCAGTCGATTCTGCCCACCATCAAGACAGCTATACAGCTGCTTACAAGCCCGTCCCAAATGCAAAACATCATCTAAGTCATTAAGATTCTCAAATATCAACAAGAGCAACTCGCCCGGTAGGTCCAGAATCAAGGACATTGTGAGGTTGAGATACATCAAACTGCAAAACTGAAGAAGTGGAGAGGTCAGAATAACTCTAAATCCATTCATCCACAAAGACGGTCTATTTAATCATCTGGTAGCTGGTCATATGACATGTGGGCCTGCTTGGCATGTTATCTTGGCAGTTATTTGAACTGTACAAGATGATTGGGTGAAGAAAAGTAGTATGGATAAAAATTGACTGCAGCAGCTCACAGTTGCATGGCGTGTGAAAGACAATAATCTGGCCCGAACGGCTACTCAACAAGCAGCAAAAAGAGCTCGGCAATTTAATGAGATCTCCACTGAGATCTCTACTGCTCTTTTGACTGCTGTTGCTGCTGCTGAAGCCTCTGCTATTCTAGCCACAACTATTGCCAGTGCTTCCACTACTCCGCAGTCTACTCCTCCTCCAAGCCCACGAGTTCACAAATCTACAACTGCTCAAGTTCACACTCCACACAAGTGGTGAAGTAATAACAAGAGTATTGATTCAAACCCCTCACAAACGAACACACAAAGTTGAGTTTTTAGATTGAGAGCTCAGAAATATTTATTCAGTATTATTTATTTAATGTTGATGAAAAGAAGATCATGCAAACTGTCTAATGCATTTGTAAGGTACGCTACAAGGGTAGCTACAAGTAGTGTGAAGTACGCACGAAGATATTATTGGGGTAGCAATCTCTTATATTCAAAGCTAATCGCTGATCTTCTAAGATCTACGGATATAGATACTTCCGTTGCCCCTATTGCAGCATTAATGCCCAACCAGCAGTTTTTGAACTGCAAAATTGCAGACCAGGATTTCCAAATGAACTATCTTTAATCCAACCTCACAAATGAAGATAATGTGGGACATCTAAATGGTTGTATTAGTATGTAGATAGCTGAGGTATATGGTGCACTAGTCCATAATAGCTAGAGCCAACGTGCCGGAGCTAATAAAGTCCGAATATTGCCCCAAATACTGAATATCAATAGAATTATTGGATTGCTTATTATAACTCTGCTAATTACATGAAAAGTAGGCAGTATTTATAAGGAAGGTCATGCTTAGATATACGCAGGAGATTCAGCAGAGCATTGCTTAGTTTCATATAGTGAGACGTTCTGTGTTCCAAGTTGATACTATAATCCTTGATAATACTTACCAAGTTCAACACAACGTTATTTAACTACCCCTCTACATTTTTTTTCTTTTGTCTAAGAAATGGTTGTCGGAACTGGATAAAGTCCGAATATTGACCCAAATACTGAATATCGATAGATAGATTGAATTGCTTATTCTAACTCCGATAATTACATGATAACTAGGCAGTATTTATAAAGGTCAGCCTCCTAGGGGAGGCATCGGCAATTTGCGCTTCGAAGCTACAAAATTAGCAGCTGATTTAGACTAAAAATATATACTATTTAGTGTACTGATTTCAAAAACACAGAATATATAGATAATTACACGTTCTCATATACTGAATAATTCTCCAACTTTCATAACGATATTCTCTATAATTCTGCATCCATCTCATCCTGTGGATGTATTTCACGGGTCCGCTTTGGATCTTCCTGTTCATTTTCTGTTTCTTGCCTTGATCTTGTTATCTGATCTGCTTTCCGCTTCCCATTGCTAGAATCCTGCATTGACGCATAGTTCCGAATGTCATCTACTGATGCCAAAGCAGGTGCTGCCTTTGAACCAACAAATAACAATCTCTCTTGTTTGGCAACTGTCAGGATTTTCTCATCAGATAAACTTTGACAGTTTTTCCCAACAAGATGCATGAAAAAATGATCTTTAGAAAGTGAGTATATTGTAGACTGAAGGGCGAGGTCATTATTCCAAAATTTGTAGAATTGTCGAGAGGAATACAAATAGAGGATAATGAGGCTGGCGTCCTGAGAAGCATTCCACATATTCAATATCTCATCCACACCGCGATTGGCTGCTATATCAAGCCTCGTATTGGGGTCGCCGCTAAGGTCTTCAAATCCCCATGCTTGGGGGACCGTTAGCTTGTTCGTACCCGAGGTCACCGTTGACTCAATGCTGCTTAAAAGGGAAGATTTCCTAGGTGGTTGTTTGAATGACATGTCTGGGCTTCCTGAGGAATGATCTCCATGAGCTTGAGATGCTGGTGGCACAGCAATATAGCCACTTGTTTGCTCTGATGTAGGTTGATCTAATGAGATGCCTGAGCTGCCTGAGGGGTGATCTTCATGAACTGAAGATTCTGGAAGTTCCAAAAGTTGATTATATATGGGCTCCTTGCCAAAGAAAGAGAATAATACCTCTCGTGTAACCGCGATTGAAGTGGGATGTTCAGCAATATTTTGATCAAGACTGTAAATATGCTCAATAAAAAAGTAGCACCGGTCATTCTGAATATGGGATGCAAGTGGTCGATTATACCGACGGCACTGAGGTTGGCTTGTTGCATTTGTACTGAATGCTGGTGCTCCATCAGCTCTCTTTCTTTTCTCATGAAGTTGCTTTAGAGTGTTTTGTATTCTGCGCACAGCTTCACTAAGTCTTCTTGGCTCCGGTTCATAGAGTTCGACCTGACACATATGCTCAATGAAATAGCGGCATGTTTCTTCATTGGCATCTCGGTTAGATAATTTCTCAATTTCTGGTGAGTTAAAACCTAAGCTTATGGCTTCCCTTGCCAAAAGAGGCAAACCTCGGATAGATGAAAATGTATGAATATTCTCGGACGTTTGGGAATCCTTGAGCGGGATCACAAATAACCGTAAAGCACAGAGCCACAGTTGCACATATGATATATATGATGCTGCTCTCTGATCACCCACTACTATACTATAGCCTGCTGCAGATGTTTGAATGATGCACGAATTTTCAGTACACACATATTTCTTCAACATCGCATTCCTGACAGAGCCTCCAAAATTTTTCGGGAGAAGACTGTGTAATGCTCTGCTCGGGAGCTCTAGGTATAGCCAGTCCTGATTGAATGTGTGAAGAGAGAGTATTCTCCCAGAGATCAAAAGCAGACCCTCCAAAACCTCTCTTCTTCTCTCTGAATCTATAAGTGCAGGAAATATTTCTCCATTGTTCACCAGATCTTGAATGTGTTTTTGATCCGCAAAAGAGTAAGCTGGCATTAGTCCCTCTAGAAGATGTACTGACCGCGCATCAACCAGAGCAGCGGAATCATGAGGAAATACAGACCAGACTCTACAAATCTGCTCTAAGTAATTATTCGACTCCTGTTGAGAAATTAGCATGTTCAACAGAAAATAACATGAGTGGGAGTCTCACTTCATAACATCTTGAGTCAACAACACGCCGAAAGAGTTTAACATTAACTGGGGCCCATAGCCCAACATAGGGTAAGAGACGATCAAATTGTTTTAGTAATTGTTCTTGCTTCTGCATCTGGCGCACATGCCGACATTTAACAGAACTCCATCTCGCCCACCAGGCTTCTGCTCGAGGACCATTATTCTGTAGTTGGTGAGATCGGAGATTGCGATAGATATCACCATCACTGAAATTCTGCTCATTTGAGTACTTTTCTCGCAGCCGATCTCTTGCACCAGTGGGAAGGGCTTTCCGCTAGTTAGTAGAAAATGATTGTCATGAGAACAGAGCAGGGCCTACTGTCTAGATAAAGTCTGGCTCCCCACCATCTCTCACCGGGTGAGAAGAATTCCTGCGCTGCTCGTAGGCGGCTCTTGCCCTGCAAACATAGCAGCCATGTGCCCTGCTTCAAGATTAGATTCGGGGGGTTAATACCATGCAAAAGCACATCCTGTGTCGTCCCGGAGTCATCCATTGCCTGGCCCAAAGTATTCTGGCTAATGAGAACGGGAATGTAATTCGCGGGGTCCTCGCGATCACAACCTACAGACTCAAATATTTTTAGCAGTCTCAAAGCATTTTGACCCTCACCATCCTTGCCTACGGGTCTGGAGCCAAGGACATTATCCTTCTCCAACTGGAAATGTGAAAGGTCAATCTTCGCATATCCTCGAAAATGCCGGCTGGCCTCCATTGTATCTGGGTTGGCTGTATGGCCGTAAATGTCCCCCATGTGCTCCATGTTTGACGGATGGAACGGCGGAGAGGCAAAAGGTCGAAATATTTATATTATCGGAGATAATATCTCGTAATAACTGTCTGGTATAACCTCAGTACTGCCTTGAGCACCGCCTTGAGGACTGCCTCGCTCGGATAATCGAGCATTCCCTTCCTTATAATACTGCCTGCTGCCCAGTGCAAAATAGCATAACATTTGGCAAATCTGATGCTGAAATGAGCCTCTTCCTGCCAGCCACTTTCTGGTGCCGGTTGATTAAGTTGTGTCGGAACTGAATATTGACCCAAATACTGATAGATTATTGCATCTACGATAACCCTAATAATTGTGAGTGGCCTTTTTAGCACCCCTTTCCACCGGATATTAATGATCCATCATAAATGCAACTGAAAATGGTCTTTTCAGACAAAGAGAATATAGCTGATGTGTAGCTATAGAGTTGAAGATTGTGAATATGAAAGAAAAATATCCGCTCTCAAAAAGTCTTCAATTTTATGAATATTGATTCAGCAGGTTTTCTTAAAATTAATTATTGAGAGAAACAATATTCCATTCTTGGGTTGTTTAATATAAATATAAATGTATATACAAGCAATTCATTATGAGCTGCTTTGTGCCACTGATAGTAGCTCTGAGTGAGCAGTCTGTAGAAGTGAAATTGCCTCAGTCACTCCTTGTAACCATTGATCAATAGTCTGTTGAAAGAACTTGGTCATTGATAGTAATCGCTGAACTTCTTCTTCTAGATGTATTATTTTATCTTGCTGTTCCTCACTCAATCTCTTTAAATTCATCATGGTTTTCTCAGCAAGTTCTCTTCTCATCACCTCACTGGCTACTTGAAGCTTCCATTGTACCACCTCCTCACACTTTTCATTTCTATTGCAAGATGTGTCTTTTTTGAATTCGTTGTCAGTCTGATTGTCCCCCTGTATCATCTCTTCTGCAAGAACAGCCTGTAAGAGTTTTGTTTCTGACTTGTCATCCACTGCTTGACATAACATCTTATATGCTCCAGTTGAGTGTTTACTAAGTTGTGTTTTGAGCAGTTGCTTTATTGAAGGAGCTGCCTTCCATCCATAAGATGTATTGACATTTGGAATCAAGCGCACATCTGCTGGATCAACTCGAATATTCAATGTCTTCCCTGTTTTATTTTATTAACTGAATAGAACATTTATTTTTCTTGGATTGACCTTACAGATGTGATCTGATAATGCCTTTCGGCATTTAGTCCTCCAGTAGGAACGATTGTGGTTGTGTGCCTCTGCCATGCTAATAGATCATGGAAACTCAAAGATAAGTGGCAGAATCTTAGGGTTAAATATGCACTGGTCTGTACTTTTCAGCTTGCACTTCATCATCTTCACATTATTTTCAGCACACTGCTTTTTAAGCTTGCACTCTTTTTCTTTGACAAGCACCTTGCACACTTTTTTTTGAGACGCATTCTTTTTCAATATACCTTCTGTTTTGAGCAACTCTTCTTTCATGGATAATTAAAGATGTAGTGATACTAATGATCTATTCTAACTAGTTAATATCTATTGATATACTAATTAGCAGCGGCATATGTATTCTTAGGCTTTTGATGACATAGTTATTTTGTATGTAATAGAGGTGCTAGAAAGCTATTATAGAATATGTTTCTTAGTTGGCTGTGATATAATCCCTCATTATAAGAGCTATGTGTGGAAAGTGGCTACTTGAATCAGGTTCGCTAAATTGTAGAGTGCTGGTTTTCTTCATGGATGAGAAGGTAGACAGACACCTTTGCCGCGACAGTATCGAAATAGCTACGCATCATACACTGTAGTGTGCCTTTCCGTCGTTAACATATCTGCATGAGGATACGGTGCTCGATCCATGGCTTCTTGACACGCTTTGAGTTCAATGCCTGCATAAAGTAGCATTTAGTTCCAATGAAGGATCTGGGACATTTATCACTTGGGGGAAGAGATCACAATTTATCAAGCTAATCAGATTGAGTAAAGTTTTTTTTAAAAGGTGTACATACTTCTGTCATTTCAAGGTTGTTTTGCCCTGGTGCTTGCAAGCTTGGCGATCTGCGATCCGAAACAGTGGCCCACACCATTTTGACTCGCGATTCAACCGAATTCATGGCCGTGATTTGCAATCCGAAACTGTGGCCGTCCACTCAACTTTCTACTCAGCCAACCTGTCATTGCTTCCACACAAAAACATCATGAGTTTGTAAGAGGTCCAGCCTAGATTTGGGTCTACTAAATCGTCTAGACATCGCGGTTAGTGATTGATATCTCAGGCAATGGAGGCTAGGGAACAGTAACAAGATGAGATGCACCTATTTAGTACAATGAGCACTGCTGCAGAAGCGCATACTATTGTTGTTAATCTGTTGTGATCCCTTTGCATGTGTGGCTACACTAATCAAAATTGAGCATGAGGGGCTGAGCATGCATAATGTATCCCTCTCATGTAGGAGGATAACATTGTTGTGTCGTTATGTAGTATTGACTAGCTAAGTGAGAGCAACACAGTATGTACAGTATTAACTAGAACAAAAGAGCAAACCACGAACCAATCCAAGCCCCCCCTACGGCAGCTTAAAGTGACAAATGTGTCAAATGGGTTTTTTTTCTGGGCACCGGTTGCCCAGGATGCCACTCCATCCCACATTTTTATACTAGTGTTACAATGTAAACACACCAATCATACTCATTTGATTTGTAATCAAATAGAGCTTGTTGATTATTAGAAGGCAATGCATTGCTAGATATCATCTTTGATATATATCTGAGATAGCACTATAACCACTAGATTATTCAAAGTAAAAAGCTGATATAACCATATATGATTGCTAGATATTATCATGAATATCATCACTAAATATAATAGATAGCACTATGATAACTAGATTATTCATAGCAAGAAGACAACATAATCATTTGTTGAATGATTGTGCTCATGGTGATATAAAATAACATATATCAGTGCCTTGCAATAAGCTTGAAACTACGGAGTACAGATCTGTATTGTGACTTCCGATAAAAATCCACTAGTCCAAAAATAATTTAGTAGTTGCACTGTTTATTGCGGAACTAGCCTAATTAATTAAATTACATCTGGAAATTAAAAAGTGAATGAGAGAATAGAGAATGGTGTAGATGAGTGGAAAAATAAGGGTAAATGAATGCATTTGAATATCATGTAACTATAACTACAACTAATTACTGCAAGTTAAACTACCTTTAGACTAGTGGATTTTGATGAGAAGTCACAATAGTTTCAAACTTATTGCGAGGCACTATATCTATGGATCTGCTGTTGGCCGGCCCACAGCAGATATGACCGCCCAATCCATTATCTACTGTAACCATCAGCCCATAGTGTGGAAACCACAGTATATATATATATAGACAATGATATCCATCAATTGTATCTAATGATGATATCTAGTGATGATATTTTGCGAAAGTTGCGATGATATCTAGCAATGATACCTAGCGATGATATCTACAATGATGTAAATTCACTGTTTTAAAATGTACTTAGAGAATTCAAGGTGCATTGCTTTCTAGTATAAATTTCTATCAATGAGTGTCTGTAAGTGGAATTAAGTAATTACAGTGGAGAATATCAAAAAACCCCATTTGACACATTTGTCACTATAGGCTGCCGTACCCCCCCCCTCCACCCACTACCACGCTAGAATGCCATGTGATCCACATCTATTTAAGTAGAAAGCGCATAGCATGTCCTCGGGACCCACTAACGGAACACCTGGTCAAAATCAAAGCGTAAAATTGTGATTGAGGACAGTCATCTTCCTGGTAGCCCCGCACAGCCTACAGATGACAGTTGGGGGGAGTGGGACATAACCGGCACAATTGATCCCTCTGATGATTCGGACGGAGATTACACCGTGAGTAGCAACGGCGGTGATTCAGTGAAGCAGCAATCACAGCAGCGCAATATTTCCACAGTCAGCTGCTACCACATCATGTCGACCACAATCTCGATCTCGGGGTGCGCGAGCTGTTGGGCATCATCAAGGGGTCAAGCGGGCGCCTAGCAGCGGGCGATCAGTGGCCGCTACGGAGCACTCTATAAGCTCCACACGCGTGGATCACAAACGGTGCACACGCTGCGGTCCGGTGGCACCCGCCGGCGGCTCCAAGCATACTTTTTAGCCCGCGGCTGTTATCCCCAGAGGACATTTCCGTGCTGGTGTCTGCCTTTGCCCAAAGGCTCCTCGACCTCCGTAGGGATCCTTCAACGGACGCCGAGCGTAGCTGAGGTCGACACTGAAAGTGTGGACAAGGATCCAAGGACCGCGGAGCCTGACAGGAAGTGATCTTGGTGGACCCAGGGTGAAGATGAGCGACTAAAGGATCTGAAGACGCGGGGCTGGCATTGGTGGAAGATCAAGCAGCAGTTTCCACACCGAAAATTAAGCGCTTTGCAGCAGCAATGGTCCTCAAAACTCCGGGAAAGGGGAGAAGAGAAAGTGCAAGCCAATCATTGTGACTATACCATAGTTCCAATGGGGCCTCGATCCCACCTATGGCGTTAATGTTGGATGCAAAAGGGTGCTAAACATGCTTCAGGCTGACTGCGGGAAGTCAGTGAAGTTTTGGAACAGTATCTCTGCTCAGTGGGGTCTGATCCGGGGCGCCGACAGCTAGGTGTTGACAATATTCTGTTGCGTGGTGCTCTTGAGAAGTTGAACGATCAGAATATATTGACGGCGTGGCTAGCTAGACTGTGGAGAAATGTTTTGTTGACAGGTGGGCTGAAGGTGAGGACATTACTGTGCGACTCGGGGATGCTAAATTGGAGCGAGGAGGCCTATGGCTTGAATTATAAGAATGTGATGTTGAGGACGAGCCAGCAGGTCCAGTCATCAGCCTCTGGAAATTGGCACGGGGAGTGGTAATGCTGGAAGAGAGAGTAGTTTGTTCAAGGAATAGAGAAAACTGATATAAAATTTGTGGTGTCTTATGGGTAGCTATCGGATCCATGTCGATTCCATTAGAAATAGTATTAGGAACGATCTCCTTCACGTCAGTATTGGAAATGTTTCCCACATCCATTGTATCCTAGCCCCATGCCGGTTCAGGTTCTTCAAGTGATATGTGGGGATTGATGTTCCATCAGAATTTGGGTTAAATTGGAGGTCAACATTGCTGGTAGAATGAAAGAAAGAGTAATTTGGATTAACCTGACCATCATCGAAGGATCGTTGATGTAGATATATGCCCAGCTCTGTTAGGCCAGCTCAATGATCCGACGACATTTCTTGTATTCACCGGAAAGAGATGTCAAGCGCAGATACCCAAATGGGCTTTTAAACATCATGACATTGTATGTTGACCGTGGTGACAGGGAGGCCATTTTCGAAATCCTCAATTTTGGGTTCAAATATGTGATTAAAGATTTCGGCTTCATCCTTCTTTTTAAGAGCATAAAATTGTCTAAGAACACACAACACCACTCGCTGTTGATCTGTCCACTTATGCCTTGGGATTTTAATCCTTCCAAAATCTAGGAAAGATGGGTATTTCTCAACACTGTCCATATCCGACCTGGAGAGGGATTGGGGCGACTTCTCCATGAAGACAAAGAGAATAAACAGGCAGCAGATATGGAAAATTTTAAGGAGGATATGATGAAGATCGCAACTGTTCAAAATCAACACAGAAGCTCAGCTTGAATAGAATGCGGAAAGGTATTCTTAAGGGGATGTCGAATCCTGGCCTCAAAGAACACGCTCCACAACACAACGCGACAACGACATGAGCGCGTCGTTGTGGCATTGTAGTGAATGATGATGGTCTCTGGGCCTGGGCGTGACCTGCTATAGGGGTTTTCGATGAACATTGTATATTGTGGAAACACAAGCAAAGACTTGTTGGGCAGTATTTCCCAGTGGGTGGTGGAATACTTCCCTTCATGGAGCGGGGTTCCAACCTGCAAAGGCTGGGAGAATGAATCATGACAACCCTTGATGAGCTCTTCTAGTGTTGTCGGCTGGCTGCGCACTCTCTCCTGTGATTCCCGCTCTTCTGCCTGCCTTCGCAACTCTCCTTCGTGTCTCTCTCGCTTTTCTGCCTGCCTTCGTTCCGCTTCCGCTTTACAGTAGAGAGCCTCGTAATCTGGTGAACTGCTATCAGCCATTAGAGAGGGATAAAGAGTTATATCAAAAAGCGAAATGGGTACGAGGAATATAGTGGCGTAGAGATTGGCGATATCCTGTAGTGGTGGGGAGAAGCGAAATAATGCCAGTCATCCCAAAATAAAACGGATCAATGTTTGCCCGTCACACGTCAGAAGACGCGAGCGCAACTGCTGATGAAAAGGCGAACTACCCCATCAATGCTTAAAATCTGTTGAAGGTCCTACACAAGCCCTATCCCGCGTGACCCACACACTCTTATATTAGTTGCCGCTAGATGCTAGATAGATCATAACAATCTGTTGGGGGGATTGGGTTGGGTGATTCGTACCCTCTATACCACCACGGCGCTGGTGGTGATTGAGCTCTTTTGCCCGAGTGGCCTACGCCGCGTAATACAATCCAACTAAGGTTCAACACCTCTTACAAAATCAAAGTTAGTAAGCAGGTTGGTAGGAACTGTTGGCCCTAGGCTGCCTATCACGGACTAGCGCACCGCACATATATGCCTCAGCTGCCTACGGAGTACATGCTAATACAACCACTTTGACGTCCCACAGGAACCGCCCTGAAGCTGACCAAACCCTAAGGATTGACTGATGTATACGGAGTAGAGGTGGAAGGTATGTATGTTCGCTAGAGGGCTGAGGTTTTTATTAGCATCCGGAATTTCTAATTTTCCAGGATGCACTATTTCTTATTGGCGCAAGCAAGGGTAATTCTGTTTTTGGGTAACCAATCATTTTCCTTTGATTTAACTCCTTTGTCAACCAGGAACAAACAGTTGGAAGTACAACAGAAAATCCTGGATAAGATAGAGAAGGTGGCAAAAAGCAAGAGATTATCAAGAGAGAAAATAAGAGATAACTCAAAAACACAATTGAAATAAAGTAAAGAAGCACTTTAAAGCCACAGAAAGGTGTGCTATGTCAAACATCCCAGCAACATCATCACAGCTGCCTTTTCTGAGGCTCTCTCTGAGGCTACTACCCTGCATCAGCTCGGTTTTCCTCCTCTGTTTTAGCTGTGTAATTGCAAATATGAACATCCTCCTCCCACCTGTAACTTCCATGAGTCTCAACATATTCCTTGTCACACTTTCTTAGATAGACTTGATAGTGCTTGATGCAGTAAGATATCTCAGTTTTAACACTGGAATCAACATTGTTGTTGGTGAAAAAGTCACAGAGAGCGGCTTCTGTTTCAAACATGGCGAATTCTGTCTTTTCTATAACTAGAAATTATGGCTCCACCTCTGTCAAGCTGGACTGGTTGATTATGATGTTATGAGACCTAATTACAGCAGCCCATGAGAACAATATATGCAAATACAACAGAGGGGTAGGAATTTTTATCCCAATCTCTATTTTCTACAGATTTTAACATGTGGCTTATCCTTGATTTCACTTCTAATAGACAACTAGTCTTTAATATTAATACTTTTTTCCGTTCTACTCCTCGCGAATCAGCCACGAAAACATGCAGCACCTCGATGCAGTGTATGTGGGATACTTGGACATACTGCCCGTACATGCTCTCAGCGTACAGGAAATAATTTATAGTGTAACTAGATGATTTCTGTATAATGATTGAGAAGATTTACGGTAGGTGGTGGATTACATTACAAGATGTGTGGGTGGCGGACGGAAAAAATATGTCTGCTTTCACGTCTTCCAGTAGCCGGGTAAGAAAATAATGGCAGGCAAAAATAAAATTTGAAGCCATGTGACCCGCTCGCCAACGGGGGTGGAGAATCATACTGCCTAGTTTAACTAACTAGTTAACTAGTTAGTTGGACGGAGATTGGTCATATCCAGATCACATGGCACATTTTACTGCCCAGCTTGGCCCACCGCCTTATCAGCGGGGCTGAAAGACTATTTAGAGTCTTCAACACTTGCAATCATTCAATGTTTTGAGGATAGAAGAACGTATTTATTATAAATATTATGTAAGTGCTCAAGGGGTCTCTATCTCCAGGACAGGGCTAACGTGATAATCAGTTGCTGAAAATGGCTGAAACAGGCCACCTTAGAAAGAAACAACCTTCCGAGTCCGCAAAAAAAGAGTTGGAGTTAGTGGCGGAATGGATAGGGGGAAATGATATTCGATGGCAACATCTGGGAGGAGGGTTGTACGAGTGTATTGATGTGATGTTGGATGACAAACTTAGTCGATATGTTGAAGAATTGGTGCGTTTGGCTGCTTGATATGGCGATGCGTAGCTCACAGAATTGCGTTAAAAAGGAAGAACCCGAATCTCGACATCGCGTTTTTCGAGTGCCTGGATCCAAATATGCCCGTATCCTCGCGTCTGGCGGTGTGGCTCATATACACCCTATCCGTGTACATGGGGAAGCCGCAACAGTTGACAAAGTCCCGGTCCAAGTTGGAGAGTATATCACAATACGGAAGGAAGTACGTGTTGAACTTGCGACGGATTTCTTGGTTATATCAAAGGGCAAGCCAAAGACAGAAAACGGCCACGATTCTGGTGGTCAGGAATAGGCTGTTATCTCTGAGAAAGATATTCCGGCAAATTTTGCCCATCAACATCAAGGCGCGGTCGCACACATTCATCACTATCAACATCAAAGGCCGGCAGTAGCCATACATCACTATCAACATCCAACGGCAGCACCCATTCGTCGCTATCAACATCATAATAGGTTGGCGGTGAATCCGCATTGTCAACATCTAAGGACGGCAAACATGTATCATTGACCACTGTTGAAAGGGCTTCAATTTGTGCGGAGCATTGGTCCACTCCATCTGGCTGGAAAGTGTCTATTCCATTCATGTCTTGCCTGGCTGTAACTAGAGCCAAATTAGTCAATAAACTTAGCACCTACATCATACTCCGTACCTCTATTTTGTTCAATTTCCCCAAAACTTGTTACACTAGACAGCAGGCTAAAATCTAGTTGTGACGTACTTATCTCTTCGACGTTGAACGGCGGTGGATCGCTGTTAGCGCGATTCCGTGCGATATATTGGTGGCCATCAACTGCTGTGTTGGAACCTATATTATCCAATTAGCCTCAAGCAAAAGGGTGGGAATAGACACTTGCGAGGTACAATACAATGTCAGAGCGACGAATTTACAGCGTACCTTTTTGTGGGTTTCCAGCTGGGATCGATAGAGCCTCTGTGATACTCGAATTCGCCGTACGATCGAGTAATTGAACAGACGACGATGTAAAGCCATGAGCAGCAGGTGGAGAATGGGGCTGGTGCACTGTATCAATATTCTGCTGTTTTGCGCTGTCGTGAGTTGAAGCTACCGTTACCGCTGCCATGAGAAGTTGCATTGACATGTGGCACTCGTTAATTGTGTCGGACTGATGTTCTTCGGAAATCTCTGCTCTCAAGCCGGGGCATGGCCTTTTTGCACTTGATTCGTCACTCTGTCTGTGCCTCTTAGGGACCCTCGGGGCAATGAAAGCATCTTCCACTAGGGACACATGTCTCTTTTTTAGCCCCTGGACAATACTGTCCCCAAGTGCATGGAGGTTCCACTCGCGCATGACATTTTGAAAACCGATCTTGATGAGATGTTGTGCGGCGGATTTTTTATATTTACGGTACCGTCTTTCGGTGTACCTGGGTCATATTAGTTGTGAACCGTTTGATGGAATAGCTGACTTACTCAGTTTCTGAGACGCTGAGTGGCAACAGAAGTAGACAACCTGGCTCATTAAACTCCATAACCCATTCATCATATCCACGACCTAGCACTGCCCAGAGATCAAGCTGGCTGTAAATGACTGCCAGTTGAAGCGATGGAGACTGCTTTTTGACCTTTTTGGCCAGTGTATTTCGTGCACGATACACCCATCTGCTGCCATCATGGTATCCACAGTTTTGGATCAACTGGAAGAAATGGTATAGGTCGAATCGTCGGCGAATCTTGAGAACATCCGCATTCATTTCACCCTGCTGAATCTTGTGAAACAATGCACCCCAACCTGGTGCCTTGGGGACGTTTTGCGGTTGGCCCTCAAGTGGTTGGTTTTCAAAGAAGGTTTCATGGTTCTTTGTCCATTGCTCAAAGACTTTCTGCAGTGAGCCGGGTATGTTGGCGACCGATACCTTGAAGACTTTATAAACGTTCCTCGCAATGAAAGGATCCTTCACGCCTCCAGATGAGTGTGCATTGCTAGAGAGTTTTTCATTGTTAGAAGGATATGTCAGGCTGCCAAATGAGCCCGCATCGTTAGAAGAATCTGTCTGGTTTCCAAATGAGCCTCCGGCATCGTTAGAAAAATCTGTCTGGTTTCCAAATGAGCCTTCGGCATTGTTAGAAGGATATGTCATGCTTCCAAATCCTCCCGCATCTTTAGAAGAATCTGTCAAGCCGCTAGATGTGTCACCATGGTTGTGCGAACCACACAAATCCTGTCTGTCATCCATCGATCCATTCTGCTCTCCGTTATGCAAAATTGCAACAATTTTGCTCAAGGTTGACTTCTCTAAGGCCGGGAGAGAATGGTAACAAAGTTTGTATTTGTCAGGCGATAGGTATTTCTCATTCTCATTGAGGAAGTGAGCAAGTTGATTGAGAAGGCTACCAAGCTCCGCGATGACTTGTTCTGTGGGAGCTGACATCGTTGATAGACAGGAAAAATTAAAAATCAGAGCTGAGAAGTGCGAGAATTGAATCTCCCAGCCTCGTCTGGTGTCTGGCACCTGACTTTACCGCCAAGATTTTGCGATATTTTTGATTAATCGCAAAATCTTGGCAATCCCCATGCACGCCAAGGAAGCATCCGCAATCCTCACAGTGTGGCTGTTGTGCTTGTCACACAGGCAATTGCAGTACAGGTGGGTGGCTGCAACAGCCCAAATGACCAGGAGTATGCAAACCAAGGGTGCCAGACTGTGTCGAGGGCATGGGGAAACTTGCATCGATCATTCTGGGAGAGCAAGTGTGATATCCATGTCCAGCTTGAGTCCGAGCCACAAGAGTATGACTGCCTTGATACTAATTGAGGCCAAACTTTGCACCTCAATGTTTTTGACTATAAGAGATGCTTCACCGCTTGCTCGTTGCTTTGTTCGAATACAGGCTGCTCATCCATGTTGGCTTGCACTCGGGTTATTGCCTTAGACGCAAGGAGAAAGTCTGCTCACGTCGTTGCATGCGAAGGGCATGCTTACTGTTATCATACAAAGTTGGTTGACAATTATTCATTTGCCATATGAGTCTTTCAGTTCGAGTTTCAAACAACCTTAGCAGCGTAGCATTCACTGACACAGAAGTAGAAAGCACACAGTTCAGTGAAGCACCATTGTCAGCCTGCAGGGAGCATCTGCAAAATCCTCCAGTTTTGAGATCATGTCAATGGTACATCTCCTCCCTCATATGTGGTAGCTTCACTAACAGAGCCAGGCTTCGCCTCCTGTTCTCCAACTTCTAAGGCGTGGGGATAGCTATTTTGTTAGTGCAGGCACTTGCAAGCTACTCCCAGCCTCAACACCTGATCTTATGAGCTCATGGGCAGGCGTTGCCATGGTACTTGAGGCTGGCCATATCAGGGATGCAATGCGATACAACCAGTTGTGCCCCTTGAGTAGTGGCCATCTGCATATCATTGGTGAAAAGACCAGTCATCCTTGCTCTGTTACACTCTCTTTTTATGGATCATGTACCCACAACATAACTATCCCATCCGAAGCTCTGAATACATGGCCTGGATGGGTCATACGCTGGGAGAACGAAAGACAATCTTTGGGGGGGAAGTGCACATGTGATTGGAAGGTTGGTTCAGCTGTTGTTATGAGCTTTGTAATTGGATTATGGAGGAACCTGTGGAAGTACATACATCAAAGCTGCGATTGGTGTCAGCGTTGTATATATTGTATCTCTTGCTAGACCCTACAAATAGACGCCTTGCGCCCTTCTCCTCTTATGGATTCCACCCACCGCGCTATCTCTGTACAAACATCGGAAAGCAACGCCAGCCAACATGCAGACACAAAATTCAAACAAGCGACCAATCTCAACCATCTGCTCGGACATTCCAAAAGGCTTTTAAGCTGGTTCCTTGTTTTTACACTTCCTTTTATCTTGCTTGGCGCTGCCTTCTGGATAGTCGTAATAGCTGTGGTTATCTGTTCAGTTGGTCAAAACATTTCGTCAGTCCCTTCTCCATCGAACCTAGCCGGTCATTCCATAGACACGCCAGTATTCTTTGCTAGGCTTAGTAGCAAGTCATTGAGAATTGACATCCGATTGCTTTTCCCACACAGGGTAAGATTTCTTCAGCTTTGGATAGGCTGTCTTTTGTCATGCCTTTGGCTCATTTCTTTTCAATAATGTAAGGATGGTGCAGAGCCGAACGCCACATAAGGTAACATAGCATGGAAAAAAATCAATTGCCCAGTAGAGACACTGAAGCACACAATATCGAGAACAAATCACAGTTAACAATTATACTTTCACCGGCCGTTGACTGACCATTCCCTATCTCTGAACCTAAGGGACACTTGGACAATCTAAATAAAACTGTATTTGAAATAACAACACTAAAAATGCGTGCCCCACAGCCGTTGACGCTTAGCACACAACCTTAAGGAACAAGCATTGATGGTCTGTCCAGTTATCCCAGTACAATTTTTACCTATTCTTTTCCAACTGGTTGAATTATTAGCAGCAATGAGATATGTGACCAAATTTGAGTCAATGGAGGCGCTGAAGATTATTTTCCTCGATTCCAAGCCTAGACTCACTGTTGCTGTTGCTATCTTTAAACAGAGAGCAATGTCTTTCATCCTAATTCCCCAGAGTATGGTGTACATATAAGGGGAACCTGTCCCTCAAACATCAGACATTGGAAGCCATGTTCATCATCGCTCCTTTTCTTCAGTATGTTTGCCAAATTACCTAGTCGACCTGGGACAGCAAAAGAAATATTACCTTCCACAGACCATTCTCATGGCGTAGAGACAGAGGGAGAGAGGAGAGGGGTTAGAGCGGGCGAAGTTGAGAACGAGATAGAAAAGGTAGAGGAGGAAGAGGAGGAGGAGGAAGAGGGGGAGGAGGAGGAGGAAGAGGAGGAGGAGGAGGAGGAGGAGGAGGAGGAGGAGGAGGAGGAGGAGGAGGAGGAGGAGATGGACAGTACCAGCAACTACCACTCTGAATTGGAGGATGACTTATTTTCTCTCACAGAAAGTATCACTGATTATCCGTAAGGACCTTGTGTCATACCCAAATGACTATCCCAGCTAACAATCTCAGGACTCAGGTAAGAGAAACCCAACTGACTTGGCTCGCACAAGCTAAATGAGCAGAACGGACGAACATACCATGCATTTTGTAAAGGGAAATACCTTCTTGTGAGTCCTCTCCATTTATGGTAGAGAAACATGGTTATTAACTGGTTGATAGCCGAATGATGAGCTGGAAAAAGATCGGATGGATATGGTAAATGATGGTATCTGATACTCATTGCATAAGATCTGACCAGGGCACAGTTGCATAGGATGTATACACTCGCTTTGGATTATCGGTTGTTTCTTGCTCCCATTAGTGACATCCCTCAGTATATTCTTGATATGGGAACAGGAACAGGTATCTGGGCGATAGAATGTGCCGAGTGCGTACCTCTAAAGCAAATGTCCATGATATCACTTCAAGCGTGGCTAACAATCATGGGCAGCAAATATCCCAGTGCGGTGGTTCGAGGAAACGATTTAAGCCCAATCCAACCTACCTTGTAAGAAGTGTCCCACCATATCAAATATGCCCTGGCTTATGATTCATTCCAGCATTCCACCAAATTGCATTTTTGAGATTGACGACTTTGAGAAATGGGAATTGCCATACAAATTTGATCTCATCCATGGGCGTGAGTTGGACGGTTCAATCTACAACTGCGAAAGACTGTGCAGAGGAGCTTTTGAGCATTTAAAACCTGGTGGATACTTTGAACTCCAATCACTTGAACACGGCTTCCTTTCAGATGACGAGACGCATAAAAATGCTGTACATGCACTTGAATGGCAACAGCATATCATAGAGGGCCGGAATAAGCTGCAAAAGCCTTTCTGTGGAGCAACTATCTGCACACAAAGGATGGGAAAAGTTGGTTTTGTCAATATCAAAATCCAAAGATTCAAGGTATGTCAAGCTTTGTACATTTGATGAAGACCAATTGCTAAAATGAAATAGATTCCAATAGGACCATGGCCAGAAGGCAATAAATTGAAGCAATTGGGCATTTTTGCTCTTCAGGATATTCTGGAAGGACTGGAAGCATTCTCACTCCATGTCTTCACTCAGGGTCTTCAGTGGTCAATGGATGAATTGCAAGTATGTCTGGCTCTAGTGAGAGATGATCTGAAAAGAGAGGGACTTCACATATACCGCGAATTATATGTGATATACGGGCAAAAGCCGAAAGTGAAGGAGTAGAGAAGAATGCACATATGGACCCATCCAAGCAAATCAATTACCTTCTAGTTCTTTGCAAAATGCCGCAGAAAGGAGCATGGGCGTCACTTGATGTGCAAGCGAAATCTTCCCTTAGTTATCTGTACCTCACATGTCTGCTACCAAATGATTATATTTCAAAAGAAAATAAATCCTATAAGTGGTCAAAAAATGAACTTTGTAAATATATTCATTCACGGGCCAACATCAGTGCCTCTTTGCTGGTGATTTGTATCAAGAACTTGGTAAGTTCTGCTATCAAAGATTCGAGAAGATTCGAGCAGCAGCATGAATGTCCCGCTATATAAAACTTAGCAATGCTCAGTACTATCCCTTGCGTATCTAAGCATGACCTTTCTTATAAATACTGCCTACTTTTCATGTAATTAGTGGAGTTATAATAAGCAATTCAATTAATATTTTTGATATTCAGTATTTGGGGCAATATTCGGACTTTATTAGTTCCGACAATTTGAGATTGCCATCTCCCTCAGCATATCTTGGCGCCATCATTTTCTTGGCACATTGATGCATTTGAATGCCTGACAACATCATACAGTCTGAGATCTCTCAAACTGAGGCCTCATGTAAGAGAGGGACACCGAGGTTAACTACGAGAGTGGTGTGAAGCAAGTCTTATTTAAAGGTAGCAATCTCTATTATTCAAAGCTAATCGCTGATCTCCTAAGATCTACGGATATCAGCGAGCATTATATAGTTGGCCGCCACCACGCACTACGGCCGCCTGTAATGCCGTTGTGCTTTGTCCATCCTCGTTAATTCTGGGGTGTTCTGCGTCCTTCTATCGCCACGTAGCTACCCCCCAACATAGACACCTCCGTTGTGTCTATTACACCTCAGAAGCAACTCGACATAGCAAAATTCTCCTCTCAATTACTTCTATACCTATTCTTCTGACTTCAAGAAAGATATCAAGTCACAATGGCTACAGATTTGAAAAGCAAAGCATACTTTGAGCATAAAATAATGACTGGGGAAAGCCTTTTAAAAAATTGAATCATTTCATGAATATTGCGCAATTTTTGAAATGAGAATGGTGGTCCATTCCCCAGAAAGCATCCGGATTGAATTATATGGTTTTACTGTATTCAAAGATTCATAATTGGGAGTATATTGATGGGCTAATGATGAGACAGCAGTCAGTGAGGATGACTTTGTGGACGACAAACAATAGCCATAGTAGAGCTCAGAAAGGTGTTTTAAATGTTAGAGAAGGGATGAATCATGTACAGTACAAAATGTCAATGAAGGAGAAAAAGAGGTGGTTGAGATTTCACTCAACCACGCAAATGCCTCGGTGTACATATGTGTATAAAACTGACAAATTGAGAGGTAGAAGTAATAAGTGTTTTGGACAGTAAAATGCGCCATTTTCTCATCGATTTACTGTAAGTGGACCCCAAGATTATATGCTGTGTCCTGGATCAATTCATTGTACTTTTGAAGCACTTGGTGGGAAACTTTGGAGGTATGCCTTACAAGATATTTAGAAGAGTCTACAAAAGGAGGATGAGTTGCAATTCATATAGAGCTATCCATTCCCACATTCATCGCGTTCTTATCAGAGCCAAGCCGGATCAACTCGATTCGCGGGTGGGCAATAGCAGCTCAGATGATCTCTAGATAGTTTCCACTAAAGAGAAATAAACAAACAAAACAAACATAACAATGTATCTTTCTATACTAAGGGCCTCTTCAGTGATTCCCATTCGTGCAGTCCCATTTGTACAAGGAGCAGATATCTACATTGCGTAGGTCCCACATATATTAGTTAGCTGCTGCTGGAGTGATTAGAATTGTAAGAGGTGCACTACAAGGGTAGCTATAGAGCAGTGTGAAGTACACACAAAGATATTAACAAGGTAGCAATCTCTTATATTCAAAACTAATCGCTGATCTCCTAAGATCTACAGATATCAGCGAGCATTATATTGACAGCGTTGCCACCACGACACGCTACGTCAATCATGATTCTGGCGTGTTCTATTTCCTTCTATCGCCGCCTAGCTATTTCCTAATATAGATACTTCCATTACTTCTATTACAATTATCTCCCTTCTTCAAGGCCTGGTCCCCAGCTTATTGTGCGAAGTTCGTAATAGATGTTGCGTAGTTGATGTTGTATAAAATTTGCAGGATCGGACCGGATTAATTGTTGGGGTTAATTCCAAAGTGTTGTTGTTCCGGAAAAATGTTCTTCCAGTGGTGGTGTTATTGCGGTCCAATCATGATATAGACACAACCCCTGAACCTCTTATCCACGGCAGCCTATAGTGACAAATGTGTCAAATGGGTTTTTTTGATGTTTTCCACTGTAATTACTTAATTCCACTTACAGACACTCATTGATAGAAATTTATACTGAGAAGCTATGCATCTTGAATTCTCTTAAAACAGTGAATTTATGTCATTGTAGATATTATCGCTAGATATCATCGTGAGATATCATCGCGAGATATCATCGTGAGATATTATCGCGAGATATTATCGCTAGATATTATCGCAAGATATCATTGCTAGATATTATCGCTAGATACCATTGCTAGATATCATCGCTAGATATCATCATCAATGTTTCCACACTATGGGCTGGTGGTTGCAGTGTATAGATAATGGGTTCCGTGGCCACACCCACTGTGGGCCGGGCCACACCACCACGCCCATGGGTATATATATCACTATGAGCACAACCATTTAACAAATGGTTATGTTGGCTTTTCACTATGGATAATCTAGTGATTATAGTGCTATCTTATCACAGTGATGATATATATTGAAGATGATATCTAGCAATGCATTGCTTTCTAATAATCGATAAGCTCTATTCAATTACAAATAGAATGAATATGATAGGTGTGTGTACATTGTAACACTAGTATAAAAAACCCATTTGACACATTTGTCACTATAGGCTGCCGTATTATCTTTAACTTCCACATCAAAAAATGTATGCATTTTCCGTTTCAGATCGAGTTTTGTGAGCCTCTAGTTGAGATAGTCCCCATTGTCAATAACCCCTAGTTGAGGTGATAACTGTTATATTCTATGGTTGAGGATCTTCTTTGGGAAGCCAAAAGCTATCAAACAGCTCAAGCGCTTGATCACTAATTCTTACACTGTCTTCCTCCCTATACAATGATCGATATACGAGACCCAATGCGAAAACCCTTACGGTGCCAGGTCACCCCCAGGCCCAGATGCCATCACTACATGATACACCATACCAACACACTCATATTGTTGTCATACTTATAGATTGTGTTTTTCTAGTCTCATCAAGGCTTTCAAGGCCAAGATTCGACAGCCCCTTAAGCTTTCCGCATTTTACTCAACCCTTCAACCTCTTGAGCTTCTGTGTTGATTTTTGAACAGCAATCTTCCTCATTGCCTCCTTCTCTTTGTCTTCGTGGAGAAGTCGCCTCAATCCCTCTCCAAGATAGATATGGATAGCGTTGAGGAATACCCATCTTTCCTAGATTTTGGAAGGATTAAAATCCCAAGACATAAGAGATCAAGTGGTGTTGTTCTTAGACAATTTTATGCTCTTAAAACAAAGGAAGAAGCCGAAATCTTTAGTCACATATTTGAACCCGAAATTGAGGATTTCAAAAATTGCCTCCCTGTCCACAGTCAACACACAATGTTATCATATGATGTTTAAAAATCATCCGATTTGGGTATCTGTGAACTTGACATCTCTTTCCAATGATGAGTACAAGGACTGTCGTCGGATTATTGAGCTAGCCTCAACAGAGTTGGGCATATATCTACATCAACAATCCTTATTACTCTTTCTTTCATTCTACCCAATGTTGACCTCCAATTCAACCCAAACTCTGATGGAAACATCAATCCCCAAAGAACCTGAACCAGTTACTGAATAATGCTAAGATATGAACACTGATGGCTGCATTCTGGCTTAGTCGATATTAATTTGTCCGTGGCCAGTAGTATGTGAGGGCGATCTCCACATCCAATCATTACTTGGCGTTGTGAACTTGGAAGAAGCTGCAGATGGTTTTTAAAAACATTGGCTTCTACATCATTGATCCCTATCCTCTATTTCCAGATAACACACCTACCATTGCAACACCACCAATGATGTCTGAGAAACCCACAAAGAAGCACAAGGTTATTGTAATCAATGACTGATGTTGAGGTTTACAACGACCACAGACAAGAGGTGATGGTCATTGAGGATGATGAGGATGAAGTGGTAGAGGTGATGATAGAAGGATAATGAAGCAGATGAAATGGATGTTGTGGTGGTGGAGAAGCAAATGAAGGATGGCAATAGCAGAGGCAAAAAATTACAACATTGGGCATCAAATAATCGATCAAGAAGAAGATTATTACGATCAGTGACAAGGAGAGGAGAAGGACACACTGAACTGTTTGCAGAACCAACTTCGCCGCGCCATTGAATTGGAAAGCAAGGTTGCCCCAGCGATCATGTTCACGGAGTGAGTGGAGACGATGTATCAGTGGGAATCAGAATTGACATGGACTATGTGGGGAATGAGACTGTGATTATACACCTTTGAATTGGACCGGGAGCGAATTGATCAGATCACCTAAAGCTAGCAAATTTATTTGATATACACAGTCATTTATCTATCTGCCATTTCTTGCATTCAGTCGACTCGGAAGAATGCTGATGAAGTCGAACTTTCAAGGAATGCCACAATCTTGCATGAAAAGGTAACAAAGATCAACTTGAGAACACTATAATTTCAAATGAAAAAAAACAAGGACAGATTCCTATGCAGATATAACAAAAGACATATAGAAAGTAGAAAACAGAAAGGAGAATTAGAGTACCAGAGTACACAAATAAAAAGCTCAAAAAATGCACTTGCTGTTAATTCTTACTAACCCGTAAGCAAATGAATATGTATCAGGAATCAATTTAAGCCCCTTCAGTATAACCTCCATTCGTTTGGCCCAGCTTGAATTTGCCCAGCCAGTCCCAAATACAGAATAACTATAGTAGTCACCGTGATGTGCAACATCACAAAAGAAGGTTCCTTGTTCCAATTGTGTAGAACATTCTGTTGGTTTAAGGTTCAACATTCTGCCCAAATCGGAATTGCGGAAGTCAGCATTACCCCAGCCATTGCCATGTATAGAAAATTCATGAAAATCGTCTGAGTGTGGCGCGCGGCATGGTCCCTCGGAATTTTCGAAATCGAGATTAATATAATAAGCCATACTGTTTGTTTGAACCAGACCTTCACCCTTGAAGTTCTTTGGATGCTGATCATTTGCGATGCAACCGTTTAGAGCCATGTCACGTAGAAATTGCAGACAGTCATCAATGTTCATCAGGAAAGCAGATTTATCAACTGAGAAAACTCCAATTTCGACCTTCTGCGTAGTATCTACATTGTAGACCCATGAAACTGAGCGTTGCAGTTTCACTGCATCAGGGCAGAATTGATCTTCTAGAATCTTGCTGATCGTGTCTCTGGCTGCTTGCTCATGCCCAGCTCGTGTATTACAAATTTGAACTGTGGGAACAGGAGCGTTGGTGAATGAAGTGGTAGATGGTGAAGGTTGAAGAGTGGAAGGCGGCGGGCTGTCAGACGGTATTGTAAGAGAGGATGGGCTGGCGGAGGGCGGTGGCAATCCGGGAGTGGAGCCATGTTCAGAGACAATCAAGCTGTAGTTACCACATTTTCCATGAACAGTTCCACGTCCTCCCCACTGACAGTCCACCTCATGACAGCACTCTTTGAGCATTGCAGCAAACACATCCACACATGGGCAGTCTTTATCTCCAGCTTTCTGCCAGCTGATACTGAAGATGTTCTGTGGTTTCAGAGCATCTAACACCTCCATGCCAGGATATGAGAGATAAATGGGAAAGAAAGGAGACTCTTTTGCAAAGTTGCAGAATTTCTCAGCAACTACTTTAATAAAGGGAGAGGAAACACCTTGCCCTTTCGGGCTGCATTGTACTTCGCGTTGCTGGTTTCCCAGAACCAAAGGAAGAAAAAGAAGAACTAAAATGAACATAGTTAATGACTCAATTGATGATAAAGATATAAATTAAAAAGTGATGTGAGTTTTATATCTTCATAACTCTCAGTGTAGATGCCAACTTTTATATAATTGTAGTCAAGACAAGCCTTACTCTGCTGTAGTTTTTGACACTCTGTTTGACTTGCTGCTTTTTTGACTTGCACCTCTTTTTAGATCATACTCACTTTTAGCTCATTTTTATTTTAACTCATGCTTGTTTCTGGTACTACTTTTCATCTCACACTCTATTTTGACTTGCACTCTAGCTTGGGTAAATTTTGGCTTGCACTCTCTTTTGTGTCACATTTCCATTCTACTCTGTTTCTTGACTGGAAGCTTCTGGCCTAGGAAAGCTTCTGATCTATTTCCATCTTTCTGTTAGAATCATCTAAACAGAGCTAGCTAAAAACAGCAGTGATTTAACTATAAGATTCAATCTATACATTGTGTAAAGAAAACTTCCCTAGATCAGAAGCCTCTCTGCTAAGAGAGTCTGAAGCATCTTTTATAGCAGTTAGAGGCACTTTCTGATATCCATCTGCTCAAGTGTGACTCTGAATCAAAGAACAACATAGGCAGCATCCTGTCAGTTTGTACTGAATAACACCCTGACAACTGCAAAGAGAAAGACAGAACTAATATGCTAAAGACTAAGTTAGAATGAGATAATTACTTGTTCATTCAGATTTAGAAGAGTTGAGAGGTATCAGTCATAATTAAAAATTGATATAGTTATAACAAAAATTATAGTTATGTTGGCATCTCTATTGCTTGCTAGAATGCCACATGACCACATCTATTTAAGCAGTACTGCGCCCGCTAGATAGTTACAATATACCAACCTTCCACCTCCATCAGGTTATAGAAAGGCAACTTTATCTGATTGCTTCGTGTGATAACAAGAACTTATATCAGATGCAGATGGCTGAAAATTGATAAGTTTAAAGATATTAAAAGAAAAATTAACTATTAAAAAATTTAAAAAGATCTGCGCTGCAAGCTGAAAAGATCTCTTAAGCTAAAAATATCTGCAAAGCTAAAAATATCTGCATGTCAAAAAGATCTGCAAGCCAATTCTTTAAAAGTTAATGCAAAGAATTTCTTGTGGCAGAGCAACTATTCTCTATTGTGTGATGGCTATAATATTACAGAGGGTAAATGCATGCTTTCATATCTAAGTAATTTAGTGGTGCGTGTCATGTTTAGCAATTTTTGAAGAAATTTGTGAGTGCTTGTTAATTAGTGATTTGAAGCAAATGATGACTTGTCAGCCAAATTGAGCAACATAGGTTCTTCGAACAAAGGAGAGGTCTGAGTGTTCTCTCAAAATATGGGGTGGGGAAGATTTCCAAGTTCTGGAAATGCACCGGCCAGGATAGATAAAATGAAAATGAAAAAGTGAAGTGAAACAAAATGAAGAAACCAAACATAGAAAACAAAAGAGGAAAAACAAAGATCATAAAGGAGAAAGAAACCCCCAATAGTTACAAACAAGTAACTCGCTGACATAATCCATGTGACCTTGTTCAATGGAAATTGTTACCCCAGTAAGCTGCCAACAAGTTCCAACCCTTCATACTCCTGCAAGTCGACAACTCATAACCCTTGGAAACCCTCTTTATATTTCATTGAAGGGATAGAATGGTGACAAACAGATCAGAGTTGCTAAGCAGGTTGTGACTCATTGACTCATCAATGAGTCTTCTACACAAAGTGGGCACTGAGCCTTATCAGCAGAATCTGAGTACTTTCACAGTTTTCCTTCTATGCCATATCTGCTTGTTTCTTGTAAATTTATCCGTTCTACTATCTGGCATATCTCATCTCTGTCTAATCCACCACATCATGGGTATATATATCACTATGAGCACAACCACTTGACAAATAGTTATGTTGGCTTTTTGCTATGAATAATCTAGTGAAAAACCCATTTGACACATTTGTCACTATAGGCTGCCGTAACTAGGGCCCCAGTCACGTGCCACCCAACCTACTGTGTTGTCTCACTTAGCTAGCTAGTTAATATATGTTGGAGGGATTAGATTGGGTGATTCGTACCCTCTATACGGCCCTGGTGTGATCGAGCTCTTTTGCCCCAGTGGCCTAACACCGAATAATACAACAACATTATTCCAATCAAAACACGTGATTCGGCTCTCTTACTAACGAACCTCTGCCATGATTTCCTCCTGGCGTGCAATGCATTTGAGAAATGTGCTATACAAAATCTTCCATGATTGATGCTATGGAGGATGCTCTTGTGGAAAAAACTTTCATCTGCGAACCCCATATTCCTATCATCGAAAACACTATGATCCACCAAATTTAAACTCTTGGGGTTACATGTAGGTTACAAATAAAACTTTGGGAAACATCTCCCCATATTTAGAAGCGCTGATGAAGATAAGTGATAAAGATAGGAACTTTCTCTTCTCCTGCTGCCGCCCAGTGCTAAACATACCTTCCCACCTCCCAACCAAGCATTTTGAAAGTAGACCCAAAACCATATCGCCACAGTTTTCACAGGAGCATAGCCACGAGGAGACCAACCACAATATAGAGATATTTGTTTAAAGGACTTCCAAATCCCTGAGATTGGAAATCGAATCCTTCTTGTAGATCCTGAGATGCACTGGGAACGGCGGTAATCACACCATGGGTGGGGTACGGGTACAACCCCGGGAAAAAGTTTCCAGCCCATGACAACCTATTAGTGGTAGCATTGAGGTTGGGATAAACTGTTTTCGCGGGAGTCATAAGGCCAGACACTGATCTGGGATCAGCCTCAGAAGCCCACCAACGCAGTGGGGTGCCACCGGTACATGACCGGTATATCGGGCTACCAGTTGGGGTTGATGGTATACCGGACCTATTTCCTTGTACTAGGACTACAGTGTGGTGTTGACAAATCTGACAGAGGTAGACAGGTTCCGACAACAACAGACATCAGATACCACATCATATATGCTTTCAGAACTTGTTCTCTTTTCAAGATATCAATTACTGCTGAACTTCCATGCTTTCTTCTTTTCACTGCAGTTTATTAGAGCTTAAGAGTGTTTTCTTTTCCATCAGCTGATGAAAAAAAAGGTTTTTAATTTTTGTGAGGAATAAGACAATCAATCTATTTTGAAAAATCACTTTTCAATATTGATTTTGATTTTCATAATGTGCAAGCTGATTCTAGAAGAAACTCAGCTTTAAGCAAGTCACTTTGAAGAATACATGAAGCAATACCTGACAGCTGGTTTTAGAATGTCTATCAGTTGATAAACTAATCTGTGCAAGTCAATTCTGTCTTATAAGGTAATGTTAGCAAGCTGATTGTGAGTTTATACAGGGTATGATTTATAGTATAAATAAATTGCTTTCCTTTGCTTTAAAACCACTAACAGTATAAATAAATTGCCCTCCTTTGCAAACCACCAGACAGCACCAACAGGTACCAATATAAATAAATGAGTTCATCCAAAAAGCCAAAACTTGCACCAGATAACGACACTGGTTCATCATCAGAAGCTATTGAAACAGACATGAAGGAAATCGGTCCTTGGGTTACCACAATAATCTCAGAATCCACTGAAAATTTTCAAAAAAACAATATTGGCAAACGCTTCATCAATGGTGTATCTGATGCAGATATAGGGAAAATCAAAGAGTTTTTTGTTGCTATTAACACGAAGATTGAAGAGAAAAATAGGAATGAAGACTATAAAGGGGCAGACCTGGAAGTTGGAAAGCTAAAAATTACTGATTATGTTCAGCCATTGCAAGAGTGGGCTACGATTGTGGCAGCGGCAGATGCAACAGATGTGGTTACAGCCCGACAGTTGTTTCATGAAATTCAGAAAAAACTGACAACACAAAATGAGATTAACGGATTCCCAAAGGACTGGATCCTCGATCTAACTTGCATTGCTGACATCAATTGGAAGAATGCTAATGCTGATGCTTTAGGATATGATCTTCAGTCACTGAAGCTCAAATCTAGACCAGCTTATCATGAGAATGAGAAGATAAAGGTGCTATTCTGGTGGAATTTGGGGAAAAGAAAGGAGTGTTTTGTGCAGTATGGCCCGGATGAGTGCTGCATTTACCGAATTGAGGCCGAAGACTATCACTCCTTTGATGAAACGAAGGTGCGACAAATCGCAACCAAGGATCGACGTTCATTGAACAAGAATCCTAAATACACTGAGAAAGACATCAAAAAAATTTTGGGAGTAGCCTGGAGGTCGCCAGATGAACATCAACCTGATCAACTTCAATACATCCGTCCCCCTGAATCTAAGTATACGACGAAAGATGTTTCCTTTCCCAGAACTGAAGTTTACATTCTTTTCAATGATGGGGAGCTGTTGTTGGAAGCCAGAGGTGGATTTCAACGCCTTACAGGGCGTCGTATTCTTGCTGATCGAATGATTTATACGGTGGCTGAGGATATGGAAACACGCTTCAAAAATTCCACTGGTGGTGAAGATGCTGACAGTCATATCAAAAAGGAACATAATGCCACTACACGCTCAAAGGAAACTTGGGAGAATGAGCTCAAAAAGGAGGTTGAAAGGCTGCAAAAAGCAATCGAGCTTCTGCAGAAGCCAGCCACCAGTTAGTGAGGACCTCTGAAAATTTCTTACCCATTCAAGGCTCTATTTTTCATTTTCGGATCAAAACCTGTATCAGCTTGAAACCCAGCTTGAAACTCAAAATCACCCTTTCATTTCGACATTTCTTTCCTTATATAGTTAAATGATGCAATCTTTTCATGTAATTATCAGAATTATCATCAAAATAACAAGCATACTTTGCTCGCTCACTACGCTCGCTTGCCTGTTACTATAAATAATTGAAAAGTGGTTTTTCGCGCATTTTGCGCAGTAGCACTACAGCCAGTTCATCAGGCGCCTGTCTATGTCGGACTGGTTGGCAGATCGCAGGTCTTTATGCACCACTCCCAGCATACGGATTTCCTTCTTCGACCTGGAAATCTCACGACTTAGCACCCCCTTGTCTTTGACATATACTTCTCCCCGCCCAACCAATGAGAAGCATATGGCGGCTGCTCTGATCTTGAAGCCTACAGTTTATCCAGTGAAACCTACACTTGAGAGGTGTCCCATGCTTATAAATATAAAATCCAGAGGTGGAAATTGCATATGTTACACTTCAAATGTATCGGACACCCTAGGTCAGAAGCCTCCCTAGGTCAGAAGCCTCCCTAGGTCAGAAGCCTCCCTAGGTCAGAAGCCTCCCTAGGTCAGAAGCCTCCCTAGGTCAGAAGCCTCCCTAGGTCAGAAGCCTCCCTAGGTCAGAAGCCTCCCTAGGTCAGAAGCCTCCCTAGGTCAGAAGCCTCCCTAGGTCAGAAGCCTCCCTAGGGTCAGAAGCCTCCCTAGGTCAGAAGCCTCCCTAGGTCAGAAGCCTCCCTAGGTCAGAAGCCTCCCTAGGTCAGAAGCCTCCCTAGGTCAGAAGCCTCCCTAGGGTCAGAAGCCTCCCTAGGTCAGAAGCCTCCCTAGGTCAGAAGCCTCCCTAGGCCAGAAGCCTCCCTAGGCCAGAAGCCTCCCTAGGCCAGAAGCCTCCCTAGGCCAGAAGCCTCCCTAGAGTCAAAACCGCGCCGAAAGTTATTCCGGCCCGAAAAATTAACCATGTTCGACTTTTTAAGTATTAGGCCACTAGCAGTCTGGATGGAATCATCGGAGTAATTCAACAGCTCCTTCAATGACATCAGGAACCGTAATCTCGATGAGGTTTTCCCAGGTGGGCCGATTTCACCGGCGCATTCATCGATACTCTTACCCCGCTAACCTAGGCATTTCCAGGATGATCACCTCCGGCATCACAAAGCCTCGATGCAGGTCGCGCCTTGGATATTCCATGATGATAGTTTTCGCTTAGAGTAGAGACATCCATGGGTTCGAGGACAGAGGTGCCAGGCTCACCTTTTGACTGGCACACATGGTTGGGTGAGCTCGGCCTTTCGGATGCATGCCTAACCCCTTGCTCTTCGTCCCCAGCGCTATCGATTGTAGGAAAGGGTTTGGCGGTTTGTCGATTCAACTTCATGGTATGACCAGGGGAATAAAGGGGGTTGATTAGGTTGACTGGTCGATATTTACTGGACGAAGGCCAGGTTGGTCTGGGAGTGCGGCCAGGGGCTGTGTTGGTCCATCCCCATCAATGCAACATTCCCCGGTTCGGCGGCTTCTTCGCTGGATTGGCAATCCACGCAAGACACATCTCAGCTACTATTTTTCATACCCTCCTCGATTAGCCTCGACCTATTATTGTTCGCAGGGGGGGAGGAGGATGTGGGACATAGAAAGACCTCCAGTTCCTCCTGGATTGAGATCGAGGGGAGAAGCGCATCCCATCATCTCATCTTGCAACATGGCTACCTTCATGGATGATATCACCTCCCCTCACCCAAGCCTGAGCAATGTTGCCAATGACCCCCTGGCTTTCAACTATCTAGAAGGCAACACGCGGTTGCTTGCGGGGCCGACATTGGAACCTTTGGCCTCCTTCCCATCTCTCTCCTTAGGGACATTTACTGCAGGTCCGCGCCACCCCCCTGTCCCAGCGGTGACTGGTCTTGTGATCGTGAGGCGGTGCTCTCACTACAAGTATAAATATGCGTGGTTTCCCCCTCAAGTCCTTCTGTTCTCCCTCTTCCTTAATTATCTCGACCCATCCTGCCAGAATGTGGATCCGTCTCTCTTCCATTTCCTTCTCCACTTCTCACCCTACACCACCGCGAGACACACCGAGAGCCCCTTGTGTACTCGAGGACGACTGAGTGAACAGAGAAAGCCCGATTTTCCCCCCAGCAGTGCTCTCCATCCCTCCTTTTTGTTTTTCCACGGCACCACCATCTTTCAATCATGGCGTCAGCTGATAGTTTCCGTGACGGGCTTTATCACACTGTCGTCATCAGTTCAGATTCCGAGATGGATGAACACCAGCCCCCGGTGCAAAAGCTGCGAAGAAAGAGACCCCGCACAGACTACAGCTATCCAATGGATGAGGTTCAATTTGACGACCCAGCACCCTCCGAAATGTGGCAGCCACTGAAAAGGCATAAAATGCCCAACCTGGACACCGTATTGGTAAGGCTCCTCACTGTAAGGCATGACGAGGCTCCCTCTTGGCTGATATGGGATAGGAAACCGCGAACATGGAAATCCATAACATTTTCGAGGCGGAGCATGCGTGGAGAGAGGTGCTGGAGAAAGAAGTGCAACACCTGCGTGCGGAAATGGCTAGGAAGAATGAGCGGGTTGACAAGCTTGAGACCAAAGTCCGTGAGCTGAAGTATCAATGTCGATGCCAAATCTGTTTTACCATCCCATCAGGGTGGCGGACCCTTCTGTGTGGACATCGGTATTGCCCGGAATGTGTTCCCCCCATTGGTGAAACCTGCGCCACCTGTCGCCAGGTTATCGCTGGTGTTATCAAGAGCTACTAGGCAGAACACAGACGGTTGAGTTTCGCCATATGGGATGATGTACAGTTAAACAAGTGTAATTGAGAAATTGAATCTATCTATCTATCTAAAGGGAGGTAGCTCCACCTGCATTGACACTCAGTTTTGTGTAATGGAGGATGTGGGACGGAAGGGTTTTGCCCCAATTAGACTAGTCGTGATAACAAGAACCAGCATCAAGTGGAGATTAATATGAGGGTACGCAAGTTGACCTGGTGGCTTTGACGAATAGTGGTGGATTCATTCACGAGACCGTGCTTTTCGCGAATATAATCAACTCGGTAAGGATATAGCCAACAGTAAGGGGAGAATTATCTCAAGCAATCAGTCACTAGCCATACTACGTCTATGTATCGTTCTCTGAATACTATGTTCTGCAGACGAGATTTGCCTCTCATGGGCGCAGACGGGGACCGTGTACGCTCAGAGTATGACTCTTGAATTCCATGATGGATGGTGGAGTGAAGGTGACGCCCTGTACTTTGCAGATCCCGCAGTGCTTTTGTCCGGAGGAGTACGCCTTCAACTCCTCGCGGTGGACGCTCTCGATATGGTTCCAGAACTTGTTCGTGCGCTCCCAGACCTTCATCCGCTCCCCCCAAGGCAATGAGATATCAGCGACGCAGAATGGGCACTGCTTTTCGCCCAGCTTCGCCGGAATGGATTCTTTCGCCCGCACGGTGTCTAGGGGAGGGTCAGGTTGGAAATCTCGCTGGGACGGCTGCTGTTTTTTGTGACGGCCCCGACGCTGAACCTCCTTCCGACGCTGCAGCTTGAACCAGATGATGATGCACGCACACCGGCGCGCGAACTGCTCATCCTCAGTCAGTTCCTGAGTGCCAGCGCATGTCAGTTCAACGACCCGTCTCCGTTCCGAGATCTGAAGTGGTGGCGGGGCTGGACACTCATCCAGAGACTCACCACCCGCGCCGTTGCGGAGTTGCTGGTTGAATCGTTCTGTATCAGCATGCCGGAAGTGCCACCGCCTCTGCCGCTCGATAAGCTTTGAGTGAAGGTAAACTTTGTTGCGGTTTAACCGGGAAACCACCTTCATCTTCTCCTCATACAGCAGAGTTTTGCCCTGTGCTGCCGGCACGGAACGGAATCCCATCGCCCTCAGCTTCCGAGTCAGCTCTTTACTACGTTCGGTAAGCTCTCTGATCTTTGGATTCTCCGTGATCTTTCTTTTCAGCTCGTCGGTAAGTTCCGTGGGGGCAGTGGCGTCGGCGTTCAAGAACAGCCCATGGGCTGCTTTCTGGACCACTTCATTGGATGGAAGTTCCATGGCCGCGGCTTCCAGATCAAAGCGGATGACCGTGTCCAGATAGTACCGTACCGCGTTGGATTCATGGTCAGCGACTTGATCCCGAACAGAGGACGGAGCTTTGTCTGCGGATCCGGTAGGTCAGCAAACCAGGCTGGCGAGGGGGAATGGAAAGAAAGGGAGAATAGAAGAGGGGACCAAAGAGGGTGGTGGGACACATACTGTTGATGGTGTTGATGAGAGAGCGTCGCCAGACATACTGAGTCAGACCATATTTGAGCCCAGCCATTAGGCCAAGGTGTTTGAGGTAGCCACTCCATGTAGATCCTTTGAGAGGTGTCCTCTCTGATGTTCGGTATCCACTCCCTGTGCGTTCGGGCTGGCGGAACACCGGCACGTCCAGCATCTCTGCCTTGATCTTTAGGTTCATACCACCTAGGTGCAATGGGATGGGATACCAGTAGATATCTTCGAGCTTTTCAAATTCGGGCGCGAAGATCTCGTCATTTATTGCCATGGAGAGAAAGTGCCCAAGAAGGTCCAGGAGCGGCTCCGGATTGTGGCTGATGACAAATGTTTTCCTGCAGTGTCGGTCAGTCATTGAAGTGTAAAGCAGCACAGGGATTGGAAAGAGGAAAGTTGCATTACACTCGCGGCTTTTTGTCTTCACCCTTCGTGTGGAGGAGTGTAACCTTAGCCAGGAGAATGTTTGGCCGGCCGGCCAAGGGGCTCCGAATGATGTGGAATTCAATATGCCGCCAGACAAGAGCTCCAGTCTCCTCAGGACCTGCATCATACTCGTCATCCGTCACATTGTCTATGAAGCGGCCAAGTTCACTGATGTCATTGTCGGTGGACATACAGCTGGTGGAGCCGCTTTCCACTGACTCTACACTCGACTCAGTGTCGGCATCGGTTTCTCGCATGCACTCACCAAAGATGGGTTCCCCGGAATTGCTGTGAGGGCTGTTACTTTCTTCATCAACATACCCTGAGTCGAAGTCTGTGTTGTCGCTCATATGGCAATCCAGGTCACTATCCTGGGCATCATACACAATGTCTTCACCGCGCATCCTGTATTTGCTGTAGGACAATTCTCCCGCGGAGCGACAGCTTCTTCGAGGAGCCATGATTCGTGTCTTCTTTGTGTCACGATATTCCTCATTGTTGTTGGAATGAACTCTCTTGCATTTCTCTGGTGCTATGCGTCGGTTATTGTGTTGGCTGATCTGGGATCTCGCCTTCGAGTAGAGGTTAGGGCACCCGGTCCCTCGGGGGCGTTGATGGCGACGGTTAGTGCTGCACTTTGGGCCCTCACTGACTGTGTGTGACGCTCCCTTTGACAGTCCGTCTTCGGCTTTCTCATCTCTTGTTTTGATCCGGGTGTCGAACAGCGAGACCAACCTGCCACCGGAGATGAAAGATAGGAGGATACCTGCAGCAACATAGAGTCGCTGTTTCTCATCAGCGTACGCTTTCGTGCACCGCGTCCAATGGGCATGGAGGATGCGGTACACATCGTCCTTGGTGCCGGACGGCTTCCTCTTCGGTCGTCGCCGGAGACCCCATCTCTTAATGACGACGTTCTTATACTACGGAGGGCGCCCGTCAGCTGGGGTCACATCCATCAGTTGATTCTGATGGTCTTACATTCAGACAATCCTGCGCCATCCCATCATCCATGCCATGACCAGTGTGCTCCACATACAAGGTCTTCAGAAGCCGCCAGTAACTGTCAAAGGCTGATGCTGCCTTGATGCTGTTCCGATGGGTGTTCTCAAGCCAGTCGAAGTATGTCTTGACTCGGCCCGCTGTTAGATTCTCAATGAACTCCTCTTCTGTAGTCTTGAGTTCGGCAGAGCAGAAGCTGATCTCTGTAAGAAGGTCAATTCAATTTTCTCATGGAGACCACCACTTACCGCTGAAGCTTCCGCCGAACTGTCCCTCTGCTTTTCTCAGCATTTGCGGAGTAGATTCTGGATGTGCGGCCAGCGGCCTCGTGTTGTTCCAATATGGCTTTGTAGTTTGGCTTTCTGAGTGAATTCAGTCGAACCGCCGTGCGTGACCTGCCAGCCGTTGGCACTTTGGATCTTCCAACTGGCATACCGTTCAGTGGGCGCGTCAGATTGCTGCTGATATGTAGGTAGATAGAAAAGAGATTCTATGGAGGAAGGCTGGAGCTGGTAACATGGGTAAAATGGTTTGAAGAGGAACCAACGGGCAACCGAAGGAAAGGGGAGAAGGGGGGAGACAGAGACATGATAGTATTTATAGAATGGGAAAGTCATGCGAGGCGGCCATTATACTTGAAGGGTTGAGCGCCATAAACGGAGCGCTCCAGTTGGGCAAATGTGCGAATGGGGGAATTGGGACAGGGTGAGTGGTTCGCGAGCAGTCGCGCGAGCAGAACGTGAGGCCAGTGACTCCGGGCGTTAAATGGGCTCACAAAAAGCGGCGATTGATGGGTTCCATATTAGGTCTAGTCGTGATTAGTGTGGGTGCGAATCTAAGGTGCAGGGACGGTCGGAAGCAGCTCAAAAGCCTGCCACTTTCGGCCACCATGGCCTTCAAAGTTCGATTCTATCTGATATTTCTGTTGTTGACTTTAAAAAAGATAATGATATTTAATAACACTCACAGTATAATTAGACATCATTCAATGTAATAATATATGGATTATGTAATTATGAGTAAGTCACAGTTTCATTTGATACTATATTGTAAAATAGAATCAAATAAAACTGTAACTCAGAAATAAAGATAAGAACAGTATTCAGAATTTAATATTTTTTATAAACAGTGAAATAAAATCAGAGCTATAATATAAACAGTGTAAAGTGACTAATTTACAAAACACTATATGAGATCAGAACTAAAATATTTGATAATGGAATCAAGGAAAATTTTAGTCCCAGTTTCATACACAGTTATATAGTCAGTCTAATCATATATTTGATATAGCAGTAGTTCAGTATATATAAGAGATGATTTATTCTTATATTCTTAAGATCTAATCAGATTTTATTCTCTATATTGTATTAAATTACAGAACTTCTTCTAATATTCATTTGATTTTTATAGTTTTATTAAATACTAGTTATCAAAGCTTCAGCTTATTCACAGACTTTTTTAAACTTGCTAATTATATTCTCTACTACTTATATAAAACTATAGATATATATAATCTCTCAGAGAATTTTAGAGAAGTTCAGAATCTCTAAATTATAATTATATAGAAGAAAAAATAGATTTATATCTATTATAATAGAATCTCAGTTATTTATAATAATCTCAGTATATAACTGTTGAGGGGATTGGATTGGGTGATTCGTACCCTCTATACCACCACAGTGCTGGTGGTGATTGAGCTCTTTTGCCCTAGTGGTCTAATAGATTATGAGCCTGTGTAAGCGCGACTGCTACAGGGTGTGCCAACATGCTATCACAGATTCAAATCAGGTCAAGGCCAGAAGAATATCCCTTACTAATGCACATTCTCTTGCCAAGGTGGGGGAGATTGGTGGTTAGGCACCCAGGAAGACCCCAGGCCACCAAGGACCAATGGCAGTAGAGTAGTGGAACTTAGGAAGAGCCAGGTTCCCCCAGCTGACCGGATGGTAGAGTGGGTCCGAGGGGGGGTGTTGAGGGGATTGAATTGGGTGATTCGTACCCTCTATACCACCACGGCGCTGGTGGTGATTGAGCTCTTTTGCCCTAGTGGCCTAATAATAACAGCAGATTACTTCAGTTATTTTGTATATAATTATAGAATTTTCAGAAAATATTTTTAATTATCTATATTATTCTCTCAGTAGCTTCATCAGTCTCTGAATAGTATATTATTGATAACTTTCACTCAATTCTCAGTAGTTAATATATATAGATTTAAAGTGCATTTATAAACTGACTATCTCTATCTGATACAATGAATAAAAATAAATCATATATATAATAGAATGAGTTTCTGATAAAGATATCTGCAATAACTTCAATATTTATCTTATTGCAGAGCTGCAGTTGTGACAGATTAGCATTCATTAGCAGTTAACTTATACAACCAACCCTCTACTGCATGCTCATATACTCATACATACTTATAAAGTTCTCTCACATCTTCTTACAATTTCATCTCATAATTATATATATCTTAATATTCTAACAATTCTTTCACTCTGCACTTCTTCAGAGTGTGATTTTCAATATTTCTTTCATTTCAATCTCTCTGTCTATAAGAACCCTCTCTGTAATGCACTTGCTTATTATTTTCTTATATATTATCTTTGTTTATTATTACCTTTCATTGCTATGTTCTCGCTACCACTATTTCTATATGTAGACTGGCCGGTGGGACCATGAATTTCACATTTGATTTGGTTTGGTTTGGTCTCAGTTCATTTCTTGGCATTATTTTAGTGGGACCAGAATCAGAATGGGAGTGTAAAGTGACTAGAATTATCAAAATATGAGTGAAATGAGACTAAAAAATCTTGATATTCCATGTAAAGTGACTGACTATCAAAAATAAGAACATGATCTGGGACTGATCATGATTTTGACTCAAGTTTGGTCCCATTCTGATGATTATATAATACATCAATCTGATGATATGATTGGTGGAGATATTACCTCTATCTTGCTTAGTGCTCAATGCTCTGATGGCTCGCTATTAGATCCCCTATCTACCACTGCCAATCTACCTACCACTGCTAATCTATGCTGCTGCCAATCTATCTACCACTGCTAATCTATGCCGCTGCCAATCTACCTACCGCTGCCAATCTACCTACCGCTGCCAATCTATCTACCACTGCTAATCTATCACTTCTAATCTATCGCTGCTAATCTATTGCTGCTAATCTATCGCTGCTAATCTATTGCTGCTAATCTATCTATCACTGCTAATCTATTGCTGCCAACCTACCTACCACTGCCAATCTACCTACCGCTGCCAACCTACCTATCGCTGCCAACCTACCTACCACTGCTAATCTATCGCTGTTAATCTATCGCTGCTAATCTATCGCTGCTAATCTATTGCTGCTAATCTATCGCTGCTAATCTATTGCTGCTAATCTATCGCTGCTAATCTATCGCTGCTAATCTATTGCTGCTAATCTATCTATCACTGCTAATCTATCGCTGCTAATCTATCGCTGCCAATCTATATAGGGTAAATCATGGTCCCATTTGGTCCCATTTTGTAAAATGAGACCAAATGGAACTGGGACCACTAATTTATTAGTAAAACATGATCTGAGACTAGATTTATAATATAAACAGTGTAAAGTGACTAATTTACTAAACACTATATGGGATCAGAACTAAGATATCTAATAATGGGACTGAGGAAAAATTTGGTCCCAGTCCCATGCATGGTCACACAGCCAGTCTAATTCTAATCTTCACTGATGAATCACTCACTGAATATTATAAATATATACAATAAATACTTGACTGTTTATAAGAAGCAGAACTATAAGTGAATATTGATAAGTATAACTTCAAGATTAAGTCTATAATCTATCTAGAATTTATCATCAAAGCTGAAAGAGGTATATAAATGAATTCTAAAAAGATGAAAGCAATTCTCAACTGAGAAGTATCTATCTCAGTAAAAGAGACTAGAAGTTTTCTAGAATTCATCAACTTCTATCAAAGATTTATCAAGAACTTCTTGAATATCATACAATCACTAATGAATTTGATATAGAAGAATGCTGTATTTCAATGAATCACTGAAGCAGATACTGCTTTCAAGAAGTTGAAGTATATATTCACAATCATTTCAATGCTGCAATTATTCAATTTGAATAAGCATACAATTTTTGAAACAGATGTTTCAGATTATGTGATGAATAAAGTACTGATATAATACAATAATAAAGATATTCTACAACTCTGTATCTTTATCTCAAAGAAAATATCATTCATTAAATATAACTACAAGATCTATAACAAGAAGCTTCTGATAATCATACAATATCTCAAAGAATGAAAATTCAAGCTCATGAGTGTAGAGAAGTTCAAGATTGTCACTGATTATAAGAATCTAGAATACTTCATAATTACTTATAAGCTTACAGAAAGATATATACACTGATTACTGTTTCTTAGTTATTTCTTATTTATAATCTATTATCAATCAGAGACAGAGAACACTTTTGCAGATACTCTATTTCATTAAAAACAAAATATACTCTTCAATAATCTAGACAACAGATGAAAACATCAGATGTCAAGCTTTGTGAATCATTTCACTTTTTCTATTTATTCAAGTATTTCATTGATGAGTGGAAGAGAATATCAGTCTTTTCATATAATCTTATTGAGTTTTTGATAGTCAACACAGAATTATAAGTCTTTATCTAATTTCTTTATAAATAGTACAGATACTGCAGCAGATGAATTGCTGATACAGATGAAGTCTTTATTCAATAGTTCATTGAGTGTTTTTTGTAGAATAAAAAGCTTATTATATGATATACTGTAGAGAGAATCTCAGAGTAATTGCAAGTTCTTGCTATCTTTCTTAATAAGTTTGATTGTATGATCTATACTACACTCTCAGTGAGAGAGAAGCTTTTCAGCCACTTCTTCATCAAATATATCTGCAAAGTTTTTATATATTTCAGAGAGTTCTTTATAAAGCTTCTTGAAGTTCTTGAGCTCTAATTTTTCTAACACTTTCTTAATATCTGCTATACTAGTGGTGAATATCTGAATATTTTTCTTCTTATACACTCAGTAGATTAACAACTTGAACACTTCTGCTGATATCTGAATGAGATTGATAATTCTATCAATATTTTTTTTATAGACACAGTCATCTTCTGAGAAAATAAGACAATGATTATACATATCTAACAAGGTTTCAAACTTTATAAGTTATAATAGATTGAGTATTAAATCATACTCAAGATTCTGTACTTTGTATGCAAAAACACTCTTCTTCTTATATTGTAATGAGCATGCCATTAATTAAGCAGATATTACTGATGTTGTAGATTAAACTGTTTGCACTGTCTGTACAGTTTGTATAATCTATTTCAACAACACTATCAATGAGCTTGACACTATTCTGATAACAGTTTATAAATCAATTAAGAAAAGAAAAAGAAAGAAGATCAGAAGAAGAGATTGTATGAGAGGATTTTTATAGATAAGAAAATTAAAGTGAAAGAAATATTGAAGATTATACTCTGAAGAAGCACAGAGTGAAAGAATTATTAGAGTATTAAGATGTGCATGATTGTGGAGTGGAATTGCAAGAAGATATAAGAGAACTTTATAAATGTACATAAGTATGTGAGCATGTGATAGAGAGT